CATTGTAGAGAATTAACGAAAGCACATATATAACCCTATAATGAAGGATACATATGTTGTAACCTCAGCACCAAACTGATCCATCATCTGCCATCACACAAGTGAAGTTAGAACAGACATATAAAGCTTCAAATCTCCTGAGAAAATTGTCAATAGCTTAGCAAAAAATAATGCATGGATTTTGAAGTGAAGCACATGCATTAGACCAGCAGCTGCTGTAAAAGATATCCTTGCACTTGTAAGTCTAAGTTGTTTTCTCTGCATTGATTTGGAAACAAGATTATAACGTGGATCTTAGGGGAGAGTCACAACTATCTGCTTAGGATGGGAAAGGAGATTCTTCACTAGAAATCCAGAACAACAGAACAAAAAAACTCATAAGAAAGTAATTATTAAAAGAGATAAGAGAAATTGGAAAGTTAGAAATGGATAGAAAGCAAGAAAAAAGAAAGGACCATTGCAAGGAGAAATGTTCCTCGAGGGATAGGTCCAAGCCACCTTTTAGCTTGGTTAGCCAAAGGATATGTTGTAGCAAGAGCAGCTTGCCACAAGCATTCTCCACGAAACGGATTGGCCCACTGTTTTTTGACACAGGATATTTGTGCCCATTATGAGACTGGAACTCGAACGAAAATTTCTATTAGGAGATGATCAGGAAGCTTTCCAAATGAATTATCAACTGACATTAGAGTTCTGCAATGTGAGAACCAAAAACATGAAAAGTTACTTCAACAATAAAATGGACAAATCTTCGTTTAAAACAAGGTCATAGTTTATGGTTATGAACAAATACAATATTTTCCAAAGCACTGAAATTTCCAAACACAAGAATAAATCTTTATCTTTGTGCAACACCAACATACCATCTAAGAATCAAAGACTGAATAAACTCACAACAATCATCTGAACAATTCTAAATGCCCATTTCATAATGGAATTTTCACTCTTTTGAGAACCCAATTACTAGTAAAACATCAAAATTTGACTACAAGCTAAAACTCACCAACAAGAGCAAGACTGTGATAACCACCAGCAACATAATAACCCAAAAGCGATTAAGGTAGAAAAGACTATTTCCACGTCTTGTGTAGATCTGAACCCTTCATGCCTTTTTAATTATTTATTTATTTATTTTCTAAATTTTATTATTTATATTTATAATTTTGTTAGTGTTTTTTTAATTGTAGACCTAAATGCTAGGTGTCGGACATGCATAGGGTTCGGCTCGGATTCGAAAGTGAAATTTAGGTCGTGTCCTCTCATATAATCCTTTCTAGCTTTCAACAAATTGAATAGATATGGAGAAAGGTTCATTCAAGTCAGCTTTCCTCATTGTGCTCCTTCTTGTTTCATTTGATGGTAAAATACTTCTCTCTATTTTTATTTTTGTTACAATGAAAGAGAAATTTATTCTTGACATACTATAATTCGAACGTTAATCCTAACAACCTAGGCTAACCTCAAGGGTTGACTTCTTTGAACAATACAACTGCATATAGGAATTTTTTTTTCTCCAACGTGGTTGACTTCACTTATTTTTAAAATATGTATATGTCGTTGATACATCGTTAAAATTACGTTCTTTGACCAAATAATTGTCCATATTTTCAGCCATAAACTGGATTTTAAGTGTTTATTTTTGTAGTGTCAACTTATGCATAAAGCAGTATGTTCACAATGCAAACAAAAACTAGTTTTATTATGAATTATTGAAATGTTAACTGTGGTAGGCGTGCAATTTGGAGTCGAAGCAAGGGGTCCAATTGTTCGTTCTCCGTGCGAAACATCTATTGTTTGCAGCAAATGCTCATGCATCGAGGGTTGGTGTAAGTGTCAGCCACCTCAAGACATCTCTACACACCCGCAAGTACAGAAGAAAATGCCATAATCAGTGCTACTATACCAAAGGACAATCTTCATGAGTGAGAGTGACCCAAAATTTAGTTGTTTTCTCCAATCTTGTAGAAGAATTGTTTAACTCTAAAAAGATTTTGGGTTTAATTTTTCTTAAGTTAATTCCATGGTGATTTATTTTTCTGAACATTTTAAAATAAAAAATCCTAATTTACTATCAACAAAAGAGTATGTATTCGTGTACTTTAGAATGATTTTTAAGGTTAAATTAGTTAATTAATATTTTGGCCATTAAATTTCATTCTGGGCCGATCTTTTTTATAAGTTTATTTAATAATAATAAAAATCATGGCCATTTGATGAGAGGTAAATGTCTAAGTTGTTATTTTATATAAAATAAAAAACAAAAAACAAACAAGCAACAAGTGGTTGGTCATGAATCAATACAAAGACTGATTTTTAGCGCCAACACATGGGTTGTATTTTAGCAACAACATGTGGGCTACACTTTAACATCAGCTTCGGTCTACAAAATTTAGGTTCGACTCAAAAGTTAGGCGGAATTCCGCCTGGATTAGTGCCTGTGAGGAATTTATGACTGTGAGTTCAATTTTTCTTTTGTGGGCTTTGGTAGCTGTTCTGTTGTGTCGGTTGATTTTTCTTTTACAATTAATTTAGTTTTAGATTTTAATTTTATTAAAAGTTAATAGTGTTAGGTTAGAGGTTTAGTGTAACGACATGTATCAAGAGTCTAGAAAAGCAATAGGGGCCCACTCAGAAAATGGTAACACGAAAATTGGACTTGGCCTAAACATGTGTTTGAGAAAAAATTCGGGGCTAAAACCCAAAATTTAACATTTGGCCCTCTCTATTGGAGATGGCCTAACAATATTGCATTTTGCAGTCATGTTTCAGTTTAAAAAAACTGGTTTACCAAACAATATAATTATAAAAAAAAACATTTACCAAACAAATTAGGGTTTAGGAACCCAATTTCATCAAGGTCCATAGAGAAACTATTATCCTAATTGAAGTAATGTTGAATTAACAGCCGTTTAGTTGTTTGGTCAGTTTCTCAAGTACGAGTCTTCTTCTTTTGAACAAAAAATAAAAGAATAATAGTCTAGGACAGGAAGTTTGTGGGAATTGAAACTTCAACATATTACGGAAGTGCTCATTTACAACAGTAAAAGTCCTTCAGTAAATCACGTCACTTATCGAGAAATATAAGTGAGAATGCGTTGATGACATGTTTACTTATCCGTAATAGAAATCAAAATAAGGAGTTGAATTCTGATTACAGATTACTCATGTGTTTACTTCACATAAAGAAATGAAAAAGAAAGTGAGGCCCACAAAATCAAGCATTCAAGATTCCACTCTTGAATTTTGGAGAAATTGGACTCTTGGTTTAGAAGTAGTATTCTCATTCCTAAAGCATTAGCCTATCAGTAATCCATTTTTTTTACTCATTATGTCCTCACACAAATTTTAAAATTTCAAATTTGCCATCCACTTTAACCTAATAATTTATTTACAACAAGTTCATTTTAGTTGTCATACTAGTTTCAATTCCGATTCATGAGAATTTAGTAAACTTATAAGAAATCAATACCATTCTTAAATCAATTCCACATAATTTAATAAACAACTTTAATAAAAATTCAAATTCCAACACCTCGTCAATTCAATTCCTCTTAATTCGATTATAAATTAGTAGATATGTCAACCATCAATCATATTTAAAATGTGTACTGTACAGTGTACACGTGGTTTAACTTCCAACACCAGCACAAGGGAGGTTGTTGTTGAGAAGAGTCCTTTGAGGGTCGTAATCAATCTAATCAAATTAGAAGTCACCCAAGATGAGTTTGAAGCCATTATTTATTTAATTTAATTATAAAAGTCGATTCTGGTGGAGAGGCCTTGAGGGTTACTCCAAGCCAACCCAAAAAAAGAAAAAGAAATTACATCAGTGAATGATTTCTATAATAATTGAAGGTGTCACCAACCAGAACATGCATGCATCCGTCGGCCTATCACATCACATCTTCAATTGTGTATCACATTTGACAAATTGTCACTGTGCATGTGTGGGGGCTCAAATTCAAAAGTGGGTCATGACTCAATAACCTCATTTGTTTGGATGCCTATGGTGTTCAATCACTCAGAGTCCCCTTCATGCCCACGGGAGCCCAATCAAAATATCTACGAGGGATTTGATTGCAAGAGAGATCTTCTCAAGCAATCAGCTGCTTCTGGATCTGGAGCATCTTGCTTTTGCTTGCTTCTACAAGAGGCCAAAAACAACTATCTACAATCATGGTTTGTATTGTGATTAAGAAGATACCAAGTTTTTCAACAAAGTTTTTGTCAAAATTAAGATTGGCGTATAAAAGAAGCAAAATTAGGCATTCAGCAATGGTTAATATCAGTCATACAATAAAGTTGGTTATTAGGAGCAGTTAACGGATTCAACGCGATGAATTATATTATAGATGACCTTTTTGTAATCAATGCTTCCCGTGAAATTTACTTCTTTTCAATACAAATTTATAATAAATAAAAAACAGAGTGTTGGCTTGCCAGAAATTTTTAGGCTTATTGAAAGAGATAATGATGTTTTGAATATCCTTACCCTACCCTACCCATAAAAACTATTTTAGGATAAGGATTTTTTTTCTTGTAAGTAAGTTAAACTTAGAATCTCTGTCTCCTTTTCTTTTTAAATTTTTTTTTCTGTGTTTTTCATTTTAAAAATGTAACTTTTTATAAGGGCAAAAATAAGGCAAATGCATGAACGAGATTGGTAAGCATCTAAGCGCACGCTTGATAATTTTTTGACCACATGGGGCATTTTATTTATTTATTTATTATTATTATTTATTTAAAAGATAGTCTCGATAGTCTCTAAACTTACACGCTCTCAGTACATCACATATGTTGCCAAACTAATAGACAGTAGGGAATCTAAAATACAAACGGGATTCGGAATCTATACAACATCCCATGCAGTGTACAAATATTAATTGACTTCGCTTAGACCAAAAAAAAATTAAAATTAAAATATAGACCTTTTACAGAAATATATATATGTATATATATTATTTAATTTCACCACTCAAAGGAACGGATAGGAGAGTTGTTCATAGACCATTATAGTGACCACCAAATGTGACATGAGCTCTGGTGATGGGTACCCCTCTAACCGCTGAAAATGCTTCATTGAATTTGGTTGCATGCTCAACTGCCTGCTTAATCCTCTGCATTTCCACAAGTGGGATTACATTGGGTTAGCTCCACAATTCATAAGCTACAACTATACGTGGGAAAATTATGAATGTAACATCACGTGACATGCACAACGTTTTGTTATTATGTATCTTTTTTTCAATATTTTTATTTCTATAAGATATTGAAAAAAGAATAATAATAAGATTTATTCGTGTGGAATTGCGTAATGGTTATTAATACTCATCTCATGTAATATGAGAGGACGTCGTTAGCAGTCGTGGTCTTCTTTCTTAACACATTTTTCAACATTAACAAATTAACGTCGCTCATGTAAGCATGTCGGATTTTCTGTTTAATAGCTAACCGAACATTGTAAGAGCATCTACAACAGTAGTAACATGGCAGTAAAAAACCTCACATGCAACTCATATTTACCTGAAATATGAGATCTAATGACTAGTAATTAATTAAAACAAAAGTAAATAACAATAAAAAGCTAACATCAAGAAATCAAAAAAGGTATGTAATGGGAATTTGGATAAATTAATAAAGTTGGAGAAAATTTGCTGACCTTGTTGTCATCAGTGTAGATCTGGTAGCGATTCTGGTTCTGTTGATACTGTTTGTTTCTCTGGTGCGTACCGAAAAACAGAACACAAATAGTAGCAGCAGCAAAACCAAAAGAGCAAATAGCTCCAATCCCAGTTAAGCTCAGCTTCCAGATGTTGTTCCTGTTATGATCCCTACCATTCTTGACCAAATCATCATCCTCCTCCTTCTCCTCCTTCTTGGTGTCTTCTGATTCGAACAAGTTGTTTTTCTCACCAATTTTCATTCTAGGAGAGGTGATCTTGCTCTCAATAGAAGCAGCAGCATCAGTAGTTTGATGCTGCATAAATCTTGGTGATCTGCAGGTAGGAGACTTCGGTGAGTCCATTTTCATGTCGGCAAATTCATTTTCCCAAGTTTTCTTGAAGTAGACTTGGGAGAGTTGTGTGTCTTGATCATCAGCTTCTAAAGCTTTTGCTTTATAATTAGTCTTCTCATCAACTAGAACCCTAGCAGCAGGGACTTGTTCTTCTTCTTCTGAGGCCTTGACAAAGCTTGGAGGTAGCTCCAATTGAATTGGAACAGGCACAAGCTGATTAGGCACCCTTGAATTAATAAACCCCTGTGGTGGAATTGGTGGTGGTGTCTCGATGAGTTTTCTTGAATTGGGTGATGGGATTATGAAGTAGTTCATGTTGAAAACGCTTTTGGAATCAGAATATGCCTTGCTTGAGAAAATCCTTTTCTCTTCTCTCTCTTCATGGAAATCAAGAAACCCATCATCAGGGAGGTACTCCCACTCATCAAGATCCATCTTTTTCTTCTTTCCAAACAAAATTTTGGGATTTTAATGAAAGTAGATGATCAAAGGAGGAGGAGGGTGTTTGCTAAAAGTAGGAAACAATTGGGAATTTAATTCAAACTTGGGTACTGTTGAATAATAATTGAATCAAAGACGGTGGCTTTCATGGAGTTTTGTGTGGAAATGAATGGGAAGAGTTCACCCCGCAAATGGCGTGTGTGTCCTCTTGCTCTTGGAGTGAAGAAGATGGATTCAGAATCGAGGAGGAAGATATTGACAAGGTTTGAGAGTGCTTATCCCCTCTAAGGGACCCACCAAGGAGAATCGCCCTTCCTTCCGGATGGGATTTGGTTGATATTTCTTTCCATTTGTTAATCCCTTATTGATTACTATAATGTAACTTCGGTTAGGGGTGGAGTATAATGTTCATGCTCACAATAGGGTGCCAAAATAGCTCTCAACTTAAGGTTCTGTTTTTGATCTCCTTGTGAACACTTTTAGAGAGAGAGAGAGAGGACAGCGAAGTTTACACCCATCCAAGGGAGATTCTTTTGTTGGTCTCACTCTGCAGAAGGGAAAGAAAACTACAGTGTCGGTTGCTTGTTCAAGTTTGCTTGGAATGACTATGATGGGTAGTTTTTAAAGGGTGGAAAAGGGCAAAAAAGAAAATTAAATGAAAGTGACAATGGTTCTTTTAGTTATTTTTATTTGTATTACTATATATATCAAGAAGTAGGACTTTTCAATACTGCTCAATTTTGATTACAATATATTTGAAGTTGGGGTGTGAGTGTGGGATGGGGAGAACTTTCTTTAGTTATTTTATTATTGGCAAATTACAATAATGATCCTCGTAGATTATTTCATTTTTCACTTTCATCGTTGTAAATTGTAATTTTACTTTTTGCATTGTTAGTTCAATCTTTCATATGATATAAGGGTGAGAGAGGGTGACCGAGCCCAACAAGAGCCTACGCGGCCAAAGCCCAACGCGCATAGCCCTAGGCGTCTCTCCTTATAGGCCCACACGTGGGGATATAAGTGCCAAAGAAGGGCCCACATAACATTTTACTGACGCTTGTTGTTCACAAAAAGGAAGGACACACGTCAGACCACCACTAATCACCCAATCAAATGATACCGTATCATCAACGACTATTTAGTCCTCACATCGGAAAAAGACAATAGAGAAGTCCAACCTTCCCCACATAAACGGAAGTACTTTCCACCTTTTAAAAAAATGAATCTCCTCCACCTTGACCCATTTCTGTTTCTTTTTCAACAAATGGGAACCAACAGCCACCTTACTTGGCCACTCCAAGTAAAACCCAAGTATACAGAAATGCAGCGTCCTGACCAAGTCTATCCTCGAGGAAGGGCGGACTTGGATTGACCCCACTCTGATTGGTTGAGCGATTTTTATGCATCAACATTCTTTAAAAACCATAAAACTTTTCCTTTAATAAAAAAAAAAAAAAAAAAAAAAGAAAAAAAAAAAAAAAAAAAAATTTTTTTTTGGCTGGGCTATTGTTTTTGTTAAATGGAAAAATTTGAGTGGGTTGGGTTTGAGTAGGCAGAAGAAATTTGATTGTATTGGGTAATTTTTGGTTTGACAAAAAATAAAGTAGGCGGTTGCCTACCCTGTCCTTAGGGTAGGATTGCCCTTGGTAGGTTGGGTTTGAGTAGGCAGAAGAAATTTAATTGTATTGCATATTGGGTAATTTTTGATTTGGCAAAAAATGAAGTAGGCGGTTGCCTATCCTGTCCTAAGAGTAGGATCGCCCTTGGTAGGTTGGGTTGGAGTAGGTAGAAGAAATTTAATTGTATTGGATATTGGGTAATTTTTGGTTTGGCAAAAAATGGAGTAGGCGGCTGCCTACCCTGCCCTTAGGGTAGGACCGCCCCTGGTTCTAGGAAAGGTAAGTGTTCTCTATAGAGAATCTATGAATTCATAGGAGGTTAGGTGCTTTTACAATATGTTTCTATACATTGCTTTCGTGTCATACGATTTTTGGATACATGGTTTAGAAATGTCTCACAATGCTGGATGCTGGAGCTATCAACGGGAGGGTTAAGCACTTCTTCCACAGTGGATTGTATCCAAAAGTGAATTTTCTTTTACCAACGTCAAACTCCAAATATGAGTTAGTTTACCATTCCAATTGTAATTTTGATGTTCCTACGTTGACTAGGAACATGTCCTTAGTTTTTCTCTCTTTTCGGAGAATGCTAGCAACCTTCTCCATTTTTTTCTTGACATGTGTCATTCTCCTTACGCTTAAAACAATGTTATTAATATATTATACAAGCTAACTTTTGCTTTCCAAGTTTACCCTTATTAAATTTATCCAAAAAATTTTCACAACTTTCTTACCATCTTATTAAATTTGTTCTAACGCCAATTATTTTTTTAAAAGAAAATATCTGCTTTTTAAGAGGAAATGTCCCCCCTTTTTTTTAAATAAAAAAAAAAACAAACACAAAGGGTTTAGATAGAAAAAGAAAAAAGAAAAAAGAAAGTCCTTTGTGTTTAAGAAAAAGGGACATTTCCTCTAAACCCTTTGTGTTTTAAAAAAGCAGACATTTTCTTTTAAAAAATAGTTGACATTTAAAAAAAAATTAATCAGATGGTAAGAAAGTTGTGAAATTTTTTTGGATAAATTGAATACATTTAATAAGGGTAAACTTGGAAAGCAAAAGTTATCTTGTATAATATATTAATAACATTGTTTTAAGTGTAAGGAGAATGACACATGTCAAGCAAAAAAGGGAGAAGGTCCAAAAGAGAACGTTAGAGAGAAGATTGCTAGCATTCATCTTTTCTCAAATACTTAAGGACGTACTTGACAGTTTCTAGGGTGTCGATCTTGGGCTTGATTGATATTGACTTGTGATGCACACGACATAACCAATATCAAGGCTATTGCACAACCTAACATACATGAAATATCCTATTACAAATGCATAAAGGAATTTAATCATACGTTGTGTACTTTTGGGATTCTTAGAGCACATGCCCTTAGAGAGGTGATTTTCATGTTTCAAAAGGATTGAGATAATTCAATTTGCCTAATTAAATTTCTAAATTTATAAAGATAAATTTTTTTCGCAAGTACACAATGTATTTCTCCCAAATCAAATTTTGAAGAATATTTTATCCATAACTTTATTCAAGAAGGAATATGTTGTCGTTTCCAAAAGTAGTATGTAGTCTACATAACAATAGATTCATTTGCATCTTTGTAAGAAAAAAAAAGGATTTTCTTATCAAAGTGAATGCTCCTAGCTCCCACTAGCTTGTTTAAGTCCATAGATGCAACTTTTATAGCTTGTATGGAAATTAAATACAAAGCAAGTAAACTTCTAGTTCTAGTACCCGAGATTAATTCGGCCAAATTAATTAAGAATGAATATTTGAATGAATAAAGAAATGATTTTCATGTAATTGATACAAACATGCTATAATTGAGACAAGTATTGTCATATAATTACTTCGATCAAAGGATACTACATTGGAAAAATGCATGATTAGAGTTAGTTAATCATTTTCTTGAAACTCATAAGAAGCCATTTTATAAGAAACTAGCCCCTCGGCATGCACTTCCGCGCTTGCGAGAGGCTTTGTTTAGCAATTTTTAAATTTGTTTTAGAATTAAAAAAATATAATAGGTAGTTGTGTTCCATAAAAATAGAATACATTATCTTATTTTCCTTTTAATTTTAATTTTTTTAATATGAAAAAGTGTGAATTTACCATATTATCCTCATTTAATTAATAATTTCAATTCTTAATGTTTGCATTAACCAAGTTCATTTTCTGGTATTTTGAATGTTTCACAATTCTCTGCCTTTTGTTTTATATATATAGATAGGAGGCGAGTTGAACGTAAAGTACTATATCTAATCTATTAATAATTGTCACTATTATTCAACACAAAAAAAATTTGCATATAGAACCCGTGAACACGTGCATATTGGTGAATGACGTTAGTGATAACCTAAGATCAATCCCTTGAATTGATCCAATTTTTTTTTTTTAAGTCCCTTGAATATGAATTATATCAAAATCACAGTGAAGTATAGTTTCATTCTTGAAATAAATAACAATCAATGCACCGTGGTTCGCCACTGCACGTGGAGTCTATGCATAAAACATTCTAATTAAATAACCATCCATAAAACAATCTTACTAACACTAATTAATATTAAAAGAAATTCTTAAGGAAATCATCTTAAATGAACGAACATGAACTAGGTGAATTAACAAAGCAATTAAATATTATTATACATATAGAATACATAATTTATTATAAAAGTATAACAACTATATATATTTACTACTTACCAAGGTAATTACCTATAAATATACATATATAAACTAAGTAAACTGTAAAAATGTTTAATTTGCTTTTAAGAATACATACAAGTTCTCACATGACTAGTTAAAGTTTGTCTGCCAAAAAAACTAGTGTTGGAGAAGAACATCAAAGTTCAAAGTTGAATTTAATCAACTAATGTGGGAAAAGAGTGTACAATAGCACACAAATTGTGTTGTGTGCGTATGTTTCTAGTGTGTTCTATATTGGATTGATGTGTGATCATTAATTATTCATTATGTTAGTATGAAAATTGTATTGACATTTTCTAGACTCTAGCATATGTCGGCTATTAGTCTGTGAATATTTTTTATTGGAAGTTTTTGTAAGAATATTTTATAAATATTCTATGTGGCCCACATGAAGTGATCTATGTGGTAAATAAAGTGTTTAATTGGTTTAATAAATATTATTCAGAATAATTATATTGGTCAAATAAAGAGAAGTGGTTTCCTATTTTATTACTGTGATGGGTGGTAATTGATTATGGGCTTGACTAGGAAACGGGTCCTCTCTCTGCTATAATAGTGCACATACCCATCTTATGTGTACACGAATGAAAAACACGTATTAGGGTTTTTCGATTCTAACGTGCAAAAGGCTAGAGAGAGAAACACCGCTTCCTCTATACAACGGCTCACAACAATCCTGATATTTTTCTTTGCTTGAAGTCATGGATCAAGGTACGCATAATACTTATTAAGTTTCCGCCTGAAGTTATTGTGATAGTCATGAGGTTCACAATTCTGTAAGTTATTGGGTTTTATGTTTTCACTCAATATTTAAAGTTTTTACATTTGGTATCAGAGCGTGGTTGAGAACTCTCATGATTTTCCTTTCTTTACGATGATAAGGTTTGATTTATTAATTTAATCGAACTATGAAAGAACAGATTGTGTTTGCGTGATTGACCTTGATTTCTATAACGGTGACTGGTTATAAAATTAATAATTGTTGTCGTGGGCTGTTGCTGTGGGTTCTTCATTGTAAATTAATGTCAAATCACTTTATACAAGAATTGCATGAGTATCTAAGCAATATGATTTGTATTGAATATAAATATTATGGGTTTAGTAAGTGACGCATGTTCATTGCTTATCAATATCATTGTTGTTCAATTAATTTGATGTTCATATCATGAATTGTTTGTTAGTCACCAAAGTGGCCAAACTAGAAAGTCCCATGAATTCAAATTAAATGATAATCAATCAATAACTCATGGTAAGATGATGCATATAAATGAATGGAACCTTGTTATGTTTCGTTAAAGGTTTTGACATGAGTACGTTGATTTTCAATAGTCATGAGATGTTTATGGGTCACCCAAAGGTAGATCAATTATTCTGATGATTGTTGATATAACCGTGGTAATCTGTATGTGCTTTATTTGGGTTAGTTTTGGATATCCAAAGATAGCAAAGCTTGCCTAATTATGGATATATAGTTGCCAATAATGTGATATAAATGCATCCTAATTGTTTAATGGTATTGTCATGGTATCTACCCAAAGGAGAATTGTGATGATACATTTGCTGATTGTCAGATTACGTATGTAATTCTGATTATTATTTTTGTGTGTACATGTTGATAACTCAAGGATTAATGTTGTGAGCATTTAATTGCAGTGTCAGTGCCTGTTTCGCTTCATTCGCTTGCTCCATCTATTCCAAAACTTAATGGAACAAATTTCTCAGATTGGTGTGAACAAGTCCAGTTTCACTTAGGTGTTCTGGATCTTGATTTAGCACTCCGAACTGAGAAACCTGCTGCTCTCACTGACAATAGCAGCAGTGAAGAAAAATCTTTCCATAAGGCTTGGGAAAGATCGAATAGATTGAGCATTATGTTTATGCGAATGACTGTAGCAAACAACATAAAGACTACGCTTCCTCAAGCTGAAACCGCTCAGGAATACTTGAAGAATGTTGAAAATCGTTTCAAGATTGCTGACAAGTCCCTTGCAGGGACATTAATGGCTGAGCTTACCACCAAGAAATTTGATGGTACGCGAGGCATGCGTGAGCATGTTCTTGAAATGACTAATGTAGCAGCAAAACTAAAGACCCTGGGGATGAGTGTGGATGAGTCATTCCTTGTTCAATTTATTTTGAACTCTTTGCCTCCTCAGTATGGACCGTTCCAAATTAACTACAACACCATTAAGGACAAATGGAATGTGGATGAATTGTCCAACATGCTTGTTCAAGAGGAGGGAAGACTTAAGCAGCAAGGGGACCATTCCATTCATCTTGTAACTCAAGGAGCTGGAAAGAAATATGGAAGAAAGCCTGGAAATGGCAAGAAAGGAGGACTGTCCAAGAGTAGTGAACCTGCTAATGTTACTCAGGTTCAGAGGAAGGAACAAAAGGGTGATATATGCCATTTCTGTAGAAAGTCAGGGCATTATCAGAAAGATTGCCCAAAACGTAAAGCATGGTTCGAAAAGAAAGGTAAGCATTTGGCTTTAGTATGTTTCGAATCAAATTTGGCTGAAGTTCCTTACAATACTTGGTGGGTTGACTCCGGTGCTACTGTTTATGTCTCTAATTCGATGCAGGGATTCCTTACGACCCAAACTTTAAATCCAAATGAAAATTCCATCTTTATGGGGAATCGAGTCAAAGCTCCAGTTGAAGCCATTGGAACCTTTCGTTTAATTTTGGATACTGGGCATAATTTAGATTTATTTCAAACACTCTATGTTCCTAATTTTTCCAGAAACTTGATTTCAATTTCTAGACTTGACCGTGATGGATTTTCCTTTAAGTTTGGTAATGTATGTTTCAGTTTATTTAAGAATACCTCTTTTGTTGGTTCTGGTATTTTAATTGATGGGTTATACAAGTTAAAGCTTGATAATATTTTTACTGAAATAGTTTTGACTCTGCATCATAATGTTGGGACTAAACGTAGCCTAATTGATGAAAATTCATCCTTTTTGTGGCATAAACGACTGGGTCATATATCCAGAGAAAGGTTGGAAAGATTAGTAAAGAATGAGGTTCTCCCGAACCTAGATTTTACTGATCTTGGTGTGTGTGTGGATTGTATTAAGGGTAAACAAACCAAACACACCAAGAAAGGAGCCACAAGAAGTTCAGGGCTTCTTGAAATTATTCATACAGACATTTGTGGACCTTTTGATGCTCCATCTGTTACTGGAGAAAAATATTTCATCACCTTCATAGACGATTTTTCATGTTATGGCTATGTTTATCTATTGAAGGAAAAATCTGAGGCAGTGAACATTCTTGAAGTGTTCATTACCGAAGTTGAAAGACAATTAGATAAAAAGGTGAAAATTGTCAGATCAGATAGGGGTGGTGAATTTTATGGAAAATATAATGAATCAGGTCAATGTCCTGGTCCATTTGCAAAACTCCTAGAAAAGCATGGCATTTGTGTTCAATACACTATGCCAGGTACGCCGCAGCAGAATGGTGTTGCTGAAAGGCGTAATCGTACACTTATGGATATGGTTAGGAGTATGTTAAGTAATTCGTCATTACCTATATTTTGTGGATGCATGCTCTTAAGACTGCTGTATATTTATTAAACAGGGTTCCTAGTAAGGCAGTTTCAAAACACCATTTGAACTGTGGACAGGAAGGAAACCCAGTTTAAGGCATCTTCATGTTTGGGGTTGCCCAACAGAAATAAGAATTTATAATCCACATGAAAAGAAATTGGATTTTAGAACGATCAGTGGTTACTTTATTGGTTACCCAGAAAAATCCAAAGGATATAGGTTTTATTGTCCTAATCATAGTACGAGAATTGTAGAAACCGGTAATGCCAGATTCATTGAAAGTGGTGAAGTCACTGGGAGTGGAAAAACTAAAGAAGTGGTCATTCAGGAGGTTAGGGTGCATGTCCCTTCACCCATGCCTTATACGGAAGTTGTTGTTCCTACACATGCTGAACTATTAAGCAATGTTGAACAACAAATCAATGACCAACCACTCCATAATGAGACTATCACAAATGAAAATGTAGTGGAAGAACCACAAGAAATAATATTAAGACGATCTCAAAGAGAAAGGAGGTCTGCTATTTCGCATGATTACGTGGTTTATCTACATGAATCTGATTTTGATACAGGGATAAATAAGGATCCAGTTTTGTTTTCACAAGCCATTAATTGTGTTGATTCTGCTAAATGGATTGATGCCATGCATGATGAGTTGAAATCAATGGAACATAATGAAGTCTGGGATCTCGTTGAATTGCCTGAGGGTTGCAAGCAAGTTGGATGTAAGTGGGTTTTCAAGACCAAATGTGACTCAAATGGCAATATAGAGAGATATAAAGCCAGACTAGTGGCCAAAGGTTTCACTCAGAAGGAAGGCATTGATTATAAGGAGACCTTTTCACCAGTCTCTAAAAAGGACTCACTCAGAATCATTATGGCATTGGTAGCTCATTATGATTTGGAGTTACATCAAATGGATGTGAAGACAGCTTTTTTGAATGGGAGTTTGGAAGAAGAAGTCTATATGGATCAACCAGAAGGCTTCTCATTAAAGGGAAAGGAACACATGGTCTGTAAACTAAAGAAGTCAATATATGGACTTAAGCAGGCTTCCCGACAATGGTATCTTAAGTTTAATGATATCATTATTTCCTTCGGTTTTAAGGAAAACACTGTTGATCGGTGTATATATCTGAAGGTCAGTGGGAGTAAATTTATATTCCTAATTCTGTATGTTGATGACATTTTGCTTGCTAGTAGTGATCTTGGTTTATTACATGAAACCAAGAAGTTTCTCTCAAAGAACTTTGAAATGAAAGATATGGGTGAGGCATCTTACGTGATAGGAATTGAGATATTCCGTGATAGGTCACGTGGTATAGTGGGTTTGTCTCAGAAAGCATATATTGAAAGAGTTCTAGAGAGATTTGGTATGGAAAATTGTTCGCCCAGTGTTGCTCCAATTCAGAAAGGGGATAAGTTTAGCCTTATGCAATGCCCGCAAAATGAATTGGAACGCAAACGAATGGAGAGTATTCCTTATGCATCCGCTGTAGGAAGCCTAATGTATGCACAGACTTGTACCAGGCCAGACATCAGTTTTGCAGTTGGGATGTTGGGCAGGTACCAAAGCAATCCAGGAATTGATCACTGGAAAGCCGCAAAGAAAGTAATGAGATACTTGCAAGGAACCAAAGACTATATGCTCACATTTAGAAGGTCTGATAACTTGGAAGTAATTGGTTATTCAGACTCAGATTTTGGTGGATGTGTTGATACTAGAAGATCAACTTTTGGATATTTGTTCCTACTAGCTGGAGGAGCAATTTCCTGGAAAAGTGCAAAGCAATCTTCCATTGCTTCATCCACTATGGAGGCCTAGTTTGTTGGTTGCTTTAAGGCTACAAATCATGGGTTATGGCTGCGGAATTTTGTTTCAGGGCTTGGTGTTGTTGACACCATTGCCAAGCCGCTGAAGATTTATTGTGATAATGATGCAGCTGTTTTCTTCTCCAAAAATGATAAGTATTCTGATGGTGCTAAACATATAGAGATGAAATACTTTTCTGTTAAGGAGGAGGTTCAGAAACAAAGAGTGTGTATTCAAAACATAAGCACAGAGCTTATGGTTGCAGACCCATTGACAAAAGGGTTAAGACCAAAGACATTTAATGACCATGTTGTAAGAATGGGTCTTGGTCGTAACTCCTAATAATTGCTATAGTTTGTGGTTTGCATAATGACAGTTTATTTTGTTTGACACTCTGAGCTCAATAATTGATTGTTTCTGATATTTCCTGTTTTCCATTATATGTATACATGAATGAGACTGGATGAATGATAACAGGAGCAGTCTTTGACAAAGACATCATTGGACCTTTTATGATACTTCTTACTTATAGACTGTTTCAGGTGATTTTCTAGTGTTGTAGTACATGGAAGGGATTGTATCGCTTATTGATGCATAATCGCCATGACTCGCATTAGAGAATTGCTTAAATGCGGTATTTATGTTGATCATATGAAAGTGATGATTATTCTGAAGGTATCACGCGCCTAATGTTTATTTATTGAACCATTAAGTAAATTTATCATATGGGCCAAGTGGGAGAATGTAAGAATATTTTATAAATATTCTATGTGGCCCACATGAAGTGATCTATGTGGTAAATAAAGTGTTTAATTGGTTTAATAAATATTATTCAGAATAATTATATTGGTCAAATAAAGAGAAGTGGTTTCCTATTTTATTACTGTGATGGGTGGTAATTGATTATGGGCTTGACTAGGAAACGGGTCCTCTCTCTGCCTATAATAGTGCACATACCCATCTTATGTGTACACGAATGAAAAACACGTATTAGGGTTTTTCGATTCTAACGTGCAAAAGGCTAGAGAGAGAAACACCGCTTCCTCTATACAACGGCTCACAACAATCCTGATATTTTTCTTTGCTTGAAGTCATGGATCAAGGTACGCATAATACTTATTAAGTTTCCGCCTGAAGTTATTGTGATAGTCATGAGGTTCACGATTCTGTAAGTTATTGGGTTTTATGTTTTCACTCAATATTTAAAGTTTTTACAGTTTTGGTGCAACACATTCAATCCCGGATTTTCGAAGTGTGACTTGATTGATATGAGGAAACTGATTTCAAGTAAACCATGACATAATAATACATTCATGATAGGATTCTTAGTTGGAGTTATTTTCACTCAAGTGCTTATGTGTTTTATTTTTAATAGGATTAGATTTTATCTTTTGAGATTACTTTTCTAGTTGGACCTTATATTGATTCTCATTAAATCATTACTTTTCCTCTTTTGACTTGGAGGGCACATTGCTCTATTAAAGTCCTCTCCTACCTAATTGATCTCATTGATTTATCTTGGTAGATATTATTTCCTTCTATAACATTTGATTGTAGTGAAAGACATCTTTTCTCATATTGTGCAAAAGATGAGTTTTTTTATTATTAGTGTTTTGCAAGAATCAAATCTGATATGATGACAAGGTCGTGGTTTATTGCACTTAGATTTTTGAGGAGAGAACCTCTTTTGTATAAAAATAAGGTGTGCCTCTCTTTGTTGTGACAACTTTTAAGATTGGTGTTTGAGCATCTAAAATTCCTAAGAAAGGTGTTGTGCATATCTTTGAGATAAGTCATCAAGTGTTCCATGTTTACTTGGTGATTTATCAAATATTTTCATCATTCATTTGCATGTTCGGTGACTCATACTGTTGAGGGCATCAAGACCGTGGTGGTGGTTTTTCTCCGGCGAGTTTGAAGCAATCGTGGCTAGTATTGCATTCAATATAAGAAGTGTTGAAAGATCATCCCGTGATAGAAGTTGAGTTACAAAAAAGTCGATAAACATTATCTAAAATGTGTTTAGGATAAGTGTGTCAGTACTTCTTGTAATCATCATTCTATAGTGGATTTGTTTTGGACTGAGGAATCTAGTGGATTTTCCCCGGATGTGGGGTTTTACCACTTAAAATAATTCTCTACATGTTCCTTTATTGATTATAATTTTAAATTGGCCTATTCACCCCCCTTCTCGGCATTCTTAGTCATCCTACAGGTAATTTCACATTACATGTACTCTTAACACTTGTTATTATTCTGAACGTTCAATTTGAGATTTGGGGTTTTACTGACGTAGGTTTGAATCTGAGTTGCTAAAGCTTACTTTAACTTTGAATTTAAATTGCATATAGAATCGTTTGAACGTAAAATTAATTGTATTAGTTGTTCTCTCATCTTTAATTCAACCTTGATAATGTGTATTTTGCGCGAAACTTAAACATAAATCATATAGAGATATCATATGCAAGAGTTTAGAGAAATGGTTAGGATTTTAGCAATTTTATTGCATAAAATTGAATTAAAACAATAAAATCTCACTTCCAATGGTGTGATTTGTTTTATTTTTTTTATTTAGGACCTTTCATATTGAGAGAGACGATAATATAATAAACTCACACACACTATTGCAATTGTGTGATTTAGTTCATTGCAATATATGCAATTGCAATAGAGGGTGCTATGTGATTAACCCTCTATTTCAATTGTAATTGGCTAATTATGGGACTCACATGCCAATTAAAAATAGAAAAAATACGGCAATTAATGCATTATGTGTTATTACATTACAATAGGCTAACCATGGGACACACATCTCTATTATACCTTTCTTTGCCTATATTTTTGAAAAAAAATCCAAATATACAAGTTTGGCATGAAATTAATTTTTTTTTCAAATATATTCAATATTGATCTCTTTTTAAAGATCGCTTTGAGAATAATTCAATGGTACAATTTATAGTGTTATTAAAATTTATCAATTTTATTTTATTTGAGTATAATAAAAAGGATGTAAGAAGATATAACTGATGATATGAAGCTATTGAACTGTATTATTACAAGTAAAAATGCAATTCGATGCAATAGATGCCGAAGTTCAATTAATTAACCAATACATTGAACCATTTTCTAATAAAGAGAATTCATTCATAGAACCAAAGACCTACAAAGAACGACATGATACAGTGACCTTGTTAAAACCATCATAGGACAACCTCATGGGACAAACCCCAGGAAAGGAAAGAGTACCACACATGTTATGGACTAACAAGAGAGTCCGATTCAGGTCACTTTGGACCATTACAATAAAAGAACAAATAAAAAACGAAACTAACACATAGACCTTTGACGAGAACCACAACTATAGACCAACACAGTATACCCACATGAGAGGAGCGCAGAACATCCCAACTGTCAAAAGAAGCCTTCTATGAGCAAAATCATAGTCCTTTGACACCTACACAAACTGCAAGGCATACCATAGCAGAAATCAGGAGAGAACATGTAAGAGGAACATATAAACAAACAGTAAAAGGACCATTGAGAAGCACTCCACTTCAACTCAGAACTGGACAAAGAAAGTCTCCTATGACCAAACATAGTTCTTTGGTCGGCGCAGAGTAGAGAAGAGCACCACATCCCAACAACTACCACCAACGTCGTTGCTGCTGCTGTCGTTGAAATAGAGACAAAACATCAGTCACTAGGTGTCATAACTCTCCCGAGGAGAGACACAATCCAACATCACCACATAAACAACAATAAAAGGACCCCTGAGAAGCACTCCACTTCAACTTAGAATCGAGCAAAGAAAACCTCGTATGGCCAAGCATAGTCTTTAGTCAGAGCAAGGTAGAAAATAGCACCACATCCCAACAACTACCACTAGCGTCGCTGCTGTCGACGTTGTTGAAACAGAGACAAAACATTAGCCACTAGGTATCACAACTCTCCCAAGGAGAGTCACAATCCAGCCTCACTACTGTTGTCGTCGTCGAGACAAAGACAACACCAACCACCTAGAACACTGCAAAAACAATCAAACCAAAAAAAAAGACAAACATATCTAGATTATCTAGAGAGGGAAGGGGAGGAGAAGAGGGGATAAGAGGAAGGGAAAATATGAGAGAAAAAAAGATGGGGAGATGAGGAGAGGAAGGGGAAGATGGGCGGAGGGGCAGTGGCAACCTCCCCCCTTAGCTTCATTGCGGTTGGTTGTCGGCAAGAAGAAAATGGCCCAAAGTGTGGCTAGGGTTTTATTTATTTATTTATTTTATACATTGAACCATTAAACAACCATCGTAGATGCTCTAAGATAGTGTGAGATAAAATGAATTTACTAGTAAATATACATAGAGTTGGAGTAATTTTCAAAAAAAATGAACCGGTTCTTCACCCAATACATGTTTTTCTCTTCACAATATATATTGTAAAAAGTTACTTTTTTTTTTACAATTGTAAAAAATTACTTGAATATGATGGTCACATTTGGTGTATATTATTGGATAATTCCTCATTCGGATGAAATGTGAGATTTATACTAAATATAAATATTTATTCACATCCATATTATACTTAATTTTATTTTAATCAAGTATGTTCTTTTAATGATTTTCTTTTCAATAATATGCATGCATACATACACATATGACATATATAGGGTCCGTTTGGTAACGTTTTTGTACAACGCCATCTCATGCCACAATAAGTCAAACCCCATGCCACATTATTCCCTGAACCCACCCACTACCTTTCCATTCCATCGCACTAACTCCAACCCAACCGACCCCAAAATCCACGGCAATCCCATTAAATTGACTGCGCCATCACATAATCGGCACTTAACTGAAATGGGATTTGAAATTATCATACATTTAAAACCGATAGATTGATTAGAAGGGTTGTTGTTTTCATACCCTCATTCCTTGTCTCCCACAAAGACGAATAACATGTATCCTTTGGACCATCCAATTTTCACTCATGGTATAAGATGCATCTCAACCATCAGATTTAATTTAACGACTGAAAACGAATCCTCATTCACGGACTTGAGTTGAGTACTTATATGAATATGAAATATCGAGTGACTGGGATTGAATTGCATGGACTACATTAAACTGAAAAATGATGACATTAATCCAAATGATGTGCTTCATATTGCATGAGTCATTCTATAGTGAGGACCCTTAGGTGAGGTCATATTTCTTAACCGTTAGATCATGCTAACCAATTTGATTCAATGGTTAAGAGATAGAGCATCACCTAAATGCCATAAATAAAGCCATCACTATAGAATTCTTATACTACTGCTACACATAATTAAGGTGTTGGATTAATGTGCCATTACATGGCTTAGTAGGATTAGATATAATCCAATCCAACTTAATCACAACCCTTTAGTAGAATTCATAATTCTACTACATTTGGCATTAGTGAGATTAAACATAATCCAATTCAGGTTTTTTTAAGTCATCCAACATTAGAATTATGATTGACCAAAAATAAAAAAATAAAAAAATTAGAATTATGAATCATATCCAATTACATAATCCAACTCACCAACGGCCCAAGTTTTGGATCAAACTTGAAAAGTTATATCAATCAGTAGACTAGACATATATGGTTGAGATGCACAACAAATGCGGGGAGGTAAGATGCATGTCAACTGTTCATATACAGACTTTAATAACTTAAGAGCTTGTTGTATCTTCTTTAGTGTTAATATCAAATACGAAAGAATAAGATACGCAATGTCCAATGGGCGAGTGTAGGCATCACATCTGTTTCAGAAGCATGCGATCAGTGGTTTTGATTAATATTTTTTCTTACAAACCTGTTAGAGAATCATACGCATATCGTTAATGGAGAGATAGAAAGAGAGAGAGAGAGTTGTGTTAATATTCTTACATTCCTCTTGTATAAACTAAGAAACTTCACGTCAGATGACAAGTAATTTACAAAAACAAAGCTATTCTCAAATTTACATTGCTGGTTTCCTTTCCCCCAAACAAAAAAAAAAAAAAAAAAAAAAAAAAAATACAAATCAACTCAACAAACAAGACAAACAGAGCTTGAGCTCTATCATCTACCAGTAACGATTACATGTGTGTGTGTGTGTGTGTGTGGTGTGTGTGTGTGTGAGAGAGAGAGAGAGAGAGAAATAATAACTACCTGCCTCAAGAACATCACAGCAGCTGATTATACACTATCAGTTGGAGATTTCTACCCCAATTTCTCTTGTACAAGATATTAAGTTCTACATTTAAGATGACGATGATGATGACGATCTAGCTGATGATTCACCCAGTGAGACAGAAGTCAGTGAAGAAGCCCAAACCCTGGCATTCTTTGCACCCTTGTGGAAGTTTTGGGTCTTGCATAGTCTCAGCTTGTTCCAAATCCTCCTAACATCAACCATGTGGAGGATACGCCCCATAATTTGACTTGTCTCCCCAAATATTCCTAAGTTAAAATGGGGAACATATAGAACACAGAAAGCTTTGAGGCAAGCCAATACCCTATGAAATATATACAGGAGTACCCTCAAACACAGGAACAAGAGAGCAAAAACTAAATAGGGTTCGCTCCCTGATATCTCTCTTAGTGACATATTACTCATTGACTGGATTATGGACTTTTCACTACTTTTTAAACGACGGATTGATTGCCATCAAAATATTGAACTGGTTCAAGTCCTGAAAGACAAAATTAGATGGCAAGGATGTATATGGTCAAGTCCACAAGATAACTGCTTCACAATTTGTGCAAAACAAATGAAAAGGAAAAGGCCACCTATTGGGCATTCCCCCACATGCGTATAATATTCTTCAGTTTGGGAGACTTTTACCTGTGATTGTTTGGTAAAATCGTACAAGTGAGTAAAAATCTTTTAGGCCATGATATCGCACCCTTGATGTCTGATTGACTATTAAAATCGAAGGCAAGCTATGGATTCCATATCTTGAGAAAACACTACAGTACAAACACATCAAAGGAAGGTGAGTATGCGTGATAATAGTGGTACTTCAAAGAATAGATAATTATATAACTTTGCATATCCCATAAATATCTAAGTAAATGCGTCCCCCATTGATGAAAGCATCCAAGGGTGGAATGCAATTGGATTTAGTAATACTAATAATAGATAATAAAAACTGAACAAAATTGCTTATAAAATTATGCAATTTTACTTGAATTAACAAATCTATAGCATCCTCATTGGCAACTTAGATTATGCAATGGAAGATACTAAAAACGCATAGAATTTTTTTTTATTTTTATAACAACAAACATAATACAGAGCAAATATACTTTTTTTTTGTCAAATCAATCTTTGGCCTACTATATGTATCTAGCCAGGCTCCAGTATTTGTACCACAGATCCAAAACCAAAAGGAATCTTACATAGAAAAACGATAAAGGACAGAAGCAGGTCAATTTAAAGCTTCGCACCTTGGCAATGCTGAAGATTGCTCAATTGCCAAATGTTCTACTTGAGGGAACATGAAGCTGAGCATTCCAAATGTAGGATACATACTGCATGAAAATGGGCACCATGAAGCATAAAAGAGCACCGCAGTATAACCAGTCCTCTGTTTCGATGCCAAAGCTCTCTCAAGGAAATTTCCATCCACCTGAAGAAGATAAGAAAATAAATAACACTCACAGGACTCCATTTTTAACTGAGAGAAAGTATGTCATGCAATTGTTGTATTCTTTCAAAAAGTTTCATACTACCATCAACTGATTATGACTTAAAAGAACAAATATAATGGAAGCTAAGGACAAGAAGATACTAAAAATAAAGGGAAAATTGCGTTATGGTCGATATTTGGGAAATCACTAGATTCTAACCATATATTTGAATTTTAATAACAATTTTTCTGACAAGAAAGTTTAAACTATGAGATGACACAAAGCAATCAAACAGGCATTCCAGTTGACCTTATTATACACTCCTCCACTACATACACTTGGACTCAAACCATAAACGCCATGACTTCCAAAGGATCAAACTCCATTTATGCAATGAACATTGATTGGAATCATTATAAGAGTCAAAACTTTCACATATAATTATTAGAAAAATATGGCAAAGAAAAAGGTCGTTGTCCTTTTTCTTTTCTTTTCAGAATAAAAAAAAATTACGACAAAAATCTAAACAAAAAAATGCATAAAATATACAACTTATGGTTTCCATCTGCTACCAGATTCATAAGGTTGTGAAGGTGTAAATTTGACATAAGTATTAGGCATTGGAGGCTCAAAAAATACTCAACTAGCTATTGGTCTAGCGGATAAAAATGAGGCTCTAAATACAAGGAAAAACAGAACATTTTAAAATTAATATAAATTGGAAGCCCATTTTGATCAAATAAATGTGAGCAACAAACAAACTATATACGAAGGCAGAATATCACTTCAATAAACATATAGGCTAAGGTTAATCATCACCATTTGCCAGCAATTATTGTGTGCCACATCAATCCACCTTCACAATCGTCAACACCTCATATCCTCATTTTAAAAACCATTTATAATCACTGCATTTATCTTCATTATAATTATTGCACCCAGCACTACAACGTACTACAAAGGCAATTTTCATCAGCGTTAGTTTTTGCCTCCTCTTCTGCATTGGGTATTTAGGTTCTAACAATATTCAATAATGAGTAATGCTTAAAATCCATTTCCACTTCATTGTTTCTCCCTTACACTTAAACTCTAAAACATCACCTGTAACCAAACCCTAAATTTAACCCTACACAAGAAGTAAATCCCATTGCATCTGGAAACAACAATAAAAAACTAAAACTAAAAACTAAAAGGTAGAATCCCATAGCCATCTTGACCACCCCTGCTTTTATTGTCTTCTAGAATAAAATTTCGTCTATTCTAAAGAAAAAGTAGAATCCCATAAAGCTGGATCCTGTCAAAGAAGCTCTTGTGCGGGAGTGTGTCAATTTCTCTCTCTCTCTCCGTATGCAGACAAAAAGACACTATGAACTAACTCCAAATTCTGCAGGGTACTCCTTTCATTCCAATAAAGAACACATTGAAAGAATATCTGCAATAGCTGAGATGCTTCCTAGGAGAATAGTTGTTCTGACCATAGTTCTGGTAACTATGGAGATCCAGCTTTTGTGCCTAGAATTTAATCTCTTTCTTCCATTGATATTCATGCACTGCAGTGACCATGTGTCCATAACCACCCTATTTCTACATATCACCACTGCATTACTCTATTTTGACTCCTGAAAAACCTTTCTATAACAAACCTCTAACCTTAACACTCTAAATCCTTAAGACACCTTATTTCTGGACTACATGCAGCAGTTTTCTGGCTCCTGCTACATCATTCAAGATTTAATCATTTGTAAGCCCTCTTCAACTATCAACTCCTAATCAAGTTTTAGATCTTCTATACCCTAATCTCTTTCATTGTTCCTAAACGTTTTCAGCAATAATAAAAACTGTAATGAGGATATTAGTAGATACCATTAAACAGCATCTTTATTTAATTCAGGACAGTCAATGATTGACAGCCTACTACTTCACAACCTCTCAATGGACTATATAAATGGCTCAATTTAGTGCCAAAATAAAAGAGAAGTGTGCTACAAAGGCATGGAAAATGTACTAAACCCATTGTAAGAGAATGGACTACTCAAGTAACTTATGATCACAAAGTTAGTGAGAGATTGTAGAGAAAAAAAAAGTATTTAATTTCCATAAACAACTTAACAATGACTAAAGAGTTTATTCCATCATTTAAATAAAATGAAATAAGCTATCCAATTTACTTTTTTTTTTTTTTTTTTAAACAAAGTAGAAAAAAAAAACTGTTCTTTCTATAAAAATATAACACTAAGAATTGGACCCCAAAAAAACTACGAAAATGAGTACAAAACATCTGCCAAATCTTCATCTCACATCTCAACCCAGCTGTTTTTTAGGTCATCAAGCTTGAAGAGGCTAGAAAGGACATGTCTACAGTATACTATGCTTTCAAATCAATGTGTACCATGATGATTACAAAGATGGACAATGAAGCAGTGTGCATTTGGGAGAAAAATTGAATTGACAAGGTAGTCAAACCCCATACTATAGACAGTCCTTTCTAGCCTCTTCAAGCTTGATGACCAGAAAAAAAAGCTTGGTTGAGATGGAGATGAAGATTTGGATGATGTTTGTACTCATTTCCTTAGGTAACAGGAATGCTTCTTTTGTCCAATTCTTTGGTATTACTAATCTTTTTATCAAAGTAATGCTTTTTCTTTTCTCTACTTTGTTATTGTTTACTCGTATTATGAAGTAAAATTATTCAAGGCAGTTAAACATCGATGTAAGCACAAAAACGAATACCTTAAATCATACAAATTTTTACTTCATACAATGTTCTTCAGTGGATAACATAGTAACTAACACTAGACACCCCATTGAGGGATTAACCAGAAGTCCTACGTAATGCTTGACCTAGCACTTTGGCAGAGTATACAACAAGGGTTCAAGACATATTGTAGGTTCACATGAATAAAATCAAACTTGAAGAGTAAAAGAAAAATGAACAAAATCAAGGCCCTTGTCCTTGACCATGCCTCAAACGGACTAATTAAAATGAATGAAATCAAACTGAATGAGCAAAGGGAAGGTTTACCTAAAACAACCACATTCCAGAACACAGCTATCTCAAATTCCCATCTTTCTTCTATTCTGTAATTACCCAATTGATAACAAATAGGGAAACTTATAGAATTGCAACTGTTATTCTTTCAAATCTTTTATCTTTTCTAACAGAGTAAAAAATGCTATCCAAAAGTCAACCAATACCTCACATTCTAATATTTCAATTTTGCACCATACAAACTCTACCACCCCGCAGGACATACCAGCTACCCTTTTGCAATTAAAACCTCAGAAACTGATATACCAGAATCCAGCCATTTTGATTAATTTAAACACAATCCAACAAAACAAAAATCAAGCATCACCAATACACAAATTCGCACCAATAAAGATAAAAAGATTTTCAATAAGCAACACAGTCAACAAAAGAATCAGTCAATTCAGATAACAAATAAACGAATAGGTAATCAGGTATGTGAGAAATCGAAGGGTAACACGTACCTTGAGGGGAGGGTAGGGGGAGATCGAGATATGGGATTGAGATTGAAGACTATAACGGAAAAATTCCGATTCGTGAGGCAGAGAGCGGAGGACGAAACCAATAGCGAGGCCAAGGTAGGATATACAAGATATTAAAGATTTATCCATAGATGAACAATACCCATCGAACGAACAAGGGGAAGAAGAACCAGAAAAAAGGTAGGAGAAGAGAATACACAGGTGCAAGAAGGGTAAAATAGGAACAAAAGAAAATAGAAAAAACCGAAAGGCTAAATTTTTTTATCTTCTCAGAATCAAAATGTTGAATATAGAATTTTTTTAACGAAGAGGGTCTGTTGGTTATATTTTGTTTGTGTGGTGTGGAGTGTGATCTGAATGTTCTTCAATATGGAGTAGGTAGAGAGGTGAGAAGTAGCTCTCTCGGCCCCGCCTCGCGTTGTGAATGAAAATGGATGTTTTATGACCAAAAATAATGGGCGGTGATTTTCGCTTTTTCATTACATTCCCTTTTATTTTGGCCAAAAGTCTTTTTTTATTTTTGTAGTTTGACACTTCAATCACTTTAAACCTTGTACCTTCAATACAATTTATAAATAAACCCAATCCTAGATATGTATTTATAAAAAAACCCAAACACTATTTAAACATAGAAACATACCCAAAAATCAACCCCAAAATCAACAATTGTATATTTTTTGGGTGTGTTTATAAATGGGTTTTGAGTGTGTGTAAGATGGGTTTTGGGTGTGTTTATAAAGTGTTTTGGGTGTTGGGTTTTTTATATTTCAGCCCCAATTTTGGGTGTTTTAGTGAAACTCCCTACTTTATATATATAGATACATTACAGAGCCATACATATAAAAATAAACTAATTATAGTAATTATTATAGTAATTACATTCACATGAAAATTACAATGTGTTTGGATGAGGAAAATTTAAAGTAGAATTTAAAGTTGGGATTTATGACCTCCAAATTTCATGTTTTTTCCCCACACAGAATTTCTATATATATATATATATATTTTTACGAAACACTGGAATTGGTTCATGTCAATTTAGAAATTCTGACTTTTATCAAAATCCCAAATTTATTTCCCTCATCCAAACGCACTGTTACTAAACCAAATACATGAATTGTTTATATCCATGCCCTCTTTTAGCTAACTGATAAGCAATCATGTTAGCTTTTCTATAAACATGGTTGATAGTCACAAAACTGAAATTCCCATGAAGTCGTCAGATATCTTATGCAAGTGATTGTAAGCTCCATGGTATATTGGCTTACCCATTGATTATATGTATCAGCGTCTTAGAAATCCCCCTCAATTTCTACCTATGAAATCTTTAATCTTGTTGCCAAAATTAATGCTTGTTTAAAAGCAAAGGCTTCATCTTGTAAAACCTAATGGACAGGATCTGGATGAGCTTGTGCATCTTTGATGACAAAGCCTGCGGCTAAGTTTCCAATTGATAAAACAGAGTAGTCAAAATGAATTTTATAGCTACCATTGTTAGGAAGGCTCCATCCATAAGATTAAATATTAGTAGCATGCCAGTTGTTGAGGTCCAAAAATCTCAAGGAATGTTTATGCATATTTTAGGCCAATGCATTATCGAGCTATAAAAGAAGCCTAGTTAAGGTATGCGGAGGCCTGTCAAATGCGGCTACAAATTGCCTAACAAGCTTTGAAATTCGTGCCATGCCAAGCGAGACTACAATTTGGCATGTGGGGAGGTCATAATACGGGTTTACCAATTTCACATGCAAATCTATAAAGTTTAACAATGTCACATACCTGAGCTCACCTAGCCCACTACTTTGTGAAGCATTATCTAACATAACCCCAAGCCACTACAATACAAAGTAGCCCAAGCATAAACATGCAAATAACATGCCATGCCTAGTGCCTTCCTTTAGTGGTGATGGGGATGGGTATAAAGGTCCAAAAGGCCCATGAAGACTAATGGATAATGGAGACTTTGGGCAGCTTTGGAGCACCGAAGTCCAAGCTCATTCCTTTAGTTCTCCCACGTGGGGTAAGCAAATGGGATGTTTTTCAAGCATTCCCTATTACTTGCTGGAAACAAGTTGTTTCTAACACTCCTTTTTTACCCATAAGAAATAATCATTTCTAGTACCTAGCTTCACATGCTGGGAAATAGCATGCCTTAGTGCTCCCTTTTAATTGTTAGAATAGGTTGGTTCTAGCACTTCCCTTTATCTATTGGAAGGGAAAACCATCACCCTCTATAAATTGGCATGATCATGTGGCTTAGGCAAACGGGGACCATTCTTTAGCCATCAAGCCTCCTTCTTTGGCTGTTGTAAGCATCCCAACAAGCATCAACCCCATTCTTCATTCGTCACACCTCATTTCTAGTTGTTACAAGCACCCCATCCATAACCTCCTCTCCTTGAAGCCATTATTCCATGTAAAGTACAGACACAAACATAACCCCAAGCTTTACTTCATCCTCTTACCTCTAGAACTCATAAACATCTCTAAGAATCATACCCATAAACACCGTAGCCTTCACATTCTCAAGCTATGCATTCCATCACCATGGTTGTTTGTGCAAATTTCTCACTTGAGAATATTCACCTGTAGATTCTTCACCTTTTGAGCTTCATTATCTTTGGTAGCAGGATTGATATGACTTATTAATCTTGAAACATGTTGAGCATAAAATAAAGGAACATGTAGAGAATTATTTTACGTAGTAAAACCCTACCTATGGAGAAAATACATGGGACTCCTCAGTCTAACACAAATCCACTATAGAACTATGATTACAAGAAGTACTCACACACTTATCATAGACACATTTTAGATAATGTTTACCGACTTCTTTGTAACTCAACTTCTGTCAAGGGATGATCTTTTGATACTTATTATGTTGAACGTAATATGATCAAAATTGCTTCAAGCTTGTAGGAGGAAAATCGCCACCACGGTTTTGGTGCCCTCAACCATATGAGTTACCAAACAATGCAAATGAATGCAATATGAATGATTAAAGTGTTTGATAAATCACCAAGTAAACATGAAACACTTGATGATTTATCTAAAATATATGCACATAAGCTTTCTTAAGAATTTTAGATGCTTAACAAAATATGGGAAAGCTATGTGTGCAAAAGAGATGCACACAATATTTTATACAGAACCCGTTCTCTTCTTTGCAACAGAAGTGCACACAACCATGTATCAATATCTTGCCATTGATTAGATTTGATATACCTAGACTCCTAATTGATTTCGTCAGTTTATGACTCACTCCAACCAATTGTTTATAGAGGGAAACAATCTTAATCAATGAAACAAATTGGGTACTAATTAAAACATGCTCTCCAAGTCAAAGATGATGAAAACATAATATTTTAACTTAAATCAAAATAAGGTACAACTAGAAAAGAATCCCAAGAGATAAAATCTAATCCTATTAAAAATAGGATTAACATAAAAGTACTTGAGTAAAAATAACTCCATATAGGAATCCTATAATGAATGCATGATTATGTCATGATTTACTGAAATCAAGTTCTTCATATCGATCAAGTCATACTTCGAAAATCCGGGATTGAATGTGTTACGCCAAAACTTCCAATAAAAGATATTCACACACTAATACCCGACCTATACTAGAGTCTAAGAAATGTCAATACAATTTTCATACTAACATAGTATTTTGTGTTTCTATGGGCGTGAAGGAAACAAGAGAAGGTTATTTGTGTCTTGTAGTGTTGTAGAAGCTTGTATACATATGTGGGAGTAACCTGAATACAATATTATATATTTGAGATATTAGTTGTAGAATAAACTTCTGTTATCCTTATTTATATTGTTGTACTATGTTATGATGTTCCAACGTTTGTGTGCCTGATTTTTGTGGATCTTGAGATCTAAGTGTGACAACTTGACTTTTTTAGTTTAAGAAAGTTTTGTGTAATTGTTTCATGTATTGATTAGGATTAAATACCCTCTATTTTGACCGAATTTAACTTCCTTTATTATGCCATTATGTTAACTCTTACACAAGTAGTATAATATATCAAACTTTTATATAAATACGTAAATTTCTACAAAACATTGCATTGCTAACTCTCAATTAGATTTGTCGTGGTATTTAGGGCCAATTTCGGATTGTTGTTACTTAAAAAAAAGTTGCTTCTATTGTGCTTTGAAAATAATTAGTTATAAAATAATTTGGAATATTTTATTTTTACTAAACACTTTAAATTGCTTAACTTTAAAGTGAACCAGGTTTTGGCTAAAAAAAGCAATCCCAAACAAGGCCTTAGATTGTAATCGTGAATTAAATTTTTAAAAGTACTTTTTAGTGTTTTGTGGAGAAGCATCTTTTCACGAAGCATTTTCAAGTACTTTTTCACAAAATAATTGAACTATTGTTTGAATTTTTAACCTGCTTGTGAGTAGAAGTATTATCTTTTGATTATCAAGTGAGTTGAATGATTGATAATTTTTTTTTAATACAAGCTCTATTTGGGGAGTGGGAAATTAAATCCAAGACCTCAAGTCGAGTGCAAGAGTAATTCTTCGCAACCACTTGAGCTACGAGCTATAAGCCCCCTTATAATAATTGATAAAATTATTAAAAAGCCGGAAATATTGATTATTATTTTTTTAACCACTTGGGTCAAAACCGGTTATCTTAGATTTGGGCGGTATAAAGTCCAACCCGAAATCGAATTCCAGGCTAACTGAAATTGAGCCCACGATCATCTTGTAAAGCCGCGTTTCTCTTCCTTCGTTATTCGTTTCGTTTGCTTTCCTTTTTTGGGTGGTTGGTTGTGTTGCGTTGCAGAGAGCGAGAGAGAGAGAGAAAGAGGGAGGAGAGTAAATTAGGGCTTTTTGTGAGAGGATGGAGTTGGTAGCGGAAAAGGAGTCTGACCAGCAGAACAGCAACAACAACAACAGTGAGAAGAACAACAATACTAGTTATGCACAAGCACTTGTAGATTCTCATGATTACAATAACAAGGAATCCGATGAATTTCGTGAACGTCAAGCTCGCGACCTCAAAGCTGGCTTCCATCCCCTCAAGGTTTTCTTTCTTCTCTCTGTTTATATTATATATATTTATTGACCTAGATTTGTTCATCTACCCAAAATTGTGGTATTTCATAGGAGAATTCATGCTTGTAGAGCTGATTTATTTTGATAAATTTTTAATATGTTAGTTTGCGCTCAAATGATTACTGCTTGAATCAGTTGGTTTGCTGTTGAATTACGTATGTAGGGCTAGAACTAGGAGTCAATTAATTTTGATTTCGTCGTTTTATTCTCATTCATGTATAATGCGGTGAACACCGGTTTCTTTCATTCTGCTTTCAGTATCTCGCTTATCAATTTTGTATTCTTCCATTCTCTGTTGGAAATGCTCTCTTTCTTTGTTTAAGTCCATAGACTGTCTTTTATCCAATTGATAATTTTTATGGTCCTGTAGCACTCATCTTTTATGTTTCTATGATTAGCACAAATTCGTGTTTTGGTACACTCGTCGAACACTAGGAATGCGAAGTCAGACACCGTATGAGGACAATATAAAGAAAATTGTTGACTTCACTACGGTAAAATCTATTTTAATGTCAGAAAGAGAAAATGTGATTGAGTTTATTACTTTCATTTTTATTAAGTTTTTGCTTCTTGGATTTAGGTTGAAGGCTTTTGGGTGTGCTATTGCCATCTAGCCCGTCCTGCTACTTTGCCTAGCCCAACAGACTTGCATCTTTTCAAGGATGGAATTCGCCCTCTCTGGGAGGTACATATCTGAAGCCTAACTTTCAATTTGCTCTTTCTTATAACTGGATGCTTCTCTTGTTTTCCGTTAACTCCTCCCTACCGAATGTAGTTATATTAGAATTGTTTCAAAGATATTAATATTTTTGGACAACAGAATGCCAACTTCTGTGGAATTTGTGGTTTTTCAGGACTCTGCTAATTGCCATGGTGGTAAATGGATAATACGATTCAAAAAGGCTGTGTCGGGCCGTTTTTGGGAGGACCTGGTAAGGAGAAAAACTGAAATTTCTTTGTTGTTATTGTGCAGTTTCCAGGCTACTTTCATACTATCAGTTGATAGTACTAGTTCATTTTACCAATGCTTTGCTTTGAAGCAATTATCCTACTGAAGTTTAGTGGCTTTCAATAGGAAATTTGCACATTTTCTAAACATTAGTATTTTCTTAAACTGTTGTCTCTCTATATTAAGTTATGCCTGCAATAAACAGTGATGGTGATTATTGACAAATTGTAGTATTCTGCTCTTAGTTCTAGGTGCTACTGGGATTTGTTTGTATTGATACTTTGATGTATACTAATTTCTAAAGATGTGAGGGATATAGTCATAATAGCCTGCATATATATATATATATATTTGACATGAAGTGGAATTTTTATAAAAGGGGAAATTTTGAAAACTCTGATATATAAAGATTTATGGTGGCAATATAGTTTAATTTTCTACACTGGGTTTATGCTTCATGTGGTGCTTGGTTTGGAGAGAGGTTTAATTTTGTCAGAGGAAATAAACAGGGAGAAGTTCTGGGAAGATGTGCTATGTTGGCAGATTTTTGGGTAGTGTGGGTGGAAAGGAATAGGAGAGTTTTTATGAGTGGCGAGCAGCACGGAACTTTAATTAATCAAATGACATAACATAAGGGGGCTTTCCTTTGTTAGAAATCCACAGACAGCATTCTGGAACTTCCAAACCAAAGAAATGCAACATGAGAAGGAGCTTTAAGGGTGATGAGATAGATCAGTTATGGGATCGTATTCGGTTTTGGGCATCTACGTCTTCAGAGTTTAGGGAGTATACCATGTATTTACTCTATTTGGATTGGAAAGCAGTAGTATCATAGAGATACTCTTTCAAGTGAAATGTGGTAGAGAGGTGTCTTAGGTTTAAGATTCTGATTGTTATATATTTGGTGGATTTCTTGTTCACCAATTTGTACATCATGGGTTTTAATAAAATTGTGGTTTGTTATAAGAAAAAAAGAATACGGTAGTCCGGAATTCTTGAAATATTGGTGAAAATATAACATTTTCTTAAAAATATAGATATTTTGAATGAAAATTTGGAGGTGGTAAATGAATAATTAATGCATCAATTCAACATGTAGGCTTTGTATATCCATATACATACGACATGCAGGGTGATATTAGAGTTCACTGCTGACACATATAACCATGAAAATTGAATATTAGTGTACGAAAATATTATATTTTCTTCTTTTTAAATACCTTGATGGTATGAGGAAAGTTTAAATGATAAGAACATCTACACTTGGACAAAGGATGCTGGCTACCATTGGGTTGGAGAGAGAATTAAAGAATTATTCTTCCTCTGACGACAAGAATCATGATGCATAAAGCAGCTTGATTTGTGCAATCTGTATAAAGGAGATTTTCAATTTTTAAGAACAGGTGACCCATTGATTCTCACAACCTTAATACTTTTCACTAGCTGAGCATATTTTAAAGATTTAAAGAAAAAGAATAACAAATGCCCTGTCAAATAAAAGAAAAAGAAAGTTCAAGAAATGAATCAAGGCAGGGCTGAGGTCTACCATCTGAGATGAATTTCAAAATTCTCGCTCAAAGAAATCAACCTAATCAATGACCCCCTCCCCTTGAAAGACATGGAGTGATGTGCATGCGTGAAAGTGACTGGCTGTGTGTGACTCAAGCCAAAAAGAGTACAACCCACAAGTTTGAGAAGCTTAGCGAGTTGTTTTACTATCCACCTATGGTCTCAACTTATGTTGAGCCCAACAGGATCAAGAAGCTCACTCGGGTCCAAACCAAGGAGCTCTTGGTTTGTAAATCACATAGGTGCAAAGTTTTGGTGGATATTCATCAAAGCTACGGTCCTCTTTTGATAAGGTGCTGTGAAATTTTTTGTCTATACATCACTTGCCTATTTCTTGGTGGCATATTGCCAAGATTCAGTGATACAGGGAAGAGTATACAATCCACCCCTGTATAGTTGTTAGCACCCTAAAAAATCTGAAATTTTGAGCATTGCCTTCACCTAGGTATGGTTAGTCAACTTCTGATCTACAGAGATTATTTTTTGCTGCTCTCTCTCTCTCTCTCTCTCTCTCTCCCCCCCCAATGTAATTCAATTATCACAAATCTGAAATTGGACAGCTTTTCTGTTTTCTGTAATGAAGTTGGGTTTGGTTTTAATTTTGCTAATAACCTATGGTTAGGTAACTCAAAATATTACCTAGTTTTCTCTTTACATTGGTACTGTGTCTCATTGATTTTGTTGAGTAATGAAAATCATTCTCTAATCTGCATGATGCTTTCAATTGTTAGATCAGTTCTGGCAGCTTTATGTGGAGATCCTGTTCTGCAGGATCCCAGGCCTTGTGAACACGTTTTGCACTTGTCTGATGACAGCCTGATGCCTTTAGGGTGTAAAAACCATTTGAGGTTTTGGTTTTAGCTCTTGGGCCAAAACCTTTGACTTAAATCCTAAACGAGCGCATTTTGGCATCTTCTTAAAGCAACCCTTCTTTGGCCTTGGATGCCATTCAAATATATTGATACACATACATGGGTTTATACATAGGCCTGGACATGCGTTACGCAATACATATTGATACACATGCATTTATATTGGTGTGCGTCTATTATGGGGTTTCACTACTAATTTAATGTGGCTTTATCTAATGTATTTTGATAAGTTAGTTGAGATATTTGCGGTGGGTACCGGGAGTATTTGAACATAGGATCTCTGCTTTAGAGGAGAGCTGTGGCTACCAACTAGTCTATATGTCTACCATGACTGTCTACCAAAGTTAGAGCTTGAGTCTCAATTTAGCATTTCATACTCTTGCTTATGTTTGCAGGTTCTTGCCTTGGTGGGTGACCAACTTGATTATGGAGAGAACATATGTGGTGCGGTACTAAGCATTAGATTCAATGAGGACATATTGAGTGTCTGGAATCGCAACGCTTCTGATCATCAGGTTGGTAATTTATGACTAATTGCTACTTCTGTTGATAGTCTCTCTCTCTCTCTCTCTCTCTCACACACACATGTGCGTGTACAGTGTAATATCTTGACCTTGCTTTTATTCACCAGGCTGTAATGGCTTTAAGAGATGCAATCAAGAGGAACCTGAAGCTTCCACACAGCTATCTCATGGAATACAAGCCACATGATGCTTCACTGCGTGACAATTCATCATACAGAAACACATGGTTGAGGGGTTAGATATTTGCTGTTTATTTCGATGCCACCAGATAAGTAGTAGTTTCAGAAGAATTTCGTGAAGGTGACTGATACACAATTCATGATCAAAATCAGTAAATCTTGCATGATGAAAAAGCGATGTGCAAAGTCTTAGAGACTTCATAATTGGTGGCAATCTGTTAGGTTGAACTGTAACCGAGTAATATCTGTACTAAAGTTATGGATTATCAAACAGATTTCGGATTCTATATGCTTTTTCTTAATCCTTCCAATTTGCTGTTGTGCATCAGTCGCCTTCACAAAAGTATTTAACTTATAAAGTTAAATTACAAATCAAACTGAAGACATGGCGTTTGCTAAAGAAACCCATAAAATGGATGCTTACCATTGTTGAATCATCTGGTCTTTACTGACCAAAACAAAACAACTGCTCACCAAGTTGCAGTTTTTGGTTTCTTTTTAAGTAAAAGTTGATGGAAATAAATTAAATGAAGAGTGGAACCGTCCCAAGTATTCTTTTGGTCAGAAGTTTGGAGGTATTTTCTTGTTATTGAGTGGAAATGGTGCATAACTGATTCAAATGCGAGTTTTTTCTGATTCAAACGTATGGGTTTTCTAATTTGTCATAGAGCAATTAAAATTTATGTTCTATTTGTGGGTGAGTATAATAGAGCAATTAAAATACAAGAAGCATGGTACCTCTAGTTTGTTGATGATTATCTACCACAAAACTCATATCAGACAAATTAATATGCTCAGTTTTCTGGCAGCATTTTATTTTTGTTTTTGTTTTCCTTTTGTGTTTGCTAAGCCCCACTTCTCTTCTTCACTATTAGTTTGATAGATGCACAATTTGGACACATAACATGTCGTTTCGAGGTACAAAATTGTTCTAATTCTCATTTTGAGTGGATACCAAATTGTGCTTTAGGTGATCTTAAGTAGGAGAAATACAAGTTTCTAGTTGAATAAATGCCTAGAGGCACAACAACAACGGAAATTGTGAACAATCTGATGCTGATCTTTTCGAGAGTTACTCCATCCTAGAACTAATGACGACTACCCAAGAAGGAAATTAATTTGATGATACACAATAATAATAATAGTAATATTTTACAATATACAGTTATGATAAAAACCATTTCTTGGACCATGTTTATAAGTTTACATGTGAAAAGCCCTATTTTATAACAAAGATCCGTCGTGTATTAAACCCACACGTGTGAATACAAAGATCCGTCATTTTTCTCATCGTCAAACTTCACCTTAGGGTTGTACAACTTCATTCACTCAACATTTCTGACTGTTCTTTCTATGTTACTTGGTGGCAACATCGGTGAATTGCCCTCATCCTCCATAATTTATAGCTTTGGTGTGTTTGATTACACCTACTGTTCCCTCACACACAAAAATTTAAGAGTCTGTACCAAAGAAGCTAAAGCAATAGAGATTGGTACTCTTTGTAGTTGTCATGCATCCAGTCTTTTTTTGAAAAATTCTAGGATTGATTCATAATTTAAACAAAAAAGCCATTAGCCACAAAGGGTCATAACGGAGCGGTCTAACATCAAAATTAAGACAATCTGGTGCGCATCCACTAACGATCACGCATGATCAAAGCAACTCTGGCATAGGTATCCCAACTAGATTGCAAACTCAAAATAATCAAAAAGAAATAAAGCTTGAAAAAACTAAGCTTTAACAATACAAATAAAACTCTCACAGAGGAGAGATGAAAAGCTCTCACAAAGGAGAGGTGAAAACTACACAAAGAACCCAAAGAGTCTGTGTGACTTATTTTGAACATAAAGAAACTGCAAAGAGGATGGTTGTGGAGATCTGACTCCGAGACACAGCTGCCTATGATGGTTGGAGGAAAATCATAACAAAACAAAGACAATAGACAAAATTTGCATCCAGTCTAAGTGTAGATGGCACATAAGTCTCACCTAGGTGTATTTGGTCAATTGTGACCCTATAGTTTCATAATTGTAGCAATTTAGGGACAAGGCACGAATTTCATCAATTTCTTTCATGACGTTAGGGGTATTTTCGTCCATTTCTGGTTTAAAAAAATTAGAAACTTAAAATTAATTTTTTTTATCCCAAACAAGAAACATACAATTGATTTTGTTATTGAAATGAAATTCCCAAGTTACCAAAGTAGCAAATAACAATAAAAGCATTCCCAATCTAGCTCGAAATTCATTAGCTAACAAAACCTAATGTCAAAATATCGCTCAAGCATATCATCTTAGAGTTTTCCTTCAATTGACTGAAATACCCTTGACACTGTGAAAGAAATTGATGGAATTTCGTTAGTTATCCTTGAATTGCTACAATTATGAAACTATATGGGCATAATTGACCAAATTGAAACTAAAGGGACAAAAAGTGAAAAAGAGGTAAACCACTTGAGTGAGGATCGGTTCGGAAGGGTAGAGGGCTCTTCCGTTAACCAAACCAAAGAGTTTGGTAGACCAATTTCTCTTCCGTTAACCCATCATTAGGACCTTTAACCGTTCGAATCGGTTAACCTAACATTGTATTCGGATTGATTCAGTAGGCCGGTAGTACCGTAATAAAAAAAAACTAATAAAAATACAATTTATAATCATTTCACATAACATAAGTTCTTGAACAAATACAACAAATTATCCTTCTAAAATATAAAAATTCAATAGTCTAATTCATCCAAGTACAAAATGAAAGAACTTACTTTTAAAGTTACAAACAAACATGAAAAATACATAATAAAATAGCAAATAACATTACAAACCAAAAAGAAATTAGTTTAAAGGTTTCAAAGAACCAAAAACTGCAGCTATGATAAAATAATAAGTTGATAACTTTCAAAGAACCAAAAAAAAAATTAGTTTAGGTTATGTTGTTCCGCGCTCTAGTGTTTCGCAATATATGATTACTTTCAACTCCACCACTAGTAAATTGACATGTGTATATTAGTAGTTAAAAAATAAAATAATTATAAATGTCGGATTGGTATGGGTTTCCTTCAGGTTAGGGATATTGTTACCCGTTAATCAAACCAAATGTTTTGGTACAAATCGGATTGAAATAATTAAAATTAAAAAATAAATATTTAACCAAACCAAACCAAACTGTCGGTACGGTACAGTCGGTACATGGATAATTTGGATGAGATGCCCATCCCTAATATGGACCAAAAGTGACTTTTAGCAAAAAAATTATACTACAAAAAAGAAAAAAGAAAACAAGAGCATTGGATATCTCTGTGAGAAGTAAGAGAGATTGGTACTCTTTGTAGTCTCAACTCTTGTACATATATCTCAAAACTTAACCTCAAGATCTAAATCCCTTTACTTGTGCTATTACATGTTTCAAACAGCTTGAATATCATTTCATATCAATACAAAATCTCTACTGAAATTCCTATCATTTGAACTTCCAATTGCCAAATTCTACACACAATTATAACCCAAACTTGCTATGTTCCTTTCCAATTGTTGGTAATGTCTTCCTCGAACTCCCACTTCTCTCATTGCATTTGAAGAGCAAAAGCTAGATCATTGGCATTGGAGTTTGAGCTACCTAAAATTATGAATTGGCAAATAAATTGATCTTCAAATGTTCTTCATAACTGAATTTTATGATCAAATTCATTCAACATTTCTGACTGTTCTTTCTGAATCTTAATGTTACTTGGTAGCAACAACAATGAATTGCCCACTTAAGACAAGTTGTCTTACATGATTATGGTCTTCTAATCATATAAGGACTAGGCAATTTGCATTGATCTAGGAGCATAGACTTAAACATTATCTGCAATTCTTTTTCGAAGAGTGTTTTAATAGGAAACAAGAACCTAGAGAATTTCAAATTCCATATGAATTAAAACAACCTAGTCTAATGCAAACTGGATTACTTAAGTGTTTCTTAATGGGCAGGAAACTTAAGTAATGCATATAAGTAGAGGTCCCTTTTCTAGCAGTCAATTTACCTACTCAAACAGAAATCTCACCCCATTAGAGAAAGAGCTTAAGGACTGCATAGAAGAAGAAGATTTCTATCTTACCAGCTGAAGCCATGTCTAACCAAGGTTAGTATTATTGAATAAAGACATGAAAGAAATTATATGTGGTATCAGAGCACTTGGTCTTGTTCCTTAATCTAATCTTTCGAATTTTATAAAGTTTGCATACAAGTTTACAATTTCTAGTTAATCATTAGTCATAAAGCATGTAGTTTAAAATTAATTGCATATCTTATTTGATAAGGTGTGATCGAGACCATCAAGTTTTCTGCTCGATCATGCTTGTAAGACTTTTGATCAAAGACTGAAAATTACAGTTGCAGCAGTTAAACGAGCCACAACAGTTCAACTGTTATAGTAGCAGTTTTCAATCAATAGATTGATCAAGAATTGCATCACAACTCGTTGCCTTGTGTGTTGTTTTCATCCATAGATGGAAAAGGCATAGATTGATGACAGTTGTGATGGAACAACATGGAAAAGGACTATGTAAACTACATGAAATTTTCTTGATCCATAGATAAGAAGTTTCTTGCATAGGAAGTTTATTCATACCTAACATTTCCAGTGTTTTGGAACATGTTCAAATTATAACCCACATGTATAAGTTGATAATGTTTAAATTAAAGATTTATTTGGGGACAGTTTATTTATTTTATCATTATATTTAGTTAATTTCTCAAGCTATTAATCCATTGTAACTCTAACTGGATCAAATTACCAAAAGTGGAAGCAAGACCTGGAAATCTCTTTGGGATTTCTGGGTTATGACTTTGTCCTCAAAGAGAAGCCCCCTCAAGCACTAGCTGCAGATGCCTCCGCAGAAATCAAAACTAAGTATGCTAAATGGGAAAAGGCAAACAAAATGACCATGTTGATGATGCAGAAAGCTATGACACCATCTATAAAAGGAAGCATCCCTAATTCTGAGCATGCCAAGCAGTTTTATGAAGCCATTGCATAGAGATTCAAGGAACCAGAGAAAGTTGTTAAGAGTACCTTTCTGAGTCAACTGACTGACATGAAATATGATGGACAAGGCTGTGTTAGAGCTCACATCATGAATATGATTGATATAGGGACTAAGCTACAGGAACTGGAAATGAATGTGGATGAAGATATGATGGTGCACTTTGCTTTGAATTCACTACCTAAGGAGTTTAAGTATCATATATATATATATATATATATATAGCTCAGAAGGAAAACTGGACACTCAATGATCTCATCACCATATGTGTTCCACAATAACTCTATATAATAAAAGAAATAGGTGCTAAGATGGTGAATTTGATTTAGTCCAAACAAAACAAAGAATTCAGGAACAAAGGTACTACTGCTGGAAGAGAAAAGGAAAAGGAGAATAACAATTTGAAGGCCTTGAAACAAGTGGGACTGAAATGCTTTTTCTGCAAGAAAAATGGACATATGAAGAAGGAATGCAGGAAATACAAGAAATGGTTGGACAAGCAAAAGGCTAAAGGTAAGAATGATCAAGTTCTAGTTTGCTTCGAATATAATGTAGTTAATATCCCAGATAATTCATGGTGGTTAGACAGTGGTGCAAGCATTCATGTGACTAATTCTTTGTAGGGGTTAACAAGGGGAAGGTTGCCAAGCAAGGATGAAGTGAAGGTGTTCGTAGGCAATTGAGTCAGAGTTAAAGTAGACTTCATTGGAGTAGTTAGGCTTGAATTAGATTTTGGTTTTATTTTGGAATAAGAAGATGTGGTTTGCATTCCTTCAATAAGGAAGAACCTGATCTCAATTACTAGGCTTGTAAAGTTGACGTTCACTTTGAACTTGATGATTTTGGTTGTTCTATTTTTAGAAATAAAGAAATGGTTGGAACAAGCATTGTTGATAACTTCTTTCGATTGAATTGCAAAACAACAAAAATGGAAATCAATATAATTCAATCCAATCCAATCCAATCAAAGCATATACTTTTAAAATATGGCATAAAAGGTTTGGACATATATAAAAGGAAAGAATGAAAACCTAGCACAAAGAATTAGTTCTACCACCATTGAATTTTGACATAGACGAAGTTTACGTCGAATGTGTAAAAGGGAAATTAACTAACTTAAGAAAGAACGGGGCTGTGGGAAGTCAAAGTGTACTAGAATTAATCCATACAGACATATGTGGACCATTCCCAACTCCAACTCATGAAGGGTTCAGCTATTTCATCACCTTTACAGATGATTACTCAATGTATGGACATGTTTTTCTAATTAAAGAAAAATACAGTTCTTTGGACATGTTCGAGATCTATAAGGTTGAAGTAGAAAACCAATTAGACCTAAAATTAAAGTTGTAAGGTCTGATAGAGGAGGGGAGTTTTATGGGAGATTTGATGAAAATGAGAGAAATCCTAGACCATTTGCAAAATTTATGCAACAAGAAGGGATAATTGCTCAGTACACAAATCCAGGAACTCCACAACGAAATGACATTGCAGAAAGAAGAAACATTGAAAGACATAATTAGAAGTATCATGTGCTGCACAAATCTACCTATTTTTTTGTGTGGGGAAAAGCACTGAAAACATCCAATTACATACTCAATCGAGTTCCAACCAAGACTATGAACAAGATTCCCTATGAAATCTAGAACAAAAGAAAACCAAGCCTAAACCATTTAAGAGTATGGGGATGCAAAGAAGAAGCCAAGCTTTATAACCCTATGGAGAAGAAATTGGAATAAAAAACTGCAAGTGGTTATTTCATTGGATATCCAGATAAAACAAAGAGATACATATTTTATTGTCCCCAAAACACAACCAGGTTTATGGAAACATAGAGAGCAGTGTTAATAGAATATGAGAATGAAAGAATTGAAGATAACAGTTTTGGGTTTGATGAAGTGATAACAGAAACTGAGAATTCTATTGAAACTAACACACAAAGTGAGATTGTGATCTTAACAATTTTAAACTTGAGTGACAACCAAAATGATGTGGAAGAACAGATAGAAATAGATCAAATTCAAGAACAATAACCAGAAACTAAAAATGCAGAAGTAGAAAACAATGCACAGTTAAATATAGAATTGATCTCAGAGACCAAGAAAAAGAGCCTTACATAATGACTATCATATGGCCAGACGGGGCTTTCTTGGGCTCAATCGGGCCGGGTGAGGCTTCAGACACCCAAGCCAAAGCCTAGCCCAGCCCAAGACGGGCCGGGCCATCTCAAAGCCCATAACGGGCCGGCCGGGCTTTTTTTCAATGGGACGAGCAGGCCCCCATGAGCCCGCGGGCCAAATGATGAGGCCTACATCTAGATAATCTAATTGCAAATCTAATTGCAAAAACCAATCTGGTATGGTGCCTGAAATCCTAGCATTACAGAGTACCACCGTGGTCACCTCAATCTGATTTCTAAGCCATGTAGGAAATTTGGGATCCAGTTGGCATGATATAATTTCCAAGTATCTTAATTTGAAAGGAGGTATCTAATCAGAACTTACGTTGAAAACCAAGGAAATGTTTGGGAGATAATTTCCAATTGATACTTTTCTCATGCCTCCAAGTTTCGCGAAATGAGCTTCTGTAATGGCACCTTCCCATGTGTTGCCATAGATATCAAGTGAAACCAGCGATGAGAGCTCCCCAAGACTTTCTGGGATGATCCCATTCATTTGATTACTTCCAAGGTTAAACTCCTCCAAAGATGTTAAATTTCCAATCAATTTTGGGATTGAACCCTGGAGTGAGTTACCCGACAATTCGAGGTATCTCAAGCTTTTAAGATATCCCAAAGAATCAGGCAGTTTTCCTGTTGGACTGTTAAATTCGAAATCCAACATCTCTAATTTAGTGAGATTTAACAACCAAGGAGGTATCGTGGAGGCGAAGTAGGCCCTTTTAGGCCCCGCCCGTTGGGCTTAGCCCAGTCTGACCCGATGGGTTTTCTCAAGCCCGGTCCATGGGTCGGGCTTGGGCTTTGAATTTTCTAAAAAAACCCGGCCCGGCCCGATATTTTCTCTCTCCTCTTTAAAGCTCGGCCCGGCCCATTGACAAGCCCTAAGAGGAGCCACTGAGGACACATCTTCAGTAAGTTCGTGGGGAAAAGCTAAATTTACTATTTTTCCAGTCGAGCAATGGACAAGTTACATTGGTCCAATCCGTTATATATATTGGTGGATGGACAAAATTGGTTATAGAAAATTATGGCATAATTTGGAGATGAACTCAGAATTTTGAGGTTCAAAAATTGTGGAAATTGGATGCATAAATTTTATGAATTACGGCGTGGATTCAAATGAAAAAATAAAATAAAATAAAATGGTTAAACCATCCTTTTCACTTCCCAGTCCTTTTTTAAGGCAATTTACTGTACTTTGGTAAATTTAGGCCTAGTCTTCACTACCAAAGCATTCATTGTACATTGTAGAGGGGAAGTATTTTGGCAAATTGATTTAGGGTTCGTTTGGGAGTGACTTTGGATAGGCCAGAATCACTTTTGCCCACATGCTTCTTCATATAATCACTTTTAGTAATTTTAAGTGATTATGAGGAAACACCTCTCATGTGATTTTTCATAATCACTTAAAATCAATTAAAGTGATTATTTAGAGAAATGATTCTTCATAAAAGTGTTTACAACATTATATTGAATCACTTCTCCAGAATTACTTCCAAATGAGCCCTAACATTATATTGAAATAACAAATACGATTTGCAATGATGAGATAGTAACTAAAATTTTACAACAATAAATAAATAAGTAGCTTATTAAAGAGACCACATTTATGTACGAACATCACATATTATGAACATTAGCCCCTTTGATCACAAATTATGACACACGAGTGTGCCAATTGGATTTTTTTTTGTTCTTACTAATTTTTATATAGGGGTAATTACATTTTTTTTTATCACTGGGGTTATGGTCGAATTTAAATTTGGTTACCTAAATTTCAATTTTTCCGATTTTGGTCAATGGGTTAGCGTCATCAACAAATGAAGTGCAATTGACCCATGCTGTCAGTTAAGATGCACGTGGTTCGTGCGTGTAGGGCAAAATTGAAACTCCACCATTTAAACAATTATTATTAAATTTTTTAAAAATAAATAAAGAACAATTAAATGGCATGGGTTTGTTCGAACCCAAAACCCCTCTCTCTCTTCCCTTTCAGTCTCTTCCCTTTTTCTCTACCTTCGATTTAAAATGTGTTTGTTCGAACCCAAAACCCACACCCACCTACACTCCCCACCACCTCTCCTTGGTTTTTTGCCGGAACCGCCAATTGATTGGACTTGCCCATCCTCACTGGAATCCGTTCTCCTCCGAATTCACACACCCACTCAACATCATCACATATTTAAATGTCTAATTCTAGAGCATTTCCTTGATGGGTTTGTGAAATTTTTTAATTTTGCTTTCTTTGTTTTTTTGAATCATGGTATTGCTTCATGGGATTTTGATGTCAAATGGAATTTATGGGTTTGACATTGCTTGAGAAACACAGAGGAGTTTCATCGTATTGCTTCCTGGGTTTTTAATATCAAACCATACCGTTTAACTTTTTCTTGGTCAAAACCGAACTAAACTAGTAATTACGCTTTGATTCGACCAATTTCATTGATTTAGTCGGATTGATGCCCACCCCTATCCAAAACTAGCAAACACATCAACTATAAAATTAGCTTAATGAACGACATGCTAAAGCTTCATATATGCGCAATGTCCCTCCAATTAAGCTTGAGGCCCGAGAAATCACGACCAAGCCACAAGCATGTGAGATGTGAGCAGAATCAAAAGAGCCCTAGAATAATTGAATTTACGATTTTGATAATTATTCAATTGCATATATTTTACAATGGGATTTTTTATTTATTGTCTGACCCAAAAAAATTGCATTTTATTGGAGTTATGGGCCTAAATATCTGGATCTTTTAGAAATGGGCCAGTTAAACAAATTAGGTAGCCAAAACGACGTCGTTACTATGTAACCCAAGGAAACCCTAAGTCGATAAATCTCTACCCCTCACATATCTTCCTCGTTCACTCGCACTGCCTCCAGCCGCCAACCCTCCTCTCTCTGTCTCTCTGTCTCTCTCGCTCCTCTCTTTTTGAGTCGCTGTAATCCGATCCAATGGTACGTACCATATTCGCTTCCAGATTGACCGCCATCTGTTTGTGTAAAGGTTTGTTACCAATCTAAAGTTTTTAATTTCAGGCACCGAAGAAGGATAAGGCACCGCCGCCGTCTTCGAAGCCGGCGAAGTCAGGAGGAGGCAAGCAGAAGAAGAAGAAGTGGAGCAAAGGAAAGCAAAAGGAGAAGGTCAACAACATGGTGCTCTTCGACCAGGGCACGTACGACAAGCTCATCGCTGAGGCCCCCAAGTATAAGCTCATCACACCATCCATTCTCTCCGACCGTCTCAGGATCAATGGGTCGCTGGCGAGGAAGGCCATAAGGGACTTGATGGCCAGAGGGGCGATTAGGATGGTTTCTGCTCATGCCAGCCAGCAGATCTACACCAGGGCCACCAACACTTAGGTCTTCTTGTTTTCTGTGTTTAAATATCGTTTTGGTGGTTATTATGTCTTTTTAGACTATTTAGCATCCTCTTTTGGATTTACAATGCTACGGAAACCTAGAGATTTTCTCGGCTTTGTTTTTATGCGATGAAATTACTTTCTGCTTATATATGTCCATCAATCATTGCTTGGTTCTTATTTGTTGGAATTGTTTTTTACTTGGATATCGTTTCATCACTGGACTGATGATGAATTGTCTGCATTTTCGGGGCTGTCCAGTTTTACATATAATGCTACACATCCTAGAGGTCTTGGGCATCTTTCATTAGTAGGCTTAACCCATAATTGCGATGTTCTTCGCGACAATTGTTGTGATTATGAGTTATATTTGTTGTGTTATTGTGTTTAGGGTTTGAGGCTTGAAATAACATTGCTTTTGTTTTGAGTGACAATTGGATGTCGGCACAATTGTCATTTCTGTAACGAGTGACAATCCTCCCATGTGCATTGACATTGTAGTGGATCTTCTAGGCTCAGTTTTTGTGCAGATGCTATTGTTTTTCTGTGCTAGAGTGTCTTAGCTGGGCGTCTTGCTTATGCTGGATGCTCTGCCTAGGAAGTCCTATAAGTTGAAATTTTGAATGTATACGATAAAGAGCATAGAGTGGCGCTTAAAATACAGGTGGGGCTTATAAGGAATTGGATTGGCAAAGAGAGAGGAACACTAGTGTTAGGGCTAGTTTGGTATTACTGTGCTTTAAAAAAAAAACTGCTTTTGCTGTGTTGCGAAAATAAACAGGGTTTGGTAATCTATATTTGTAAAAGTGCACTGAATATAAAAACCACTGCCATGGTGTTTGGTAAAACTTTTTGTATAAGTGCTGTGATTGTGTATAATTACCAAAAGCGTATGACAAAAAATATCATATATTTATGTTAATTTTTTCAAAAGTTAAGAAATTTCAATACATTTTTTTTCTTCCCCTTTTCTCTCGACCGTTCTTCTCCTTTCTTTTTCTTGTTGGACAGAGACCCTTCTTCTTCGTCTCCTTTCTCTGCAAGTCCTTTTTTATCTTAGTTTTTGGTCAAAAGTGTAAGCTTTTCCATCTCACACCTCTCTTTCTCTCCTTCTCTCCATCCATCCATCTCTTGAATTTCATTGAGATCTGGGGGCTTGGGATGTCCATGGCCTTGAGTTGGCGTTTGGGTTCGGCGATGAGGCTTGGGAGGTCGATGATCTCTCTCTTTGCTCTATGGATGTGAATAGTGGGATTGTAATATTGGGTTGTGTTTTGGTGGGGAAGGAAGTTGTGGGTTTGGTTTTCTTTTGTGGAGGAGATAACTGGTGGGGAATTTGGGTGTTGGGTTTTTTGTGGCTGTGGATATGACGTAGTGTGAAGCTAGGGTTGGGGTTATTTTGGCTGGAGCGCAAGATCTTCTGGGTCTGTAAAATAAGGAGCTGGGTTTGTGGGGTTTTGGGTTGAGATGGTAGCTTTGAGGGATTGAGGAAGGCGAACAACTTGCAGAGAGAGGAAGAGGCAAGTTGCAGAGAGAGAACAACTCTAGAAAATCCTAGAGGAATGACACTTGGGAAGTTCGAACTTGGGATGACGAGGATAGAGCATGTAATTGTTTGAAACAAATAAGAGCAATATGGGCAATTTGAAAGTTTCATTAAACTCCTCTGTATGCTTCTCTGCGCATCAGATTTTAGAAGCAGGCTGTGAGCTGCTTCGTGTTTTCGGTTATGGATGACAGCAGATTTTAAAATAAGCAGCTTGGATTGGTTTTACCAAACGCTCAAATCTCCAAAACTTATTTTCAAAGCTGCTTATTTTTTAGGGAGTTTCACTAAAACACTCAAAATGGAGGTTGAAATTATAAAAATACCCAACACCCAAAACACTTTATAAACACACCCAAAACCCATCATTACACACACTCAAAACTCATTTATAAACACACCCGAAAAGTTGACTTTGGGGTTGATTTTGGGTGTGTTTCTATGTTTAAATAGTGCTTGAGTTTTTTTATAAATACATGTCTAGGATTGGGTTTATTTATAAATTTGTATATTTTTTAAGCACAGCAACCCCAAACCTAGTTGCACTACAACACAATCTGTTATTAATAGCACTTCAGCATAGCGTTTTTACAGCATAGGGATTTGACCACCCCCCCCCCCCCCCCCCCCCCCCGCAAAACGCTAAATAAAACTAATCCTATCTGTTAAGACAGGATTTATACAAGACTACAGGGCATTGAGCAAGTTGTATTTGTACTAGTAAAAGTTGTCAATTCAAAAATTCCAACCCTTTTCTGTACGACTTCGAAAAAATGAAATAAGGAACCTTTTTTCTGCACAAGATGATCAAAAGTTGTGTAATTTTTGTTCACTTTGGCGAAGGTATGACGAGAGTTGAACTCTGGTCCCTATGCAGGGTAAAAGTGCCCTACCACTGAACCTGCTATACCAACATGCGTGTAACTTTGTTTGTGGCTTACAAGGGAAAATTGGTCCATGATCAAATTGTAATTTGGGTGTCAGTGCATAATTTTCTTACTTGTAGTCTTGAAATCTCTTAAGATTTGAATTGATTCTGAGTTTTCATTTCGTTTTTGTTCTCTCTCTCTTTAAATTTGAGCTGTGACGAATCTTGTGCCCTTCGATGGAAAGTTTAAGTATAGTTTGAAACTTCCTTTGTTCTTAATTTTCCCACACCCTATCTCTCTCTCTCTCTCTCTCTCTCTCTCTCTCTCTCTCTCTCTCTGGTTTTTGTTTGATTTTTTTTCTTTCTAAACTTTCGCTATTTGGTTGTCAGTCACTTCAGGAAATCCGAAGTTTTTCTAAAGGGACACGTATCATGCAATACTGCAGTAGTAAAAGAAAAATATTTTGCTAGCTTGATGCTATCAAACGAGACAGAGCCTGAGTAAGCTTAAACCAAAGCGGGAAACTTTTGAGAGACTGGTTGATTGTCTCTCACAAGGAGATAGGATGGTAGATTCTTTGCTAGTGTTTAGACTTTATGTTTAGGACAGGTTATGCACTGGAAAAAGGCATGTGCTGTTCTCTGGTCAATAAGCTTCGTGGGAAGAGTAACCATTTTGTTGAAACATGTCTAGGGGAGATCTTTGAAGGAAAGTGATGTTTCATTTACTTCTTTTTCACCAAAAAGATCTACAAGTTACCAATCATTCCACAAAGTTTTTGCTTCTTGTACAGCTAATAATCATTTTGTAGTTTGTTTCGATTGTTTGTAGGGGTTATGAGTAAAGGTCCAATCGGATCCTACGTGTTACGTGTATTTGGCAGACCACGCTCGACCAACTCGAACACCAATTTCTAGCAGTTACCCTTACACAGAGGTCATGTATTTCATTCTGTCATGAGACACCCAATTTGAAGATCGTACCATTAAATTCAACCTGATTTGCACAGGTAGTTTAGTAGGACAACTTAGGCTCGGCCATGAGACACCCAATTTTTTCCCGTTGAATAGATAAAAGGTCTAGCTATATATGTGATCTTGAGGTAAAACACTGTAACAGCTAGATAAATAGATTAGCATGTGCATGCATCTCCATGCTAGCTCTGAGTTTTTGTGCTTTGGAATGATGATCTGATCTTGATCTTCTTGAGTGTTACTCCATCCCTAGAATGAATGATATGAGTAGCCATGAAGGAATATCAGTACAAATAGTGCATCCATGTGAGATGAATTGATTCATTGACAAGTAAGTGACCAATTAATATCGAAACTACACTTCATATATAAACCTTTTGCCAATTTATTAATATTTGATACACAATATTGTTATAGCAGAGTACTTATAATAATGATAATTATTATAAGATTCCTTAAGTTGATAGTAACTCATTGATCAGCAAACGCCCTTGGGTCTGACCAAAATAGACCCATATAACTAAAATACTCTAGACAATAGGATTAATTACACTTTAGTACCCTGTGGTTACACTCTTAAGACATGTTAGTCCTTATTTTTTATATTTTTACAATTAGATAACCTTGCCTTTTAAGTTAGTACATTTTAAATTTGTTACAATGTGGTTCCGCTATTAGGGTTTCCGTCAAATCTCTCCGTTAATTGCCTACGTGACACTATGAGTCCCACATTTTTATTTTTATTTTTTTTAATTTTTAATTTATTAAAATATTATTATTTTTTTTAAATATTGCAGAAAAAGAGAAGAAAAAAATCATCCCCAACTAGTGCCCCTAGTGAGTTTCTTCTCCCCCTTGCAATTTCTTCTCCCCCCCCTGCAATTTTCTTCTTCACCCTGCGATTCTCATCGTCACAGCCAACGTCGTTGGCGTATATCTTGTCGTCGATCATTAATCCTGAGGTCTTGTCGTCGCCTTCCATTTTGGGAAAGTGTGAAGCCCTAGAGCAAAAGTTTGGGAGATTTAAGGTTTTGGGTATTGCTGTGGACCTTCTTCAGGTGGTGCTAAATTGCTCTCTCTCTCTCTCTAAAAATTCAAAAACCAACAAATTGGAAAAATAAAATAAAAAAATTCGAACATTTTTTGTATCTGTGGGTCGGTTGCAGGTGGTGGACATGGGGGAATGGGAGAAAAGAAAATCGGAGGGGGGTGCGTCGGGGCGGTTTAGGGGGGGGCTGGGGCTGGGTGGTTGCTTAAATTTTTTTTGTTTTTAATATTTTAATAATTTTAAATTTAAAAAAAATTGAAAAACATGGGACTCATAGTGTCACGTAGGCAACTAACGGAGACCCTAATGACGAAACCACACTGTAACACATTTAAAAGACCGGGGTATGTTATGTAAAAATTGAGAAGGAAGAGATTAACATGTCTTAAGGGTGTAACCACAAGGTACTAAAGTATAATTAACCCTAGAAAATAACCCACATTATGACATATTTACAAATCATGCCATCAACCCCTCTTTGTTGTTGAACATTTTTCTCCTTAAAAAAAATCCTTTAAATTTATAATTTCAATAATGTTTTTTAATAGGCATTCATGTGGTTTCTATTTTTTAATCCCTAAATTTCCTCTACGAGTCATAATTTGAACCCATGCATTAATTAGTGTTGACTTTTGTTTTTTTGTTTTTCTATTGGGGAGTTCGTTAGCATAAATGATATTGGTCTCTTTGCTAGTAGTAACATAGCATATGTGTAACAATTTGTGTATACTTAATATATCCAACATATCTAGGTACATTATCATTTTCCAAAATACGTAGATAGGTACATTATTTAGTACAGTCCCCTTCTATTGAGGGATCCCTCAAATAATTTTATTTTAGGGACACCCTTTAAGGTTCCCTAAAGAATTTTTTTCAACGATCCAAACCAACAAATTATTTGGAGCGAGCTTTCGTTTTAATTATATATATATTGTAATTGTAGAACAAAAAGGATGCAAGTGGTTTGTATGGCAAGTCGTTTCCACATTACTATACACTTGGAGAAATATTTGGAAAAGATCATGCTATTGGAACAAATGCTGGAAATGCTGATGATGATGAAGAAGACGTTAGGCGAGATGATGCAAGTGTTCATCAGAATAGAAGTGTGGGTGATGATTTTATTAAGGAGATGTTTTCACATCTTGATGGTGGGTCACAATATGGGGGTTCAGAATATGAGGGATCTCAATTTGATGATGTTGAGGATTTAGAAGATGATGAGACAACTTTTACACAACCAAATCCCCAACCCTCAAGTGCCCAACAGAAGAGACCCGCACAAGATGTAGCAAGTGGTCCAAGTAATCCTCGTAGGAAGGTAAATGCTTTGAATGAAATGTCTAACAAATTTGGACTTATGGCTGAAGCTGTAGCAGGAATGGCACCTCAGCTTGCAGGCTTGGTTAATGTTCTTTCAACATAGAAGGATCTTGCTGATATGCAAGCTAAACTTGGTGGTGAATTGAGGAAAATAGAATTCCTATCTCCTTTGCAAGTATTTCGTATCACCAATATATTAGCCAAAGAGCACGATTTGCTGAGGGTCTTCTTTACCATGACCGATGAAGAAAAAAAAGATTATGTATTTAATCTTATGGAGCATGGCTTACAGTGATTGTTATTGATGAGTAATGGGCAAATGACTTACTAGGTTCATTATATATCTCTTCTTTTGGTAGTATAACTATTATGTATTTAATCGTATGAAGATTATGCAAGTTATTATTATTTGATTGTTTACTAGTTATGTAAGTGAAAGATATTTGTTTATTGGAGTTTATTTTTTCGTATGAAGATTTCTTTGATAATGGATTCCCTCTTACTGATAAATTCAAAACCCCCTTTCCAATAGTTTGGTATGTTCTTTGCATATTTATTGTGAATAGAGAACTGAGATAAATGAGAGAACTGAAAACAGAAAACAGAAAACAGAAAAGCAACACATGCAAATGCAATTCAAAACAGGAACTAGGCAAAGCATAAAAAACCCAAAACACAAATTAGCAAAATTACGATCCATTGATTAAATTAAAAACGAACATGGATGACACTTGACACTCACAGACAGCAACACAATGACACGAACTCACATGTAGAAATATATCCATCACTTTGACTTAGGCACTCTTTATTTATACTACATATGCTGTCGTTCTTTTCCTTCTTCTTTATGTTCATCTCCTCTCCAATGTCTCGAATCCTCAAAGCTTGGCCTGGTCTTTACCGAGGCTCTGCTGCTGCTTCCCCTTACTTCACTTGTGCAAATCATGTTTACACCGCATTATTGAGAATTATATATGTGTTGTAGTGAAAATGTGTAGGGCATTTTAGTAATCAAATTAATTTGGATTCTGATTCATGAAAATTAGTAAACAATAACAATGGGAATCAACCCCATTCCTTAACTAATTCCGTATGTTTAGTAAACAGCGTAATGGGAATGATTCTTCCCATACCGATTCAGTAGTTCTCCGATTCCTGAATTCTCTGATTCCTTCCCATACTCATTACTGATACGTAAACATGCCCTATAGTTTACTAATTTGGAAAATATGTGTTCACCCGTTTTGTGTTTACTCCTATGATGGAAGGGCAAAGTTCCCCACTGCCTTGAGAACCATAGACTGGTCAACAAGTCGGCTTTCTTTGGTGTGCGAGCGTGCCACTGCTAGTAATGAACAGCCTAGCAGACTTAGTCTGGAATGGATAACTTGCGCCCCAAGTCACTGATTTCCTAAACAAACGATTGTGAATTTGGGTGAGGAATATCTCCCAAGTAAGTTCTTTTTTTGCCTCAGACTGGTGAGGACTTTAACAATTTATCTCAGTATAAAGAGGTTGTTCTGGCCAGAATAGTCGATGGAATTTAAGCTGTTTTTGGGCAGAAGTGCCTTTTACAAAACTAAAAATATATGTGGATGCGAAAAAGATAAAAAGGGTAGCTGGGTCTCCATTTCTGCCTGGATGGACGGCTCTGTGATGGGCTGGACTGGGAATGTCTGGGCTGGATTGGACCGTTGACAATTCTGATCGCCCGATTTTTAACTACAAATCGATACCAAAGGTTGATTCTGGCAGAGCTTTAATGTACCTTAAGCTTTTGTGAAGCTTCTGAGTGGGCAGAACTGCGGTTTCTTCAGTTTGAACAGGCAGAAGTGGCTGTTCTTGAGAACGTTGGTGAGCTGGAGGCTATTCCGTGAATTTTGCTGAGGTTTTCCATACTTGGAGAAGATTCAAACTCTGCTTGTTTTGGCTTTTTGTTGAACCAAATTTATAACGAGAGAAATCTCGTTTTGAATGACTTGCTTCCTAAATCTGGATTCTGGACCTTCTGATCTGGAGCTGGTTTTTTTCACTTGAAATTCAAGTGGGCTTGTTCATTTGAGGGTTTTCCTATGTAGGATCTTTGTTTGATTGAGTGATGAAATTTTTGTTGTAAGATTTGATTGTCCTTTGCCCTGTTCACTCCTTCTTGTATTTATAAGAAATGTCTTCTGGAGTAGGGTAATTCTTTTAATAATGGGCGGCAAATCCTTTCGAAAAGATCTTTTTTTTAAAAATGGAAAAGAAAAGAAGAAAAAGGTTTCCTCAGTTTTTGGTAGATAGGCTCTCAACAGATAGGCAATCACTTCCCTGATTTTCTTGAAAAGGAACCTAATCTCTTTCCCAATTTCAACTGCCCCTTGTGATATTTTGCCGGTGATGGTTAGTTTGACTTCTTTTCTGGACAGCTTCCTGCTTTCCTGCTTATCCCTCCCTGAGTTTGTAACTTGCTTATCTCCTTGGGAGAATTACCTTTTCTGAAAGGACAGGAAAAAATCTCTGAATATATATATATGTAAGAGGGATTTGATCTTCAGTTTTTTCCAGAATCGATCTTGATGCCATGAACCCTTCAATCACTTCTCCTATGACAGTTGCCATTGCTGACTTTTCTTTTTTTCAGAGATATCACGTGGGATTGTCCCTATTTCTGGGCTTCCCCTTTATATTGGGCCCGTGAGGCCCAGATTAGTCTTGTTTACTTTGATGAGTCTTGGGCTGGTCTCCTCTGGCTTTTGGGCTTCCATCTCTCTTTGATTTCTTGCAGCTTCATTCTGGGCCTAATTTTTGCTGGGCTGGGTATGCCAATTTGTGGCCCAAACAATATGAATACATTTCACCTAATTAGCATAAGTCCAAAGACAAAAAAGTAGTACCTAATTTTACAATAATGTAATTAAAAAACATCAAAATTACACACAATGCCACTCCTTCTAAGGCAAACACACTATGCCACATGTCCACCTCCGGCAATACCCATTATGGCTAGCCACCACCACCGTCAGCCAACAGGGGACAATTTTGTTGCCCTTTAGTCACCTTAAAAAAATAGAAGATTTTGTGCCATTGAAGGGACTCAAACCATGACCTTTAAAGGAGGAAGCCTCACTCACAAACCACTACACCAAACTTGTTTTTGTGATATTTATTCAATTACACAATATTTATATAAACAATCAACGGTTTTTTTATTTAAAAAATAATAATAATTTCAACACAAATTCACGTAAAAACTGCAAAAAAAATATATAATGTAGATATCAAAAAAAAAAAAAAAAAAAAAAAAAAAAAAAAAAAAAAAAATAGAAATAAAAACTGCACTTGAACCAAGGAGGAAGCCTCACTCACAACCATTACGCAAAACTTGTTTTTGTGATATTTATTCAATTACACAATATTTATATAAACAAGCAACGGGTTTTTTTTATAAAAATAAAAATTCATTTCAACACAGATTCATGCAAAAACTGCAGCAAAAATACAATATAGATATCAATGATGTAAACAAACAAAACTACAAACTACAAACTAATTTTATAGAAACAAAAACTGCACTGCATAGTATGAGAAAAAAATAAACATATTAATAAGTGGGAACCAAAATGCAAAATCATGATGAAAGTACTAAAACGGAAACGGAAACTGCAATGCTGAAATAGAAACTGCAATGCTGAAATGAAAATTGCAATGCAAAGTCTGGGCAAAAATGCACCTACTATTAAGTGATGAACTAAAAGGAAAAACCATGATGAAAGTACTAGAAAATTCTACAAAAATATCTAACCAAACGGCACCTCAAACTCAAATTTGATTAAAAAAAAGCAAAAGTAAAAATAAAAACTACATCAAAGAGTTGAAAAATCGACTTATAAAAACCGAAAAATAAATAGAAAATTCAAATAACAATTTGATCGAGAATATACATACCTCAATTGCAGAAAAATTGAGCTTCACATCAAAACAGGAATACAACAATAGAAGAAGAAGATCGACAAATGCACTGCAGTTTCTAGAAAAACCAAAAGTTCTCATATTTAAGTGAAATTTTAAAATAAAAACAATGTAGATATCAATGATGTAAACCAAAATAGAAAAAGGCAAAAAAAACAAAAAACAAAAAAAAACAAAAACAAAAAACAAAAACTAATTTTATATAAACAAAAACTACACTGCAGAGTATGAAAAAAATAAACACATTAATAAGTGAGGAACCAAAATGCAAAACCATGATGAAAGTACTAAAACGGAAATGGAAACTGCAATGCAGAAATGGAAATTACAATGCAGAATCCAAAATAACTAAAAACAAAAAATACATGACCACAGCTAACAGGACCCGACCCAAATTTCACTTTGGAATTCGAGCTGAACCATGTGCATGTCCGACACCTAGCGAATGCCTGCATAAATGACCAAATTGCCCTTCTATTTAGAAACTAATTTTTCTATTAGCTAGACTTCTGCCGAAAATTCGGCAGTCTCCCCTGTAATTTGCTCATTTCCCAAAAGTTTCCACTTGTCAACAAACATTTATATATCTCAATTGTTCAGCATGCATTTAATTATATCCAAGCAATCAAGCATCATATCATTTTGGCCTCAGGTCTCAACAAATCAAGTAAATCATTATGCTAATAAAGTTCATCTCAACTTTCAGAATAACAATAGTACATTAGCAATCTCAAAGACTCCAACTCATGGCTGCACCTTGTAACATTAGGCTGCCTACGTACCCTTACTGAGGGATCAAGCCACACGTAGTTCTTTCCCTTAATAATGTAATTGAATATCTCATTCATTCATCATATTGCCATTTGTTTTGCAAATCAAACTGAATTATCATGTGCGTGATGTACTCAATCATATTCACAACTCAAACAATACTTGCAACTTCCTAATACTCGTAACAGTCATATATTGATTATAAATAAGCCTAAAATTGAACTCCCTCTATATATTAGTTTAAGAACATCTCAAAACTGAAATTCTCTCCACCTAGGCGTACCCCCCATTCCTGCTTTGTCAATTCAATCCTTGCAGGCCTCGGAGATACCACTTCTATCTGAGCCGCAATCCTCGCTGGCCTCAGGGGACCATTGGTCAGCCTAAGCCGCATTCCTCGCACCACACGGTTCAGAAGTCCCTGAAACACGTGGGGCATTATTTATAAATGACACTGTTTCAAAGCAACTAGGGGGTACCCTCGTGGTGGGTTTGAAAAACCATATCCCAAACTTATATCAATACTTTCCCTTTATTTCCCAATTTAGTTCCCGACCTTTATATCAACTTTTTGATAACTTGATTCTCAACTATATTTAAAATGTATATGCCACAATATGATAAATAACTACCTATACTCAATCCGTAACATGACCCAGATAATTCATTCTCGGTCAGGACTTGTTTACTTGGTCATTTTAACACTTCTCAAAGGATATAACTGCCTCGGAAGACTCACGGTCAGCTGAGGGGTCAAACCGCCTAAACTTGGTCAACCGGGCCCGCAAGGCCCAAGATCTCCTATCACAAATCCGAGAGTCCCTAAAGGTTCCAATATGCCTAGGACACATGTCACGTGAGTTTAGTCTCAATGGGACTGTTGGATTACTCACGATCGGACGGTTACTGTAAACCTACCCTACGGTTGGCATTTTCGGAGTATCCGAGACTCCGTTTTACGATCCGTTGAATCCTATACGATTATGGAATTACCTAGATCAACATAACTCGGAAATCGCACAATATGCGAGATCGGTTCGGGGTTCAAACGTTAACCAAATTGGAACATGAAAGTACCTACACGCTCGTGAGGACGAGGAGATCATTCTATGACAAAATGTGGCCCCCACTACCTACCTTGTCCATGCGCTGGCAGCGCGTGGGTGTGCAGATAAAATTTTGGCGACTGGAAAAACTCCAAACAGCCAGCCAAGATTCCTACCCTAGATGTAAAACCTCGTTTGAAGGCACTTTTGTTCTTGGACCTACCCCGAAAAATGGTTAGAAATGATCGAAATTGCCAACCTAAAACCAGCTAAACTTTGGATCCAAAATCAACTCACCTAGGCTAGAAATTGATCAAATCCTACCCAACCATTAGCTAGAGCTCGAAGAGTAGATGAGATTTTGTAACATCCCACATCGACCAACGGAGAGGGGGTGATGTGCCTTATATGTACATGTCTGCCTCCATCTAGCACAAGGCCTTTTGGGAGCTCACTACCTTCGGAGTCATGGGAACTTCGAAGTTAAGCAAGTTGGGGCTAGAGCAATTCCAAAATAGGTGACCCACTGGGAAGTTATTCGTGAGTTTCCAGAAACAAAACCGTGAGGGCAGATAGGAGGGCCCAAAGCGGACAATATCGTGCTACGGCGAAGTTGATCCCGGGATGTGACAGATTTCATACCTTGATAACTGAAAATGGCGGCTGGAGGAGAGAGATCGAGCTAATGAAAATCCTGTCAAAAATCTGACTGTTTCTTCGAGTTCTCTGACGGTACAAGCAACGGCTGGAGGTCGGGATTAGCTGAGCTGGGACGGTGGAGTTGGGTCGGTCCTTTTGGCACCGATGATGCGTGCTGCCATGACCGGTTGGCCGGAGTTCAGAGAGAGAGGGAGAGGAGAGAGAGTCCGGTCTGTGCCCGTAGGGGAAGAGAGAGGTTTTAAAATCTGACCTGGCAAATTACCATTTTGCCCCTAAACGTATTTTGATTGTATCTCCCTCAAAACAACTCGGATTTGAGCCCGCTACGTGTCTACATACTCGTTTCATCGCACTCTACGCAATAACGCAATTGAAACTCCCAAATTCCTTTCTAGTCAAAAAGTCAACTTTTAACATAATAAAATATTCTAAGGGCATAATGGTCTTTTTCTAGAATAAATTAATAATTAAATATTAATTTAGGATTGGGTTGTTACATCAGCTAGTAAAAATAGACCTAAACCAATCAAATCAAATCAGCAACTGAAAACTAAAAAATTCATGCAAATCAATTTATTGAGAGTTAATTCATTAATTTCATGCCCAAAAAAATAATTAAAAAAACACTATGAAATTCATTGAGTCAAATGCAAACGGTGCAATGGTGATGGGAGGAGGCGATGGAACTTAACTGGGCCCACAAAAGGGGATGGCGGGGGGACTGAGGCCTGCGACGATGGATAGTGGAGATTGGACGTGGAGGATGTCGAAGTGGCCTACGGAGGTGGTGGAGTCGGATGTAGGGGATCAGAGCTTGAGGTTGTCGAGGGCCGAGCTCAAGGCGTTCATGCTCTCCTCGTTGCCATCAACGACCACGATCACGAATCCAAGGTTTCCAACCATGCTTGGTTTTTCAACTCAAATTTGACCATTGAACGCTCTAATTAAAAGAACTGTTGGACAGAGAAGAAGGTGCATGAAGTGGCTGAGCGAAACGGAACTCAAGATCATCGTCGTCATCATCGTCATCTGGTGCGCCGAGAAGCCATGATCTGAGGTAGTCGCTGTGCTGCGACTTTATCCAAGAGAGAGAGAGAGTGAGAAAGGGGGAGATCTGATTTTGGAAGGTTTTTAAACAAAAAAAGTACAATTATATTTTTACCTTTATAATTTAGATATGCCTAATGAATTTGGGCCTCCTCTTTGGCTATATCCAAAACAAAATTTGATTCATGTGTATCAAATCCTTATTAGTAAAGATTTTTATGTCTAATACCTAATTTTTCTGTTTTCTTTCTTAATATGATACATTAATTTCTTAGAACCCACACCATCCTCTATACAAATATAAATATATTATACAAACATCCCTTATATATCAACATAGCTAGTTAGCTAATTATTGCATATATGCATGTACCATATAGACTATAAATACCCCAACACTCTTCATTCATTCCACCAAAATTTGACTTTTCATTCATTACCATCAAACATCAGTATTTTAATTTCTCTCTTACTCTCTCTCACAACAACACAGAAAAGAGAAGGAAAAATGGGGAAAAAAAAATTGCAAATTGTCTTTACAGAGTTGTAGTACTGATGATTCTACAATCAACTGGTTGCTGAGAGTGCATTCATTTACAATGTCCTAAGTTTTGGAGCTAAGCCTAATGGTACAACGGATTCCACCCAAGCTTTTGTGGATGCATGGTCTGCAGCTTGTGCCTCCAACGATTCCACTACCATAAGTGTACCAAAAGGGAGGTATTTGCTTCCCTCTGCTATCAAGTTTAGCGGTGACAAATGCAAAACCCTAGATATTACTTTCCAGATCGACGGAACGTTGATTGCTTCATCTGATTACCGTATTCTGGGCCAAGCTAACAACTGGCTCAGCTTCGAACGAGTTACCGGTGTTTCCATCATTGGAGGCACACTTGATGCCAAAGGTACCGCCTTGTGGGCTTGCAAGTTAGCTGCAAGCACTGGTTGTCCCAACGGAGCCACGGTCAGTAATTTGCTTCTTCTTGTCAAACAATTTTTTATCATGTTATAGTATTAAACATTCAATTTGTGATTGTGTACCAACATAGCAACAATTAGTAATTTATCTTTTTCTTGTAATGATAATTCTTGTGTAAGCTTGTGGTCTAAGTTACCCTACAAGTATCTTCATCATGTTCTCTTACTCATTTCTTTTAAGATTCTTCCTATATTGACTAAGAACTAATTGAACTACCACTCGTCCAATGCAGAGTCTGAGATTTACGAACTCCAAAAACATTAGCATCAATGGACTAACGTCATTGAACAGCCAAATGTTCCACATTGTGGTAAACGGTTGCCAAGATGTTTACATTCGAGGAGTCAAAGTCAATGCGGCTGGCAATAGCCCAAACACTGATGGAATCCATGTCCAGTTGTCAAGAAATGTTGCAATTTTCAACACATCCATAAAAACTGGTGATGATTGCGTCTCTATTGGCCCTGGCATGAAGGACTTGTGGGTCGAACAAATATCATGTGGACCTGGCCATGGCATTAGGTAAGATTTTAGCTCCTGCTTTGCATAGCTATGTAGTATATATATTAAGGTTGCAATTAAACCACTTAATTATTGTTAGTATTAGCATTGACATCGGGGTCTAGCCTCATGAAAAGGGTCTTGACTTGCAGACCAATGGTCTCAAGTTCAAACTCCGTGGCACATTAACAGTTTGTGAGAGAAAATCCCGCCCCCCGATCTCTTGTATGAAAAAATAGTTGGTATTAGCATTGGCTTATGCATGCATGGGTGTGGTGATTGCAGCATAGGAAGTTTGGCCAAAGACTTGGAAGAGGAAGGAGTTCAAAATGTGACGGTTAGAAACGCAATCTTCAAGGGTACTCAAAATGGGCTGAGGATCAAGTCTTGGCCTAGACCTAGCAGCGGCTTTGTCCAAGGTGTTCAATTTATTGACGCTGTAATGCTTAATGTCCAAAATCCTATTGTAATTGATCAAAATTACTGCCCACGCAATATCAACTGCCCTGCTCAGGTAATAAAACTAAGTAATTTGTACTATTTTGATGTTATATTATCATATCAAATGGATCCACCCCAATATTAGGTTGGGACTAGTGAGGAATTTGACGATGCCACCACCGGTTGGTTGGGTCGTCTCCTGCCTGTGTTTCCCCTAGTCTTTGTATTTGTATGTCCTGTTTTTCTGGTTGCAGTTGTCCATTAGCTTTGGACTCTAGCATTGTATCTTTGGCATTTAGCCCTGGTATTGTAATTCCAGTTTGACAAAAAAAAAATGTAAACTCTCTGTCTGATGCACATATTTCCATCTCTGTTCAATCTACAGGCATCAGGTGTGAAAATCAGTGACGTATTGTACCGAAACATTCAAGGAACATCAGGAAGAGCAGTAGCAATAAAATTGGATTGCAGCGCAACAAATCCGTGCAGTGGGATACGACTCGAAAACGTGAGTTTGACCTACCGGAATCAAGTGGTTCAATCACATTGTACCAATGTAAATGGAAATACTTCTGGCATTGTTCAACCAAATAGTTGTCTGTAATACTGAAGAACAGATTATGCGTGAAGTACTTGTACATAAGATATACACACATTTTGCAAGTGAGAGTATCGGTGCATTAATAATAATTTTTTTTTTTTCCAAAGCATTAATATTCTTTCATTGTATTCTAAATATAAAAGCATAAGAATATCCTGTGGATTTCAATATTGCTAGAGATAGCATGTACATGTATATCATTTCACGTGATATAGTCTTACTGAACTTGCAATTTACTTCTCTAAGTTACTTGTATAACAAACAGAACTTTCAAGTTGGTCTACATTGATAGTTTTGCCAGTTTACTAAGCAAAAAAGCGCACTCAAGAGGGAAAGAATGGTTTTCTCAAAACCGAACTTAACGAAGAAGCAAGCATTAATTTTCCAAGTAAAGCATTCCTATACCAATATAATAATATTATTACAAGATTATAGAACACTGAACACATATGGAAAGAGAGAGGACTAAACCACATTTATTAGGTTGTGTATCTGCCCCATAAGCAATTCTCTCTAAACAGATGACTTAAGGCCAATGATACCTGCAAAAAAGTCAATGTAACAATTATAGGAAAGAGTTTGGGGGATGAAAAGGGGAAAGGGGGAGAAACAATAACCCTACTACTGGCTTTTAAAGAACAATTTTCTTGCATCAACAAAAGGCTAGAGAAGTGAAATACATACCACATCCAACTCTTGCTCCTGCATTCCCAGTAGTCTTGCTGAGTTCATGTCCACCTGTTGCATTAACAATAACAGACATCAAGGAACAGCTTCCGTGGTGGACATGAATCAGAAGATAAATCCACAGTACTGCAATTTGTACTAGAAAACAGAAATTTGAAATAACTGAAGATGGCTGAGCAAGTTATTGCAGAAAAGGCAGAAGCCAATTTGGCAGTGTTTTTTAATTTCTCAGCACCATTGTGCCAAGTATAAATCATCGTTCTGTATGTCATAAGAGGAGATACTAAACAAATTACAAAAAAATTTCACCAGTTTCTCCACTTCAAGCTTTCAGTGAATCCTTTCACTCTAAAGGGAGTTCATATTCAAGATAGCGCATATTTTTTCCCTACTCTTAGCGCATTCCAGTTCCAAATATCACATATTCAAAACTTTCCAAATTTCATATCTGCAGCCATGCGGGGAGCCAGGGACCAAGGCAATTGATCCAAAATAAACTCCTTAACTAAAATAAAAGCAGCAGTTTCTCAACAGAAACGTAGAATGCAAATTATATATATATATATATATATATCTTCCTCTCTCTCATCTCTCAATCTCTCTTCATTTGGTTAGTAAGAAATCTACCATTTATGTAGCTTAATAGTAAGAAATTAATTTCACTTTCAGATGAAAACCTTCACATCAATCATCAGGACATTACCCCTGGGATTGATCCCAGAAAACAAAACTTAAAGGAGTATCTATATCACAGTTCCAACAATTTGAACTGTCCAGATCTATAAAGTAATATGGTACTGTAGTATCATAACATCATGGAAACATTCGAACAAAAACATACCAGCATAAAGCACGATATTAACTATCACAGGACAAACGGAAAAGTACTGCAAAAAAACATATGATTTTAAACATGATGAGAGAAACAAGTAAATTCACCCACTTCTAAAACTCTTGAATTCAAAACAAAGTGCCAAGAGATGTGCAAGAGAAATTATTTCTCACGTGTAAAGACCTAAGTAATTGGACTCAACTAGGTGGATGAGCACTTCATAAAATGTTGTGTGATTGACACAAACATGGCACAAGTGAAATAAAATTTCATGGCATGATAATAAGAACCATGAAATTTTATTTAGACTTTAACTCTGAGAAGATTGGCATCTTTGTGATACAAGCTCAAAAAGATGCTTTGCAAAATCACAAAACATTCATCAATTGTATTACAGTATGTAATTAGCCTTACAGGATTAATGACTTCCAAAAGAAAATATTTTGAACGTCACTACAGAAGGTTTCAATCCCCATGGAAAGAAAAACCATCGCTACCAAATGGGTAACCCAACCTCTCCTCTACCCCTGGCCCTCCCTCCTCTCCCATCCCTGCATATGTGCATCATGTTGCCTTTTCATGTGCCCAATTTGGACAGAGATCTTGTGGTTAACAATTATACTCACACCCAATGCGCAAAATATCTGAATGATATTTGGTTGTATATCAGAGTCGAAGCTTTCCATTGCTGCTTGTTTGGTTTGCAATTGGTATGGTTTACGATGTGTGTGTGTGTGTGTGTGTGTGTGAGAGAGAGAGAGAGAGAGAGAGAGAGAGAGAGAGAGATGGAATGGGGCGAGGGAGACGGGGGTGGGCAGTGTGGGGCTAGGGGAGGAGGGAGGTGACATGAAATTTATAGTTAAGACCCACACCACAGGTCTCAGCATATTTTGAAGCATGTGAAAATCCATAGTGGCAAGATATAATTCATGATTCTGTTTGTCATAACCTAAACAAAGTATTAAAAAATTTCCAAGGGAAATAATCTTCCAGTTCCTCCCTTTCAAGCTTTCAATGAATCATTTCACTCCTAAAGGGAGTTTCATCTTCAAGATGGCTCATAGTTTTCCCCTCCTATTAAAGCATTTCCACCAGTTCCAAAGTATTACAGATTTAAAATCTTCCAAAACGAGCTCCTCAACAAAAATAAACGCAGCTGTTTCTCAACAGAAATATAGATGCAGATTAACCCTCTCTCTCTTCATCTCTCTCAATCTCAATCTATCTTTATTGGGTAAGTAAGAAATATATGATTAATGTTAGCATAATGGTAAGGAATCAAGTTAGAAGCTATGGACATCACAGCAATCTGATAAAACCATATGATACTGCAGTACCAGTCTCACGGAATCATTCAAACGAAAAAACACCAGCACCAAAATCCGATCCTTATCCATGGTATTAACAATAGCAGCACAAACCGGAAAAGAATGCATAGAATTTATTATAAAAACACATGATTTCAGACACATTGAGAAGGGCAACACAAGTCAAAATGAAGTGATAAGAGATATGCTAGTGAAATTATTTCTAAAGTATGAAGAGCTAAGGAGACAACTTTTTGAATCAAAGAGGTGAACAAATGCTTCTTAGATGTAGTGTGATTGACACAAACCTGACAAAATGAAGGAAAAAATTTCATCGCGTGATGATAAGAACAACCATAATAAAGTCTAAATGCGATGAGATTGACACCTTTGCAATATAAGCTCCAGAAGATGCTATGAAAGTGCAAATGTATTAAGCAAACAATCATCCAAACAAATTGTACATTCTTACCTTTGCCAAGATCATCAGGATCAGCATGCACTACAACTGCCCTCCCAAGAATGGAATGAGGTCCGCTTAGTGGAATCTAAAATTGATATCAAGAACTTAGATTATAGGAAAAGGGGAACAGGAATCCAAACAAATAAAATGATTTCATTGGCAATAATATGCTAGCATTGTAGATAACCTATGACATATATATCAGATAGACGCCATGTTATCATTTTAGAGGATTTGAGTGAACAGAAAATGAATCAAATTACCTGCCAGTCCTTAAGAGAAACCTCAGCAACTCCTGCAGAGTGCAAATTTAGTAAAATACTGAGCTGTATGTATCTGAGGAACCATTCCATCTGGTGTACAATAATACATTACACACAGAAACCAATAATTTTCATACCATCTGGGCCTGCAGCAACGTTACCCAAATCACCTGCGTGACGCTCCTTATCTGAAGGAGCTCCATGGTCCTTCTTCAGTGGATTAAAATGAGGTCCTAATAAAAACCAACATCAAAATATAAAACTTTAGTAGTTTACCAACAGTGAACCAAGAAAAACAAATGAGAAAATTAAAGCCCATTAAAGAAAAAGCCAACATTGAAAATTGAGAATTAAAGCTGAAAAGTATAGAGAGATGGAAATCTTTTACCAGTGGAATTGCAACCATTGGAGGTATCACCAAGAGCGTGAATATGGAAACCATGGAGGCCCGGAGAGAGCCCAGTAATTCTCCCTTTTACTTGCGTAGGCCCTGTTTATATTTAAATTACCAACAATTAACAAAAAAACCAGGAAAAGCACACACGCCGCAGAGAGAGAGAGAGAGAGAGAGAGAGAGAGAGAGAGTGAGAGACCGCTGGCATCCTGAACGAAATGAAGAGAGCCTCGGACTTTGGAATCTCCGGTGATAAGAGCAACTGCTTTCACACTACCCATGTCCTCTGCTTCCTCTGCCTCTTTTTTTTTGGACAAAATCCTCTGCCTCGTATTTCACGAGTTTCCTGTCTTTTCTACTCGACTCCAACGTAAGCTATATATGTCTAGAGTTTTTCTATTGGGTTATTGGCAGCAATGGTTACATTTGGGTCACTGAACTCAATTATTAATTGTATAAATCACTCAAATATGTGTTTTGTTGCACCAGTAATCTTTCCGTCAAATTCTGTTAAATTTTTTGTCAAAAGTGAGAATAAATTCAAAAATTCGCCTTCCCCTCCTGAAACTACGAAATTTTTTATGCCAAAAAATAAAAGCAAAAACTTTCCTTTTTAATCTCTTTTAATGTTTATACACATATTACATGGCAATTCTATTTGAAGTCTCATCCAAATAACTACAATTAGATACATGAAGCAGAAGAACAATGACTTAAGGAAAATTATTTTTCACACCAACACCGCGATGACCTCGAATTGAATAGCTGAAGTAAATGATATTTGCTATTTCAAAAGTGCCAAGAGTCTGTGGATAGCTCCCTAAAGGAAGCTGATGGTCCTTTGCTCCACAGCCCTCCCCTTCCTCCACAACCCTCCATTGCCGCAATTCAATCCTTGCTGACACCAAAAAATTCAATTAAAAAGATGCCGCACAGCAACAAGAATATTTTCAAATATTCATGATAAATACCTTCAGACCAGCAAACAGATTCAAGATCTCGCATTTTACCTTCAGACCAACCCTTCTCCTAAATCACGTCGGTCTTCCATAATCTTCGAACCCAATTCAAATACACCAATTTAAAACCCGGCCCTATTGCAAGAGCCACTAAATCTGACTTATGGGTGCTAAAATTTGTGGTCTTTTGAAACAAAAATGAAAAAGGGTAAGTGCTGAAATGATGAATCTTTGGACCTCCCCAAGGGAGCAAACGAGAATGGAAGGTTGAACCATAGGTTCGGCACAAGAGGAATCTTTCTTAGACTCGGTTCGCCATTAGTTTGCAAACCATCAAGAGGTTGAGAGGGAAGAGGGGTTGGTGGGTTAGGGTTTTGAAGTTTTGTGTAGCAGATCTCTGGGAATTTTTATTATTTGATATTCAATTTGAATTTCCGAATTTACCCTCACTTTTGACAGAAAATTTAACAGAACTTGACGGAAGGACTACTGGTGCAACAAAACACATATTTGAGTGACATCTGCAACTAATAATTGAGTTTAGTGACCCAAATGTAACTATGGGTATAATTGAGGGACCATTGCTGCGAATAACCCTTTTCTATTTAAACCTGCACTTATTTTGTTCACCCCACATTCTAAGTTCACCTCACTATTTTCCTAAACTACCCCCTAAATACATATCTAGCATAAGAAAAAAAAATTAAAAAACTCATCAACCTCACACACCCCACACCCCGCTATCTTGCCCCTCACTACTTTAAGTTTACTAATTTACCCTAATATAAAATGACTAAAAAGGATATATTGACTTGTGAAACAAATGTATTTTTAATAAGTGCACCTTACTCACCATATCCAACCCTAATCAAATGTAAGCGAAAGCCATCAAAAGTTAAAGAGGTGTTTGGCCGGAAGCCACCGAAGGGTTAAAGAGGTGATTCGACAGAGGCTGCTTTGAAAATATTTTTAAGGAAAAAGAACATAAAGAATCTATTAAAAATATTAGACATTTAAAAATTAGGAAAGGTATCTTAATCTATATTTTGCATATCTGGTTTTAAGTTCTAACCATCCAACCCAGTACAAGAGATCTTTTGAAGACCACCTCATGAAATCATGTTATAAATAAGATCACCAAATAAAATGGTTCTTTCTGAATTAAAGATGAGGGGGAGGGAGGAGGGAAAGGGGTGAACTTAACCATACCCTCTAAACTTTGACTTGCTATACCCCTTTACCTTATGTTGTTTTTTAAGTTCTTTTCATAAATTCAAATATGAGACTTTTGAATGTGAAGAACCCAGCTCAATTCTTGTTCATATTAAAAAAAAAGTAATATATATATATATAGGAATTAATGAATTCTGAAGCAACATGGAGCTCTGCAGAACTTTGATGAAAAATTAAAGTGAAGGAATCCACATGGATATGGTTATAAATGCACAAAACCAACAAAATGGGAAAGGAATATGTTATCCCAATATTCACTCACAACAAAGATGAATATGAAAAAGATGAAAAATAGTGTATTTGGCAGCAAGGTGGGTTTGGTGGTTTAATAGTGTTCGACAACCAGCTCTTGAATGGTATTAGGGTGTTATGTAATAGTGCATTAGGGCGTACCAGGGGTATTTTGGTAACTAAATAGGGTGTACTTAGTTAACTTTACTTTTTGATTAAAATATTATAGTGTACTTAGATCCTAGGGTGTACTCAGTTAATTTTAAGGTTCATTTAGCAGCACTCGTCTAGAGTTTTTCTATTTAAACCTGCATTTCTTTTGTTCACCCCACATTCTAAGTTTACCTCCCTATTTTCCCAAACTACCCCCTAAATACATATCTAGCAGAAGAAAAAAAAATTAAAAAAACTCATCAACCTCACACACCCCACACCCCGCTATCTTGCCCCTCACTACTCTAAGTTTACCTCAACCTCACATTACTTAAAGAGATAAAAACGCTGTTGTCAAATGTGTAGCAGCATTGAGAATGAACTAGGAGGTTTTGTGAAGAGAAGATGTGAGTGTAGTAGGTTTGTAGAGAAGTTTGTGTTTTTCGAAAACTTAATATGAAGAATGGTGGGGTGTGTGTATAGATGTACTAGGGTTAAATATTAAGTTGGATGACCTTTTTTGTCTTTTTACAGAATAATAAAACTTAAGAGCTTAATGATTTAAGTATTTGGGTGAACAAAGAAAAGTATGAGATTTAAATAGAAAAAACTCTATGTTTATCCAATTCGCCAATTATTTTGTTGGTTTTTCAATTGCCACTTATAGTTCGTGGAGAGATGTTCACAATTACTACCATAGGAAAGCCGCTCCCCTACCCTTATCTCTAAAGGGGCCCGTAACTTTTCTTGACTTAGGCTTCCAACTGAACTTACTTTATGGCCTTGCCGCTCGCCCCGCTAGCAGAAGCTAAGCGATTGAAAAGCGCGCTAAGAAACGTCTCAACTTGGGCCCGATTTACATTTTGTTGAGAATAAAATCCCCAACGTTTAGGAGATTGTATATACCATAATTATTGTAATCCCATCATATATGGATCAACCTTAATTCTAGCATAGCAGTAACTTATTTCCTAGAATAGCACTTTGCTGTAGCCATATATGCATATGTATATGTACATTGAATCAGTTATCAAATAAACAATTCATTCTCCAATTTTATTAGATTTTAGTCCTCGAATTCACAAAATGACTAATGTAGTCCCTTAACTCCACTTTCGTTAGCAATGATGGTCCGGCCATCACATCTACTACTTTTTCGTCTACCAAATAGATATGGAGGACATTTTCGTCTAGAAAAAGGTATGGAGGAAATGACAAAAATGATCTGGTTTTGCTGTTTGTTGCCTTTTCTTTTTGTTATGCAAGTGATAATCTATTTTAAATTCATTTAAATTATGGGAAGGGGAATTCGAATTCTAGTGCAGAGTGGAGAGCACATCTGCTCTAGCCAACTTAACTAAGCTCATATTTGTGTTGTTTGTTGCTGTTAAAATAACATGAGAATATGCAAAGTGCGGGGAGACAAGAGGATTCGAACATCTGTTAACATAGCCCAGCAACAGTTGGCTCTGGGTGTGGAGGACCCAAACTATTAAAAAAAAATCTTCATTTTTGTTAAATAATTAATTGAATGGATCTCTGGACTATAACTACTAATTTTATATTTTCATATTTACCCACCAGAAAAAGAAAAAGAAAAAAACCCCAATAGTTAATAGTTATATATTTGATAAGGCTAAATTGTAGCAATGGTCCTTTGACTATGACCCAACTTTACTTTTCGTCCTTCATGTTGCAAAATTATTATGGTCGTCCTTCACCATTAGTTCTTTCCGTCAATTCTGTTTGTTTTTCCTTCAAAATTGTTCACATGTCAAGCACATGATAAATATTTTAGGGATAACTAAGACTTTTACCTAGCCACCACCTCCTTCTACCTTAAACCCAACCGCACGCCATCCTCTTTCCCACAAAGATGCCCTTCCATCTACCTCACCGACCTAGCAACCCAAACCATCCCAGATGGCTCAAAGCCTCCAGCACCTTTTGGTGATAAATTCCAAGTCTCCTCTGGTATGTCAACCACTTCCCCTCCAAACCATGATGAATTTTATCTGGACATAGTAAAATGCTTCGGCATGGTTTTCTTTGCCTTGCCTCCAACCGATGAGGTGTAGCTCAACTTTGAGTGGCTCAAGAGCTCCTTATCCTCTCCAAAAGTCAACTTGATGTTAAATCAACTTCCCCAATCATTAAACCCTCCTTCCCCACATGCTGGGCTGATTTTTTTAATGAGTTTCTTTATCTAATAAATATTTTATATGGGATATCCTAATTTGCCCTTAATTTTAACAGAAAATTAACTTTTATTGATGAAAAGACCGATAATGCAACACGAGGAATTGAAGGATGGCCATAATAATTTTGTGACATAAGGGACGAAAAGTAAAGTTGAGCCTTATTTTTTAGAACCATTGCTACAATTTAGCCATTTGGTAGCAACTACTAATAATTTATTTCGTTAATTTTGTTTTGTTTTTGGGTGAACTCTCTGTTCTGGTCCGTCGTCATTGATTGAGATTTGAGATCGTTTCCTTGGCAATTGCCATTGAAGAGCAGAAACGTCGATCCTTTGAAATTGTATTTGTTGATTGTTTCTTCCTTTATCTTTCATTGGCATTTGTAATTGTGATTGATCCGATAGAGAAATGAGGGAGATAATAAGCGTACACATAGGACAAGCAGGGATCCAAGTTGGGAATGCCTGCTGGGAGCTCTACTGCCTTGAACATGGAATTCAACCTGATGGCATGATGCCGAGGTATATATATATATTAATCATTGATTTGGTTTTTTTTGTTTTCATTTTTTATTTTTATTTTTATTTCAGTTTTTGTAATTGTCGCTTTCAATTGGGGTGCTGTTCATAGAACTTCAATATATTCTTCAGAAAATGATTCTTTTATCTTTTCTAATTGTAATAGTTTTGGGTTTTTGGATTCAAATTGTTCTAGTGTTTGAGATATTGTTTGTACAATTGGGAATTGGCTTATATTTGGCCAATTAATTGCAACAATCTAGTAGATCACAATTTGATTAACCCGAATTCACCATTGTTTCATTTAGTTAGTTGTTTGTTTCCCTTTTTTTTTCGTGGAAAAGAAAATAAAGGAAACAAACATGGCTTGAATCGAACGGTATTCATGAAAATGGAAATGTGAAGAATCTTATAATGTGATCAAGAAGCTTATGCCAATTCATTTTACTTCTTGATCATTATTGTTGTTGTAATTCCAATTTAGAGGAATCTTGAATGAACTTTGGAGTTAATTGAGGAAAAGACTCACTTTGTTAATCTCTGCGTTTTGTAAATCTTGAATGGAATCATGAAATTTATATATATATATATATATATATATATATATTTGGGAAAACAGTTGGAATCTATTAAGATTGAACTAGTAACTGTGTTGTCTTGTTGAGACTTTTGCCACTAAATCTACTCTTTCAATATAAGTGCCAGTTTCAATTTCTTTTTTTCTTGCATAATTGATCAGGCTCTCTTCTGTTGCTAATCTATCATAAGGTAACATCCAAAGATACAAAATTGAAACACAATTTGGAATCATCTATTTATATCGAAACCTTCCTACCCAATTTTCTAACCATTGATTGGTGAATGCCTGTTTATGAGTTTGCCTGTGACCCAACGTGGTTTGTAAGTGGTCTGGGTATGCATGTTATTTTCATTCTTCTGCTGATTTGTATGAGCTTGTTCACTCAAGATATCTTTCTTTAGTGGTTTTGTGTGTTATATATTCATAACTGGTATTTGGTGCGGTCTTCAGTAGTAATATTGTTCTGATCTCTCAAACAATGCATTTAATTTTGTTTTGTTTTCTCTTTTTTACTTTGATTTGTGATCTAGTTCTTGAGTAATTATTATAAAGTCATCTTTCAATTCCTTATTTGCAGGTATACTTTAATATTTATGGATTTTAATGTTAAAATTTATTTTCGTGATTGAGAAAAAACTCACCATGAGATTTATTGAATGGATCGTTTCTGGTCTTAAGAAGGTTTATATGTGAATGCAGTGACACCTCTGTTGGTGCGGCACATGATGCTTTTAACACCTTCTTCAGCGAAACCGGTTCTGGCAATCATGTGCCTAGAGCTATATTTGTTGATTTGGAACCCACGGTTATTGATGAAGTCAGAACTGGGACTTACAGACAACTGTTTCATCCTGAACAACTTATTTCTGGCAAAGAAGATGCTGCTAACAATTTTGCCAGAGGACACTATACAGGTATATGAATTTCTATTGCACTGTCAAACTGGCATTTCCTTCTATTATTTTAGTTATAACTGGTTTTCTCTGTTGAATGCTACAGTGGGGAGGGAAATTGTGGACCTATGCCTTGACAGGGTGAGAAAATTAGCTGATAATTGCACTGGTTTGCAAGGGTTTTTGGTCTTTAACGCTGTTGGTGGTGGCACTGGTTCTGGTTTGGGGTCACTACTTCTGGAACGATTGTCTGTCGATTATGGGAAGAAGTCAAAACTTGGTTTCACCATTTATCCTTCTCCTCAGGTACGTACTCAAAAAACTTACAGGTTATGATTTGGATGGAATCATGGAACTTTTACTGCTAAAACTAGTATTTATGAACACAACACAACTTGTCTTTTTCTTATAAATTTTGTAAGCAATATCAGTTTCAATGTTTTATTTTAACGAATTAGTTCTGCTAGCATGGGAATAAATCTTTAGAAAAAGATAGGTCTTAAATTTTGTATGCAATATCAGTTTCAATGTTTATTATACTGCAGATTTATTCTCATCTGTAGAGACAATATAAATGGTTGGTAGAAACTTAGGAAAGATGACTACTTTGAGAATGACAATTCTTATAAGCTTTTCATTCGGTTAATTTTCACATCTTCTCACTTTTTTCATCTGGTTCCACTTAATGGGTTTTAAGTTCTTAATATTACACTATGCATACCAAATCTGAAACTAGAGAGTTTATACTTCACCGTTATTCTCATCTGGAGAGACAACATAAGTGATGGGCAGAAACTTAGGAAAGATTATTTCTTAATATTGTTGAACTATGCATGTGTGGCTTTCTCCAGCAACTAATCTCAAAATTTCCAGGTCTCCACTGCTGTTGTAGAACCTTACAATAGCGTGCTCTCCACGCATTCTCTCCTTGAACATACAGACGTGGCTGTGCTTCTGGACAATGAAGCCATTTATGATATCTGTAGGAGATCTTTAGACATTGAAAGGCCGACATACACCAACTTGAATAGATTAATATCCCAAATAATCTCTTCTTTGACCACTTCTTTGAGGTTTGATGGTGCCATTAATGTAGACATTACAGAGTTTCAAACTAACCTTGTCCCATATCCTCGTATCCACTTTATGCTCTCATCTTATGCCCCTGTAATCTCCGCTGCAAAGGCTTACCATGAGCAACTATCAGTTCCTGAGATCACAAGTGCTGTATTTGAGCCCTCAAGTATGATGGCCAAGTGTGATCCGAGGCATGGGAAGTACATGGCATGCTGCTTGATGTACCGTGGTGACGTTGTACCAAAGGATGTAAATGCTTCTGTAGCTACCATTAAGACAAAGCGAACAGTTCAATTTGTAGACTGGTGAGTAGAGCTTCCGTACATCTAGTTTTGTTAAAATATAAGCCTAAATAATACTTGCACCAAAATTGATGAATTGGGACTTGCTTTATTATTGGTTTAATAATTTCAGTTCTTGCAGTTCTGACACAAGCTCTTTTAAAAATTAAGGGCCCGTCTGGTAACGTTTTCGGAGAATGTTTTCTGAGAATATTTTCAGAGAATGAAAACAAGAAAACAAATTTGCATTTTCAGGAAATGAAAATGCGTCTGGTAGATTAATTAGAAAACATCTTTAGAAAACAAAAACAATGAAAACGTGTCTGGTAGAACAATTGTTTTTCAGGTGTATTTTTGCTAATTTCAGTTCTAATTTTTTTTAATTCTGATATTTTTAGAGGCTAAAATTATTGTAAACAATGAAAAAAATTTAAGCTAAAAAAACTATCTTATCTCCTTTTTTTCTTTTTTTCCTTTTTCTTCTTTTTCTCCTTTTCTCTCTTTCCTCCTCTTTTCTTCTTCTTTTCCTTCACATGGCTGCTTCTTTTTTCTCTTTTTCTTCCTCTTTCCTACTTTCTTCCCCTTTTCTTCTTCCTTTCCTTCCCCAGGCCGTTTCTTTTTTCTCATTTTCTTCCTCTTTTCTTCTTCCTTTCCTTCCCAGGCTACACCCACTCCTCCTTCCTTCCATGGCATGAATCCCATACACCCACCCATCTCTCTCTCTCTCTCTCTCTCTTGATCCACTAATTAATGGTTGTGATGGTTTGATTGGGTGATGATGGTGGTTGAGTTGGGTATGTGGTGGTTCTTCTTCTTGTCTCTGTTTTTTTTTCTTCTTCTTCCTCTGTATTTTTTTTTCTTAATTTGCAGATCTGTTTATTTTGGGTCAGAGAAGATGGGTGTTGTTCCTGTTGGTGGGTTTATCGGTTGTCAAAAGAGAGAGCTAGAGTTGTTGATGGGATGCATTCTTGTGTCTTCGGAAAACACTGAAAATGAAATCACTGAAAACAACTTTTTTTCATTTTCAACTTTTGTTCACAAAGTCAGATTTGTTTTCAGAAAACGTTTTGTGAGGGAAAACGAAAACGATGCACCGAACGTGTTTTTGTGAAAAACAGGAAACAAAAACAGAAAACAGGCTCTAAAAACATTACCGAACGGGCCCTAAGCTTGCACTACAAACGTTTATTTGATGAATGAGTTCTCCATGTTGATACTTTCAGGTGCCCAACTGGTTTCAAATGCGGTATTAACTACGAGCCCCCTTCAGTGGTGCCAGGTGGTGATCTTGCCAAGGTGCAACGAGCAGTTTGCATGATAAGCAACAACACTGCCGTCGCTGAGGTGTTCTCCCGAATTGACCATAAATTCGACCTTATGTATTCCAAGCGGGCGTTTGTGCATTGGTATGTAGGTGAAGGGATGGAGGAAGGTGAATTCTCGGAAGCCCGTGAGGATCTTGCTGCTCTTGAAAAAGACTATGAGGAAGTTGGAGCAGAAGGTGCTGATGACGAGGGTGAAGGGGAAGATTACTAAAACTTAATACTTTGGGATTCAGAAGCTTTCTGTCTCTTCCTTATTTTGTTTCTCTAGCTGCATGTTTTTATGTTCTTCATCTTTTGAATGACATGTACGTTGTGTTATGGAAAAATGCATGATAAGCAAAAGACTCGAAACAAGTTTTACCTTTATTGACATCCCTTATCCCTACTCCATCCACCATGTCCTTGCATAAGAGGAAGGTTTCCACACCGTCCTAGGACCAACCAATTATGTTCTCTAGCTTCTGGTAGTCCATTGTTGTATGTCCTGGGTTAATCGTTTTATTAGTCCTTGAATTTAGACCGGATTTGCATTTGAGTACCTAATTGCAAGAAGGGCCTTGGTGCACTAGATCAAAGTCGTGGAAGGTGAGAGTTTATGTGTTTATTTATGGTGAATTTTTTTTTCTTCCCAAAAATCGGGAGATTTTATTCAAAGACGTAAAGCAAGGTTTGCATCCTCAACTAGTACATAAACATCTAGGCCTCGTTTGGTTCATGGGAAAGGAGACTTGGAAATGAGAAATCAATTGCTTTCCCATGTTTGGTAAGTCTAGGTATGGGAAATCGTTGTCTGGCTCATGGGAAAGTAGGGGAAAAGTGAAGCCATCCTCTCAACTTGGGTTTTGTTTTCCCTCCTCATGGGAAAGTTTGGGAAAATGAGCTAACATTAAATACATATTTTTTATGACCATTTTATCCCCATTAACAATTTAGAATTACAATATATCATTAAATGCATTCTTTTTTTATTTGATTTAATATGGGTATAATTGAACATTTATACAAACTTTGTTTTCCATTTCTACTCAAAACAAATATGGGAAAGGAAATAAAGTGATATTTCCCGGTTACTTTCCCAGTATTACCAAACGTGGGAAAAGAATATTCAATTCCCATTCCTTGGAGAATGACATGGGAAATGATTTCCCCTCAAATTCATTCCATAAACCAAAAAGGCACTAATGTGGCCAAATCACATCCCACACATGGGACCCTCCATAACGAGTAACAAAGCCAGCAACCTCATGTGCTGCTTTATTCCCTCTATGAGATGTAAACGAAAAGTTCACCATCTCCAGTTGTTGAGCAAGCCTTCGAATGTCAAAGGACAACGCCCTCCAAGGTGACATCAAGTGCGATATACCCGTTGATCATGCGAATCATTCCAGTTCCACTTTCCTGTATTGTCGACCATGGGAGTCCAGCAACCATATATGGTGAGAGTTAAACCATATATTACGACGATTTAGCTGCATTTATCCAACCAAGAAGTTTAGGAGTTCTCAAAGGCTCAATATCACAAAATGTCCCTAAGATTTACGAAACTATCATTGCATTGCTTAATTTTTTTTTTTATTTTTTTTGTTTTTTTTGTGTGTCTTTTATGGTTAGGTAGTGTGTGATCACAAATGGTCTCTGCCGTTAGGTTCCGTAAAAAATTTTGTTAGTTTGCTGACGTGGACTATATATATCACAAAACATTCATGAGGTTTACACACCTATCACAAATGGTCCCTACGAAATTTTAAAAAAAATTAAAATTCATAAAATTTTGGTTTTCTTTTTTAAATTATTCAAAAATATATATTGTATTTTAAATACACGTGGCACTATATTATTGAAGATGTGGGCTCCACATATATGCCACATCAACAAACTAATGAATTTTTTTTTAAAATAATTTAAAATTCATAGAATTTAAAAATGAAAGAACCATTTATAGAAGGATTTTAGCCTTGAGGACCATCTATGAACCCTAAACCCTTGGTTTTTTCATTTTTAAATTTTATGAATTTTAAATAATTTTTTAAAAACTCCATTAGTTTGTTGATGTGGCATATATGTGGAGCTCGCATCTTCAATAATATAGTGTCTCGTGTATTTAAAATACAATATATTTTTTAAAATAATTTAAAATTTAAAAAATTTAAAAAAGAAAACTAAAATTTTATGAATTTTAAATTTAAAAATTAAAAAAATTTGCAAGGACCATTTGTGATAGGTGCGTGAACCTCAGGGATGTTTTGTGATATATATATGCGCCACGTCAGCAAACTAACAGAGTTTTTGACGAAACCTAACGGCGAGGACCATTTGTAATCACACATACTAACCTTGAGGACCACAAATGACAAAAAAAAAAATATTAAGGATGCATTCTGATAATTTCGTAAACCTTATGGACGTTCTATGATATTAAGCCAATATTCAAAACAAGTAACATCAGTAATGCTCTTTAATTGCATAATTACTTCACGTTTACAAATTAAAGATGCACAATTATTGGTTGGCCAGGAATCTAGAGGCTTAAATTAAACAAATTATTGGTTTTATTTTTTTTTTTTTTTTTTTTTTTTTTTTTTTTTTTTTTTTTTTTTTTTATAATATAAATAAAAAAAATAATAAGGGGACAAATCCCCGGGGAAATAAGAACAAAGCAACAGGGAAAGTCCCAACCAGGCCATCCACACTAAGGCTACATTGTCCAACCTTGCAGATTGCAAGCAAGCAACTAAGAGAGGGGGGGGGGGGGGGGGGGGGGGGGGGGTTGAGAACATGCACTAGCGAAGATGGTGGTCTATTGACCCAGGTCACAGGGTTCATCCTCGCACTTGCCAGAGTCGCAGTGTGATCTGCTACCACATTAGCTGTTCTTGGACACCAAGCCTAGATCAACAAAATTTGGATGGCCAAGGTGCTCCTTAATCTTACAGAGGAAAGGATACAACTCCCACTGTCCTCTCAAAATATTTCCTTGCACTCCACGAATCACTTCTCTACAATTCATCTCAAACTGAACCTGACGAAATTGATGCTCAATAGCAAAGAAACACGCTTCTACAGCAGCTAACGCTTCCGCTTCCAACCCCTAATTTGTCAAACAAGGACATGCCTTGGTTGCAATAAAAGATCCAAGATGATTTCTAGCAATTAAACCAATGGCACCTTGTTGAGAATCTGCAGACTAGGCTGCATCAATGTTTATTTTACTTTTCAGGGCAAAAGGGGGGCACCAAGTATGAATTCTCTGCTCTGGAGGGGCGGAAGGCCCTCTAGTTGCCACCATGTGAGCTTTTGCTCTCAAAAAATCAAAGATAGCAGAAGAGGATGCAATCACAGTCGCCCTTGGGGATGGACTACAGCTTTCCATATCCGCCCTCTAGTTGCCACCATGTGAGCTTTTGCTCTCAAAAAATCAAAGATAGCAGAAGAGGATGCAATCACAGTCGCCCTTGGGGATGGACTACAGCTTTCCATATCCGCCTTACAACGTGACTTCCACATATTCCAGCAGGTGATGGCCAAAGATGATGCTCTCTATTCTTGCTTATTTTTCATTTGGAAAAGATTAACGTCCAACGACCAACAATTTCTCCACTATCACTACACAGAGCTAGTGCTTAATTACCTGCTAATGATCTGTCGCACATTTTTGTGTAGGTAAAATATGTGTATTAATTTTTGCTATATAATTCATTTTTTTCATTTTGTATTGTTTTGTTTCTACATTGGGCCCTCATGGATGATTAATTATGGTCGATTATAAAGAAATTGTCCAATTCTGCTGAGAGATTTAATGGACACCTTGTATGGTCCAATGCATATTTTATTTCAACGATCCGGACCGTTTATTTTTTAAGTCTTTATTCAAACATTATCCTTGCAAAAAATTAGTAAAATCAAAAACCATTAAGACATATGGTTGTGATCAACAAAATCAACGAGAAAAACAGAGTATAGCCGCCTGGCTATACTATGTGTACAAAAAAATAAAAAAATGCGTATAGCTGAGCGGTGATACTATTTATAAAAATACAAATTTATAAATAAACCCAATCTTAGACATGTATTTATAAAAAAACCCAAGCATTATTTAAACATAGAAACACACCCAAAATCAACCACAAAATCAACAATTGTATATTTTTTGGGTGTGTTTATAAATGGGTTTTGAGTGTGTGTAATGATAGGTTTTGGGTGTGTTTATAAAGTGTTTTGGGTGTTGGGTTTTTTTATAATTTCAGCCCCCATTTTGGGTGTTTTAGTGAAACTCCCTTATAAAAAAAGGAGAGGAACCCAGTGGTTGTCAAAAAAAGTACAGCCGCATGGCTAGACTAGGTGCCCACGTGTCAAAATAAGTATCACCGCACAACTAGACTATTTAATTAAAAAAAAATTAAGAACAAAGGACCTCCTAGTTGCATTAGTTTATACTTTATAGATATTAGGACAAACTACAATAAACCCCGCAATCTATAGGGTCATTTACGAGTTCATAACTGATTTTGGGGACATTTATGAGTACATACTCAACGTCGCGGAAAACCTAAAATTTGCCCCCTCTATTTGCAAGATCGTTAGAAAATCTGTTATTTGCCTATGTGGCATTTGTAGGACCCATTTTTTAATTGATGTGGGATTCTACGTGGACAAAAAATAATAAAAAAATTTACTTTTTAAAGTATTTTAAAAAATTAAACATATTAAATTATAAATTAAAAAAATTAAAAACCCTACCCAGATTCTCTCAATCTCCCCCCGATTTCTTCCCCCTTCCTCCCAATTTCTTTCCCCCCCCCCAAATTTCTTCCCCCACCCAAGCAGAAAACAAAACCATTTCGATTTTTTGTTCGCACCAAAAATCAAAACTTCGGAGTCTACAGACTCCCCCATGGCTGAAACTACGGATAACCCAACCAAGGATATTGAAAGTGATGACGAAGAGGAGCAGACGTTCGAAAGCCTCGGATTGGATGGTCGTCTTATTTATGCCCTAAACAAGAAGAAAATTTCTTGTTCATATTGAGCGAAGCCACATAAAGCTCCTCCTTTGATCGAGCGAAGCCTGAAATTGAGGCTTTTTAGTGTTCTGCAACCTTAGGGTTTGGATTCAAATTCGAATTTGATCAATAAATTGACCAAGTACAAATTAGGTTTGGAAATCGATTTGATTTTGGTGGGTTATGGCGACTGGCCTGGTTTTTTATATTTTTTTGTAGGGGTTTTAAAAGCCTCAAGCGTAATTTCCGAGGGCATGCCTCTTTGGCTTGTGATATCTCTTTTCATCATTTACAAAGCTTACGTGTTTCTGAAAATTTAGTTAATCAATCTCCATCCTTCAATTTGTAGATTCCAATGCATGTGTTTAATTTTAATAACAAACTGGTTCCTGGATTGTTTGTGCACTTTGGTGTAGTTAATTGCTCTCATTCGGTGTTGCATTAATGACACTTTGATGTGCTCTTCTCCCTCTTTAATTATTGTTTTCATAATTTTGGAGCCTCAGCGAAGTTCATGGGGTTGGCTGGGTGTGTGGCGTGGGTTCCTAGAGGAGGGTGGGTGTTGGATGTCGGGGCTCAGAGACTTCGGGGTGGTGTTAGGCTGGGGTGGGCTAAGAGATTCAGGTCGCTAGGTAGGGAGGGAGGGTGGGTCTGATGGTTTTTTTTTTTCCTAATGGGTTTTGGGGTGGGCGACGGGAGAGGGGTGGCTGAGAGGTGGGGTTGAGTCGGGAGGAAGAGAGGGGGTTGGCTCCTCAACGGACGCACTCGTGCAGCTTTTATTTTCTGGGTTTTCCGTTTTTGGTTTTTGGGTATTCATGGTGAAGGGAGGGAGGAGAAGATGGCGGACATGGGTTTGCAAATTTTCCCCTCCAATTCGTCTTCATCATCTAAATTGGCATTGGATTTTTGGGCAGTGGCTGGGTTGGTAGGTTTTGGGAGATGGTTGGGTGGTTCTTTGGGCGGCGACGAGAGAGTGGTGGCTGAGAAGAGGGAGAGAGGGTTGGCTGGGTTGGAGAAGAGAGATGAGATTTTTTTTTTATCTTTTCAATAATTTTAATATGATTTTAAAATTATTTTTAACATTTACATAAATTTTTTTATTAATTTTTTGTCCACGTGGCACCCTATGTCAATTAAAAAATGGGTCCCACAAATGCCACATAGATTTTCTGATGATCTCGCTAACGGAGGGGGCAAATTGTAGGTTTTCCGCGACATTGAGTATGTATTCGTAAATGTCCTCAAAATCGAGTATGAACTCGTAAATGACTCTATAGGTTGTGGGGTTTAATGTAGTTTGTCATAGATATTAATTTGCTATTTCAACTCCACAAACTAGTAAAACTTAGTTGCATAATAAATTGTTTAGTAATCATTAACAATTTTGGCAAGTTACAACTAAAAAGTTCAGTCACTATATAATATTTTAGTATAATATATTTGAATATTTAAATATATATTATTTTTATTCAATAATATGTGAAAATTATGTGTGTAATATGTGAATTATGTGTGTATAATTGAAAATTTTGTAAAAAAAAAATGTGTATTAAACATGAAAGTGGTAAATTCTTTATACAGGTAATAACTCTGAAAAAATAAAAAATGAAAAAGGGACAATAGAGACTCGGTTAATGGCCTAATAGTAATGTAAAATGCTCTAAACTATTCTTATTGATAAACGAAAATTGGGGAAAAAAATTTATTAAAAAAAAAGGATCCCATTATATATATGAAGAGTATAGTGGATTGTTTACTTTTTTTTTTTTTTTTTTTTTTATTTATTTAAAAAATTTAGAAAGAGAAAAAAAAAAAAAGAAAACAGAGTATAGCCGGCCGGCTATACCGGCTATACTATTTGTACAAAAAAAAAAATTTAAAGGGAGTATGGCTGGCGGCTATACTATTGTTTTTTTTTAAAGGATGTCAAAATAAGTACAGCCACACGGCTATAATATATTTTTTTATAAAAAATTAAAAAACCTAGTGTGGCAGCCCAGCTATACTATTTATATTAAAAAAAGAGGACCTGCCTTGCGATTAGGTGCCCACGTGGCCAGGTAAGTATAGCCGTGCGGCTATATTATTTATAAAACAAAAATATTTACAAAAACCGGTTATTTATATAAAGAGAGGACCCCATCGGTTAGGCGCCTACGTGTCAAAATAAGTATCCCCATGCGAATAGACTATTTAATAAAAGGACCACCTAGTTGCATTAGTTTATACTTTATAGATATTAATTTGCTATTTCAACTCTACAAACTAGTAAAACTTAGTTGCATAACAAATTTTGTTCAATCACTTGTGTCTTTATTTCAGTTAAGGCATGTATTATGTTTCCTCATAATATTTTTTTTCATCCAAAAGAATATTTATATGTTTTCAATTCAGGATCATAACTATTTGTATGTAGGTGTGCTTGAATCATGGGATAAGGTTTTGCATTTCAAGGAAGCCATATTTACATACAAGTCACAGGAAGACCTGAATGCTGCATTCAAACACCTTATTCAGTTGGAAGTGAGCTTCGACCATTGATATAGGATATATCTTAGGATTGTAATGAGTTTTTGGAATTTGTTACATTGGTCTTTTACTAATAATAATATATATTATTTTTCGGGCAACAATTTCTCATTGGAAATTTTATATATATTTCTTTTACAAAATATTCGTACATTCTGACGACTTTTTACTCTTGATATTGCTATAAATGTAGTTGGAAAAACATTTTTTTCGACACACTTCCATGTTGGAAATGCACAATTCCGACAAATTATATTGATCACAAATAGTAATTTAGGGTCGGAAATATTATTTTAGGCAAATAGCCATTGGTCGAAAATATATTGTCGCAAAACAAAAGATCTTGATAAATAATTTCCGATAACTGCATAAGTATTTGTGACCAGAGTTATGGTTGGAAATGAATTTGTATCATTGTTTTGAAAATGCATTTTCAACAGAAATTTAAGTAATATCAATGAAACATGAGCGTCGAAAATACATTATTTTCGACGGAATGGTTGGAAAAAAACTATTTGCAACCAGCGTTTTTTCGACGACTCTAATGGCAATTTTTCGTCAAAAAAGGGTATTTTTGACGGCAAAATGCCTTTTCCGACCATAAATCACCCTCGCTAAAGGCATTCTTTTTTGTAGTGAATTTTGTCATGTTACAACTGAAAAGTTCGGTCACTATATAATATTTTAATATAATATATTTAAATATTTAAATATATATTATTTTTATTCAATAATATGTGAAAATTATGTATATAATACATGAATTTTGTGTGTTATTGAAAAAACTATCTAGTGCACCGATCTAAATAGGAAGCATAACATAATCTCCCCATCCAAACCCCCACAGTGGTAACTAATCAAAATCAATATATAAAAAAATTGAAAGACAAACCCAAATTTCAAAGAGAGAGACGGAGAGATTGGTGGGTATGGAAAAAGAAAGAAAGATAAATGGAGGAAGAGAGCAGGTGGTGGCTAGGCAGGGTGGCGAGGGAGGGCACAGGTTGGGTACAACACAGGAGGGGCTGGGTTTTTTTATATATTTTGTTTTCTCTTTTTTATTTTGATTAATTTTGACAATTGAAGGGGGAAAAAAGAAGAAATAATATAAAAGTGAAGTAAAAAGAAAATAATGTAGAGTAAGGGTAGCATAGGAAAGAGAGAATAAAAAAGAACAAAATTAATTAAAAAGTATTAAAAAATAAGAGTGTAAGTGGAGAAAATGGGAGTGGGGAAATCAGCTCCCTTTGTTTAACAAAAAAAATTTAGACTTCAGTCCTAATTACAGACCAATCAACGATACAGATCACCATTATCTTCTCCACATTTTTCTTCTTCTTGAGCACCTTCTCAGCCTATCCGGTCATCAAAGCCATATCAAACCTTATCTTGTAATAAGAGTTTTTAAAATTTTAATTTAATTATGGGAAGAAGACCTCAATTTTATTATGGAGAGAAGACCTCAATTGTGGTTGATGAATCGTCACTGTGAACGATTCTGATATAATATCATAACGATTATTGAAACCTGAAACTGCATAGGGAAATTTGTAACACAAACATATAGTTACACAGAGAAATTTATTTCCTTAGCTTAGGAGCACCCGACTGGTTGGAGCAACGTAGGAGAGCAACTCGCTATCACATTCGAACTTAGCCATGACTTCCTCCTCCAAACTAACATAAGCCTCTATTCCACCACCCTCTTTGGTGTCCATGAAAAGCACAAGGTTCTTGTAGGTGAGTGACGGTGAGCCGACCCATGTAGGCCTCCCCCAACCAAAATCATTGTCATAAAGAGGAAATCTACAATAGCTACTAAAGCTAAGTAATGTACCCATCTCTCCTCTCTTAAAACTATCAGCATGTTTTTTCATCACACCTAAGTGCTCATCACCTTGCTTTTGTAATTTCTTTATGTACTCATTGTCTATATTGTCTATTGCTTCTCGTACCACCTGGATCACCACGCCGTGACCACATTCTTCATCGCAACCACCACTACTTGGAATTTGAAGTGGAGCTGTAATGGCCGCATTATAAAGATTCCCAAAAGAACTTTGAGGCAATGGTGGATCAAACCTCGGACGCAAGTTCACAGCATGTACCACCCTGTACAACTTATTCAAGGTACTATCCTTTGTAGCTGCAACAAACCGACTCCATAAGAAAGTGGATAAGGTTTCCACACGTGTTGGGCGTTTCTTTATATTGTGCATACTTTGTTCATATCTTTCTCGGAGGTTCTCTATTTGAGAGGCATCAAACACAAACCGCTTTGTTACTCTATCCCTTGTGATGCCAACGCTACCATCAAATCCAATATTAAACTCCTTTGGTGGGAAGAGTGTGGATGAGACAAACTCCGGAGGGTTTATGTTGGCTTGGTCTCCACGAGCAATGGCTGCCCAAATTTTGCTAAACATGAAATACGACAACCCATCTGCAATCTTGTGAGAAATGCATTGACCAATTGCAAAGCCTCCACATTGAAATATGCTGAGTTGGACCCCTAGGGGCAATGAATTGGTAATATCATCAAGTTCAAAGGGCATGAACTTGTTAAGCTCACCAGGGATAGGGTTGCTGAGAACATTAGAAAGTGTGCAATCCAGTACTCGAGCTTCGACGAAGGGGATGCCCTCGTCATTGCAATGTATGAACTGGTTGTTCTTGATGCGTCCAGCTAGAGGGTAGAAAAGGTTTAAGACCTCGCATAATGAGTTTTTGAGGTGGTTGGATATTTCAGTGATGTTGGGTTGTGTCTTGGCATTGTGTTCATAAAAGAGGAGCAAAGGGTTGTAGCCTTGGGGAGCTATTTGATCAAGAAAGGAGAATTGGTAGTGGCGAAGATGGTCAGGGGTTGGAGAAGATGGTTTGATAATCTCTTTGGAGATTACTTCAACTTCAACCTTCATGATCATCTGCTTAAGTTCAATTACCTTGGTAACAAAACAATGAGGGTGTGTTTAGCTGTGATTGTGATTGTATGTGGTTTGTGTTGCTCTTCAAGGAGACTTATATAGAGCTCAAGTAACTCCATGCTAAGGGGACTCCTACTAGCTCATAATAATTTAATGTTGCTTTGTTTTATGCATAGTTAAAATTTTATTTATTTTTCATTAATACTAACTACTTTTTTATATTATTTTTATTTATAGAGATTGACCAATCATATTGAATTAAAAAATAACTATGGTATTTATGACTCCCTAGGGAGTATAATTAAACCCTAGCCCCCTATCTCCCAAAAAACCCTCCTAGAGCCGTTTCACTTTGAGGGGAGAGGAAGCCACTGTTCTTCCTCCCCTCTCCCCTCTTCTCTTCCTAAATCTCTTCTCTCCTTATTTTCAAAGACAAAAGGTTTTCCCTATTTGCCTTCGTTTTGTTATATGATTTTCCTCCAACCATCACAGACGGTTGCGTTTTGGTGTCAGATCTCCACCACTATCCTTTTTGCGGTTTCTTTATATTCGGAATAAGTCACAGAGACTCTTTGGTTTCTCTGTGTAGTTTTCACCTCTCCTTTTGTGAGAGCTTTTCACCTCTCCTTAGTGAGAGTTTTTCTTCTCTCCTTTGTGAGAGTTTTTCTTCTCTCCTTTGTGAGAGCTTTTTTCATCTCTAATTTGTGAGAGTTTTTCATCTCACCTTTGTGAGAGTTTTATTTGTATTGTTATGGCTTGGTTTTATTTGTGGTAATTTTGATGTTGGACCGCTTTGTTATTATAATGGCCTTTTGTGGCTAGTGGCTTTTTTGGTTGAATTATAAATGCAATCCTAGAATTTCTATAAATAAAAAAAAACTAGGGAGTATGATTGGAGTTCAAATTTTATAAAGTGCTCATAAAATAACTTTTTTGTGTTAATTTTAACAAAAGAATAGTGAGTATGATTGTAGATGCTCTTAGTTGTTGCTTCTTCTTGGGGTTTCCCCCCTCATATTTCATAAATAAATAAAAATTTAATGAATTAGCCGTACGGTATGGCCCATACCTAGTAAACCAACCAATTTATGTGTAATATTGGACTTATCTCATGGCTTAGATTGTTCACGCAAACTTGCATGTATGCATGGGGCATAATTGACATTAACACGGTTGAAAAAATTTCATCTCTTTTAAAGCACTTAAAAATTGATTAGATATTTCTAGCTAGCTATGGCTGATTGATTAAAGGCAGCATTCAATTTAGTTGTTAATGATTTTATCACCAACTACTAAAGTCAGGTCTGATATGGATAGCAACGGCAAGTTAACTCCAAAGTCCAAATCCAAACAATTAATAGCAATGCTTACTTGCAAAAAGCACAGAAATATATAGTAGAAAATATACCAAAAATATTGAACTTAGAAGTCAAGTCTCTAAAGATACCATTTGAGTGGTCAGTCTATCCCAGCGATAGACCTTTAGTTTGGCAAACCTGGGCTATAGCCTAGGTGGCTTCTTTTTTCCAGCCAAAAACTAAAATCCTAGCACACCCAGGGATGGACCTTTAGTTTGGCAAACCTGGGCAGCTTCTTTTTTCTAGCAAACAAAAAAAAAAAAAAAAAAAACTCCTACCCAATTTAAATTACCTAACCTCATTTAGTTATCCTCTTTGCATAGCACGTAGTCAATAAAAAGATAGGGGGGAAGGGGGAGAACTCACACACAATTAATAGCAATACTTACTTGCAAAAAGCACAGAAATATATAGTAGAAAATATACCAAAAAATATTAAACTTAGAAGTCAAGTCTCTAAAGATACCATTTGAGTGGTCAGTCTATCCCAGTGATAGACTAGTTTGGCAAATCTGGGCTATAGCCTAGGTGGCTTCTTTTTTCCAACCAAAAAAATAAAATCCTAACTCGCCCAGGGATGGACCTTTAGTTTGGCAAACATGGGCTATAGCCAAGGTGACTTCTTTTTTTCTAGCCAAAAAACTAAAATCCTAGCACACCCAGGGATGGACCTTTAGTTTGGCAAACCTGGGTGGCTTCTTTTTTCTAGCCAAAAAAATAAAATCCTAGTAACCTAACCTCATTTAGTTCTCCTCTTTGCATAGCACATAGTAAATAAAAAGAGAGGGGGGAAAGAACTCACACACAGCACAAAAAAATAAAAATAAAAAAAAAAAAAAAAAAAAAAAAAAGAAGCACCACCCTATAAAAAAAAAACGCTCTTGTTTCACCTTCAAGACTTAATTCAAGTGAACCAAGTTCCTATATTCGTCATGTAAGCTTCTCTCAATTTCTTGATGCTTTAATTTGAGGATTTTTTTTTGGAGTTTATGAAGTATCAATTAGGATTTGCAATTGACACTTATGACTTATCAATTAGGATTTGCAATTGGGGCATTAATTTCAGTTTATGAGTTATGAACTATCAAATAGGATTTGTAATTGATTTTATTGTTCTTGCTGTTATTATTATTATTATTTTTTGTTATCAATGAAATCACATGGTATTGTTGAGTTTTCTATCTACTTAGTACTTAAATTTAGCCCACTCTATTTTAAAATCCTGAGTTCGTCCTTGGTCTATCCCATTGCTCTAAAGAAATGCGAGCACGCAATGACCCAAACAGACCTTCGCAATAATCCAATTCTGAGACCCACATGAAAATGATAACTTTTTATCGACAAAAACATAAAAAGTTATTATCTTTCCCATATTATGAAAACTAATCTGTATTAATGAATTCACATGATTATGAAGCAAACTCACTGGTAATGTGCATGTAAATATCGGAAGATGCGCTAAATATGATTTGGTATAAAGTTTAAAAGAAAAATTAGGTATTAGACATAATTAACTTTACTAATTAGTATTTGAGACATTGGACATTTTTGTTTGCATTTTGATACTTAGGAAAAAATTGTTATTTTGGATTAGGCTAAAGAGGAGACCCAAATTCGTTAGTCTGTCTAAATTATAAAGGTAAAATACAATTTTACCTTCTTTTTTTTTATAAAAGCCTTCCAAAATCAAATCTCACCCTTTCTTTCTCTCTCTTGGACAGAATCGGCACAGTGACTGCCTTAGATCATGGCTTCTCGGGCTACCAGCGATGACGACTGGTAACAAGTACGATGCAGTCTATGCTGTTATGGTTTCTAACTTTCATATGGTTAGACTTGACCTATTTTCTGCAGGTTATATATCTGATTTCTTTCAATTTAACAGACTGGTAAAGTTGCTTGAGGATATCATGGATGGCAGCAGAACACTGATATTCATGGAAACTAAGAAAGGATGTGATCAGATCACTCGACAACTTCGCATGGATGGTTGGCCTACTCTCTCAATTCATGGAGACAAAAGTCAAGCAGAAAGGGATTTGGTCCTCTCTGAGTTTAAAGCCGACAAGAGCCCCATAATGACTGCAACAGATATTGCTGCTCATGGTCTAGGTATGGAAATAATTTCTTTTAAGTTTGTCAAAAGACTTGAAAGGAATTCTTGTTTTGTGTAAACTTAGGAAAATGTCAAACCCCCACTCTGGACACCATTTCATTTTACTCTTTCCTATGTTTTATGTTTTATGGTTTTATGATATTTTATTTTATTTGCACTTCTTTATTATTTTCCCATCTGGGATGAGACCCACTCCACGAAGAAGATTACTATTTTCTGATTAATAAGGCTATTTGAAGCATCTGTACCAAATTTTAGACTGTATCGAGTCCTTTCTGTTCTCATTGATATGACCTATGAGGATGTTATCAACATGATTTTACTGAAACAAATATTTATTACACGTTTGTTTGTTTAAAACTATTACCATCCACATTTGGTTGGATGGTAGGTTTCCATATGAAACCTATCCTTCCTCCACTTTGGTCCTGTTTGGTGAGCTGGCTTGGACTAGATAGGATGGGCTTTGAAGCATTGGATTGAGCTGGCTTGGACTGACTAGGCTTTGAGTCCGGTCTTATTCATTTTTGCACCAAACAACAGACTAAAATTAACATTTCTTTTTTAATAAATCAATATTTTATTTTATTTTTTTATTAACAATAATCAAATGCAAAATTCCAACTTTTTGCATCAATGCCTTACTTTTTTTTTCTTCAAAATCTTTCTTCGTCTTCTTTCAGTATCTTTCTTTTTTTTCTAATCTAAAATTCCTCTTTATCTGATAAACTTCATCTTTTCTTTCTGGCAAGGAAAAAGGTAAACCCCAACAACAGATCATCCAGCAAGACGAGCTCTACTAATACCAAGCAGATCATCCAGCATAAAGGAATCAACCCACGCTGGAGCAATATCAAAATAGTAAGGGAAATATGCTGGTGTAATCAGCTTTTAGAAATTTTTTTTTTTTTTTTTTTTTTTTTTTTTTTTTTTTTTTTTTTTTTTTTTTTTTTTTTTTTTTTTTTTTTTTTTTTTTTTTTTTTTTTTTTTTTTTTTTTTTTTTTTTTTTTTTTTTTTTTTTTTTTTTTTTTTTTTTTTTTTTTTTTTTTTTTTTTTTTTTTTTTTTTTTTTTTTTTTTTTTTTTTTTTTTTTTTTTTTTTTTTTTTTTTTTTTTTTTTTTTTTTTTTTTTTTTTTTTTTTTTTTTTTTTTTTTTTTTTTTTTTTTTTTTTTTTTTTTTTTTTTTTTTTTTTTTTTTTTTTTTTTTTTTTTTTTTTTTTTTTTTTTTTTTTTTTTTTTTTTTTTTTTTTTTTTTTTTTTTTTTTTTTTTTTTTTTTTTTTTTTTTTTTTGGTGTGTGCTGAAATAATCAGCCTACAAATTGTATTCTAATATAATCACTTGGGGACGTGAAATGACCGAAGTGCCCTCCATATAAAAGCAGATGTATCAACCCTTTAGCGCCTCTTTCTTCTGTGTTTTCGCAGTTTGGCATAGCGGCTCTTTGTTCTCTGTTTTCGCAGTTTGGCAAAAATGGGTGAACTCTAGGTTGCGAGACATTTTGGCACTGAGCAATCCAGTTCGCAACCCATCCATAGTCACAACCCAGATGTCCTAAACTTTCGAACCCTAGTTTGACCGTAGCGAAGCCGGCGGAACGCACCGCCTCCATTGTTGACCTCCAGATCGAAGTGACTGTTGCGACTCCACGGAGAAGCGAAAGTGGCGACTTCCGGCGTCGTTGTGAACGGAGGTGAGTTCAGATATTGGTTTGGTAGTGTATGTGTATTATAAAATCGTGCATCCCCTTTTCACCACAGAAGGGCAGAAGAGCTTAAATTTTCAGTTTCAAGGCGTTATGATATGTTGAAATTCATAGTTTGTGTTATTATCTGCAGTGGGATGTATGTGGTAAACTTGAATTTTGGTTAAAATTGACGGAATGCTTGTATAATGTAGTGCAATGTGTTTGATAATGGGCAAAATAACAGCACACAGAAAAATCATATGTTAACTTTGTCTGGCCTAAAAGTAGGTTTGTTAGGGTATTTTTAAGCTGAATGTATATGCTAATGTGGGGAATTTATTGGCATTCTGGGTTTGTTTTGGTAAGAAGTAAAGTTTGTGTGTTTTGGTTTCCAATTTGGTAATTGAGCTTATACCACATAATATGTTCTGTATCACAACCTGAGCCTTTTGTTGAAGTAGTTTACATTTGTTGAAAACCCTTAGAGGTTAGAGGGTTCATATTGCTGCCATGGTATGTTTATGTGAGTTTGTGAATAACTTGGAACCCACAGCTATGTACAAAATCAGAGAAAAGACATAAATGAATAAAAGTTCCTTGTTGAAGCAGCTAGAATTTGAGTTTGGAAGATTTATAAAATGATACGTGTAGTGGTATGTTTTTATTTGTTTGAATGTATCTTTTTTAGTTTTATTCATTGCTGTAGTAATTATGTATGTTATTTGCAGAAATGGATACTGTTGGAATATTGGTATGCTACAATGGAAGTTGGGTTAAGAAGGATAACATTGAGAGTTACGAAGGTGGGGAGGCTAAAGGCATAATAGTGTCACGGAATGTAACGTTTTCCGACCTTGTTCAGCGCATTTATAAGATCATGGATGCAGATCCCACGAAATATATTGTCACACTGAAATATTCAGTTCCTGTATCCTCATCTGTCTGTAAGCATATAAGGGTTGAAGACAATGATGATGTTAAATATTTTGTAAAGTACAACACAGATGTTATGGCCTCTAAAGTAACCCCTTTAGTAGCAAGCTTGAAAAATATTGAAGGTCATGGTATTGAAGGGTGCAATGGCATTGTAAGCGTTGAGAGTAGCAATGCTCCTGCTGACTTTGTTGTGGAACAAAGAAATGTGGTAATTCGGGACAATGAAACTGAAAATGGTGGGAATGATTTTAATTGGAGTGATTGGGTTGAAGAAGTGAATTTTGAAAGTGGTGAAAACATAGTTGCTGATTTCAATGAACCTAGCAACGAAGAGGAACCGCAGTCTGCTCCGATTCTGCATCCTCATGAGGACAGCAATGTCGAACCCGTCCACTGTGCAGTGTAGACAGGTGCAATCCGAACCTCCCCGACAATCAAGTTCGACTGAAATGCATACAAGTCGGGGTGATTTGAAGCATGGTCAGAGTTTGGAATATATTCAGTATGGTGGAGGCGTTTCGTGCATAAATTGGGAAGCAAATTTGAAGGTTGGCCGAGTTTATCCAAATAAGATTGCCCTTTTAAAAACCATCAGTTTAGCAGCTATTACAGGCCACTTTCGATTGAGAACTGTCCAATCTGGGAAGCATCGGTTGTGTGTTCGCTGTTGGCAGCTTCCTTGCCCTTGGAAAGTTCGGGCATATAAAGTTGGATTACATGAGTTTAAGGTTGTTAAATACGATCCACTTCATGAATGTGATATAACGTATATAAGTAGTCATCATCCTCAAGCTACGACTGAACTGCTGTCTGACTGTGTTAAGTGGAGATTTCAGGATTCGCGCAGCATTTATACAGCAGCTGATATCAAGAAAGATGTGAAACAAAATTTCGGTGTGAGCATAAGCTACTCTACAGCGTGGAGAAGCCGAGAGTTAGCTTTCAAAAGAATTAGAGGGTCTGCAGAAGAGTCGTATTCCCTTCTCCCTTCCTATTGTTATGAATTGGAGCGTACAAATCCGGGAACTTTGACATACATTGAGACTGATGCAGCTGATCACTTCTTATATTTTTTTATGGCAATTGGTGCATGCATACGAGGATTTAAGTCGTCAATGCGGCCCGTGATTGCTGTTGATGCTACTCATTTGAAGTGCAAGTATAGAGGTGTTTTGTTTGTTGCGACCGCATTTGATGGAAATCGGAACATATATCCTATTGCCTTTGGGATTGGAGATTTGGAGACGGATGCAGCTTGGGAGTGGTTTTTGAGAAAACTACATTGTGCAATTGGTGATTGCTCGAATCTCGTTGTCATATCAGATCGCAATGTTAGCATACAAAATGGGTTGCGTAGAGTTTTTTCCTGGGGCAAGCCATGGTATTTGCTTTTATCACTTGAAAGGCAATATCAAAGCCTCATTTAAGTTGAAGCAGCGGGATCCGATATTGGGGTATTTTGTAAGGGCAGCTAAGTCTTATCGTCTAGCGGAGTTCAATCGTCACTTTTCCAGGATAAACAATGACCGAGTGCGAACTTATTTACTACGTGCAGGCATCCAGAAGTGGTCTCGGGCCCATTGTGATGGACGACGATATAATGTGATGACAACGAATATTGTGGAGTCCATTAATTCAGTTCTTCGGTTTGCAAGGATGCTTCCGGTGCTACACTTGATTGACGAAATTACAAATCTACTTGTCTGTTGGTTTAGGCAACGTCGAGAGTTAGCAATGAAATCTCATTCTACGTTGTGCCCTGATTTAGGGGAAATTAAGTTAAGGAAGAGGTTAGACGCTGCGTCAAGGATGAATGTGGTCAAAATCAATGACGTCGAGTATAATGTTCTGGATGGTGATTTGAACGGTCTGGTGCACTTGCAAAACCGTAGTTGTACATGCAGGAAGTTTGACTTGGAGCAACTCCCGTGCAAGCACGCTATTGCGGTATGTCGGCACTTGAAATTGAACCCCTACTCCTTTGCCTCTTCTTATTATACACGAGCTACATGGGCAGCTGCATATGCTGAATCTATTTATCCTGTACCACCTGAAGGCACATGGGTTATTCCCCAAAATGTGAAGAAGGTCAAAATCCTCCCTCCTCTTTGTAATGTTATGCCGGGCCGTCGCAAAACGCAAAGAATAGCTTCGAGAGGAGAGGAGTCCCGTCAAAAAAAATGCTCAAGGTGTGGTGTGAAGGGCCACTACCGAAGTACATGCAAACAATCTGTCCCTCTCACCAACAAGCAGCACGTTGCGTAGATGTTACACTTGTTTAGTTTCTACCTCTGTTTTGGTCAACTGCGAAGTTGATGAATAGCTTCGGTGATGCTGCAGGGATGGAAGTCGGTCCACTCAACGGTCATGTGAAGCATATGGAACAAGGTAACAAGTCCTTTGCAATGACAGCCTATTATTAGTAGAAATTGGTGAACATACAGTGCCATCACCACAGTGAAACCAGCCGTAAATTAACAATGTTCTACTGGCCAATGTGTGTTTCAGATTAGCATTTCTGTTCATTTGTTATGTACCTTTCATTTGAAATTGAATTGAATTTGATTTGGTGTTCTCTATTGTGATTGTAGTCAAATTCTCATAAATTGCTTTCCTTTCCTATTGTGATTGTATATTCACACTATCATCATGCTGCTGTCCTTTTGTTGCGTCCAAAATGAAAGCGCCTACAAGGCTAACTACAATTGCATCTCGTACATAAAACTCCTTCAAATGCAAAGCTTACGCAATTACTGTGATACTGGTAGTACTTCATGATTGCTCATTCTTCTCATCGCCACAGAACAGAATATATAGAGAATTTGTGGGAAAGTATACATGCCGTTCTTGCTGGTCAACAGATCGCGATATTATCTATAATATCGCGATCTATTGTGATGTGAACTTTAAATACAAAAGCATTATTCACTTGAAGTCACACACACAGAGGATGAAACCCTTCCCCCCTTCTAGGTTCTGAGGTACTTAACCACAACGCCAGTCATCGCTTTTTGATTACTGACTATGGACTCTGGTATTTATAAGTGTTCGAACCTGTTTTGCAAAATGAAAATTATTTACTTAGTGTTCTATATTGTTGCTCAATTATTTCATTACTTGATGTCATTCATTACAAACCTTTTTAATCCATTTCATGTTATTGCTTCTTTAATTCGAAGGTTCATTATAAGTACTGAAATTACTATCCCTTCAAATTGTTGCTTGTTTACTTAAATGAACACCCTCCTTTTTTTATTTCGTATTTAATTCTTCCTTTCATAAGTGTCTTTTTGTTCCACGTAAAAATTTGCATGTATGTATACTGTCCGTGGTTTGTATGGAATCGATATCTTTCCGATCTTTCCATGGATATTTTCGTGCTTCAGAACCACCAAACTTTCCTAAACCCGCCATCGTTACGACCTTTGCTACAGTCCCTCTTTACCATTACTCAATTGGAAAAGCTATATGCTATGATGCCAATCAATAAAGCATCAATACAAGCACAATATACCTACCCTACGATCACAATATGACACAATACAGTAGCAATACAAAAACAATAAAACAACAATATAAGTACTCTACGATTCCAATATGAGGCAATAATATACCAATACACAAACAATATAAGTACTTGACGCTGCCAATATGAGGGCAATAAACATACAATAAGCACACATACAGTACACAACACTTTACGTTTATACGAACTTACTAATTTGCCACTGAACCGTGAGAATAAGAGCACGGCGTAAACAAGGCACCACATTCATACAAAATTCATTTCGTGTCCACAAAATGCTTTGAACCCGTACTTACCCTGACCCAGCTACACAGATCCTACCAAAATCCAAACGATTACAGGTCCATCATTAGATCCATGTCCTTGTTCTTCTTCCTCGCTGACTGCACAAGGCTATGATCAGCCATTCCTTGGCCACAGCTATTCAGCACCTGCCAGACACCAGCAACATCTATTTGGCTCCAATTGTAGTCTGGTGAGATGACGGAAGCATAATCTCGGAACATCTCGAACCCATTGTTAAAAGATTCAACCATTTCATGGTTAAATTCTTCAGATTCAGTGAATTTTTGCACAGCATCTTTCTTTGTTTCTTCCAATTTGACCTTCAACCACTCTAACTTTGCCCTCCGACTTTTGGCTTTCATTGTTTGCTTGACTTCTCTAGCATATGCATTGTTCAGCTTGTTCGTCAAGTTTCCCATCACCTGGCCATGAATATCACATTTCGTTTCCCACCAATCCGTAGCCGCACACAAATATTGGAGGTCCTGCTTCACTTCAGCAATTTTGTCTAGTGGATCATTGTTGTCAGCCTCACTTCCAGATGACGTGGGATCGTTATTTGGAGTCCCAGGTGGAGATGGGAAAGGGACATGCCATGGCGGGTCTCCCGGGTAACTGCCATGGTCGTTCGGAGGGATTACGTCTGACATCTTCAACTATGGATGGGGAAATTGCACACATGCACCGTGCAAAACACTTAACATTAGGTAAATAAGTAGGCAGTTTTTTTTCTTCGTAACCAACAATAGGGTGAGCTTTAGTATAGGTTTGCGCTCTGCTATATATGGAGTACTATGTTTGATATGGAATTCAATGAGTACGTTAAACCCTCTTATATAGAGGAAGACAATTGTTTTATATTTATTTCAAATTGGTCATTACAGCTCTGTCTGCACCCTGTCCTCTTTGTAATTAATGAGACCATTGTAAGATGCCCATTACAGCCTTACCAAATACGAATAAAGGTATGTCAACGGTGGAATAATCGCCCGTACAAATATACACACCTAAACAACTGTGAATACACAATAAACACAACCTTACTAAAAAACTGTATACTATCTGAATATTCAAGGTCTTCACATAGTAATACTACAAATGACGACCAAGTTCCCTAATTATCCAAATAACGAAATATACATAAATGTTTATAAATTATTCAGTATTCCCTACAAATGACGATACTATATGTTGACCATATGAGAAAATTAAATAACATGAAAACAGTCATATACAGTCCCGACCCACATTTCAAGGGGAAGTTAACGTCAAGTGGGCGGAATACACATGAACTTATTTGCAAGTATCAAAATTCACAATTCGGATTTTACCGATATATTTAAAAATGGAACTCATCTACATCCGTTATTTGGAAGATAGCAACAAATAAATTCGAAACACATATACTGTCATGGTCCGTTTTTGTAAACATCTGCATTTGTACTTTGCGAATTGACCGTACTTATAAATTTGGGACATTTTGTACTTTTGGGACATTTGTACCTCATACAGGAGGGAAATTGGTCAAATAGGACAACAGGAATAATTTGCAAATACAACAACGGTCCCATACAACAAACACCAACCAATAACCTAATTACACAAACCCCAAGTGTAACGTGTTGGCCAACAATTGGAGCCAACCACTCCCGCCAAAAATTGGAGCCAACACCTCCCGCCAATAACTCCCGCCAGTTGCTGACTGTCATTTTCTGCTGCTCATTATTACCTCCCACTATTTAATTGTAACCCAGCTGCATCCACCCAACATTTCCATCACATTTACTCCGTCAAAACTCCCCTGCTTGCGCAACAAATTCAACCATATCACAATTACTTCCAGATTGGGCAAACTAATGCCCACACCAACCCGCAGTAAATACCCAACACCCATGGACCGAAACCCCACACCAAACCCAACCCTTGCCATTACTGAAGGAGGGGACAATGACACACCTGCCAAATCAGCAACAGAAGACACTGAAGACTGGGTCCAAGGACTGCAGCAATGTCGAGCCAATACCATGTTCTGGAAAAATCTCCATGCAGACATAGTGTTAAAAATTAAAGAGGGCCAAGCTAGGTGGGGTATCATAAAAAACTGCACAATTCGGGCGCGTTATGAAGCCCGGATGCATCTCCTACATATAAAGGCTGTCAGAGCTAAAATTGAAAATGCCCCTGCCACTGCAGTTCTTGTATTCAAGGAATCTGACGAAATGGCTGAGCTGAAGCAAAAACAACTGCAATCTGGTTTCGAACTATTTAGGAAGTTTGCAAAAATTGTGGATGCAGAAGGAAAGTGGGACATCACTGTGGGAGGGGTCATGAATTTAATGGGTCGCGGTCGCCGCATGTGAAGGGTATGCAACTCGAAATGTATCCACAGACGGAAGGTATGACTTGTAATATGACCATGTCAACGGTTTAGGACAAACTTTGTACAGTGGAATGGAAGTATGACTTGGCCTCTGTTTTAATTATGTGCGGATGAGGTGCCCTGTTTATGTATTTATTTTGTATTTGGTAAGTTTGAGGGGGCCTCTTTTTTTGTCATATGTATAATGTAATCGTCAGGTGCCATCTTTGTTAACATTGTATTTACTAAGTTTGTGGTCATCTTTTGTGTTGTTTTGTTTGTTTAATATGTTGTTTTATGTAAGTTCACGCTGGGATGTTATTTTATTTTGTAATCTGCCAGTTTGAGGAGGCCTTCGTATTCTGATTGTTCCTGTTGCCTTCTTTATATTAAGTATGCTGGAAGTTTTAAAACAGCAGTTGATGTAATGTGGATGCATTCATTTCAGATCCAAATTATAACGTAATTACCTTCCACATAGTTCAACTTTGTACACTTGTCAAATGACATTGCAAAACCAATACTGAGGACAGTATAAAACAAACAATTTTGAATAGCAGTACCAACCGAAAATAATGCACAGGTTACATTGCAATGCCAATATACGTGCAATATCATGCATTAGAAAACCAATAAAGAGCATTACAAGCTCAATAAAGAAGCAATAGTAAACCAATAAGTTGCACAATAACACCAATACGTCAGTAAAAAACCAATATACACGCAACGAAGAATTAACATGTACTGTATTTCCAAGTGTATACCATGCCGTATGTGAATTCCAACATAAGGGTCCGAATAACATTCCAATTGGATTAGGCCCTCAGTCAGGGCCGTGCCTGAGTTTGTGAGGGCCCTGTGCGAAACTTAAATTGTGGCCTCACATAATTTAATACGAAAATACTATAAATACAATTTGCCATAACTTAATGTCATAAACAATTTTTTTATAACTAAAAGTCACCATCAATAAACATGTAATGACAATCAAAAATCAAATTCATAAAAATTTAAATGTTTCCATTTGATAAAGTTAAATATTGGTATGTTTAGATTACAAAGAAAAATTCCAAAACCTTGTAACCTGGAAGAAAACCCCAGCAAGAAATAGATACATATTTCTAAAAACCATATTCTCATATAACCAATCATCATCATGATAATAATTTAATAAAATAAGTCATGTAATATATAGATTGAAATTTAAATATATACATGAATTTGAAATGAGCTTTGAATCTGACTATTTGATTTTGAGTGGTCTTTATGAATTTAGGACTTATGATTTTCTCTTGTTGGGGTTAAAATTCTTGAAATTGAAAGAATTACAAAAATTGTCAAAGGATTGAAAAAAGAACGAAAGAGACATTGATGAATGATGATGATTACTTATTAGAAAATCAGAGTTTGAGATAAAGAAGAAGCCATGAATATTTTTTTTTGTTTTGAATAGAGAAAGTACTTTTCTTGGAGGAGAATATATATATATATATATATATATTTTAAAGGTGTGCTTTTGTTTTCGTTTTTTTTTGTTGAAATTTTATAATTATATAAAATTTGTTGTTAACTTGTTATAATAAAAAATAATATAAAAACGACGCAAATAGATTGGCATTAATTAAATTCGAACTCGTGCGCCCCTGTTAAGTGGAGTTTCGCTGGGAAGCCAACTCCACCACGAACACTTCTGTGCAAATTTTTAGCACGCTATAGTATATATACACTTCCTATAATATTAATATATAAATAAAAAAAACATTTTTCCGGGGCCCTCAAGTATCGGGGGCCCTGTGGGGTGGCGCCACTTGCACCACCCCAAGGCCGCCCCTGGCCTCAGTGTTGACTATGGTAAAGTTTGATATGTTGTATAAAAACCACCCAATAAACTCCAAGTTTCATGTTGGTGCGCTCACACGGTTTTATTATCCTAATTTCGCACATGCAAGTGAAACCCATTCACTACAAGATGAGCATCTTGACCTCTCCAAATAGCGCACAAGTTGAACAACAAATACAGAGAAAACAAGGAGATGAGTAGGAGGAGCCTCCGTAGCGGTGCGGCTGAGTCAGTGAGGTCTCCATGCCACTCTCAAGAGTGGCCTTCAAGGTCTCGGTGGGAAATGGAAGACGCGAGTTCGGTATGTTCACGGCTGTGCTACTGTGGGAACGCTGTCAAAACGCATACATCCTGGACGGTTTCTCATCCGGGAAGGAGGTTTCAAGTATGTGCAAGGGTAAGTTTATTTCTCTGTAAGTTTGACCCGAAATTTGGCATTTTCGTGGATTCCATTTGTGATGCTGCGCCTCTTTGTAACGGAAATATTGTTTCCGTTTATGCAGAGGAATGGATGTACATTTTGGGAATGGGCTGACCCAGAGATGTGTGACAGATCGAAGCACATAATTCCAGGCTTACTTAGGAAAATAAACCGCTTGGAAGAAGAAAGAAACGCTGGAAAAGGGAAGATGAAAAACCCCTGGTTTTGGGTCTCTGTTTTCATGTTTGGAATGGTCATTTATTTGTTGTGTTCCAAATGTAATAGGAGGTTTGTTCATCTACAGTTGGCAGGTTAAAGGTGGTTAGGTTATGGATGTAATGGAAGAGGTTTGATGATTATGGTGTTAATAGTTTGTTCTATACTATAAGTCAGCATTTTATTGGAACCCATACTCATACTAATGCTAGAATACTTGATCAACTGAGTAATCTGAGATGTTCTAATCTGTCTTATTTTAGATGGTATACACATATTTTAAGTTGTAGAGTCATGATTCGTGAAGCTAGTAATCAACCGTTTTGGAAAGAAGTACGAGTTCATTACCGCTCTTCCAAACTTATTCGGGCATAAAAGAAGAACTGAGTTCAGCAATGAGCAAGGTCAAATTGATTGGAAAAATTTAACCTATGGAAATACAATTAGTACAATTAACGAAGTTGGTATGAAAATGTGGGTACCTATGAAAATTGGTCGACAAATACAATCTGAGCACAAATGTGCGAAATATGCGTTAGGACTCTTCTGTCAACAATATGGTCTTACGTCAGTACCTCTGTCTAGGAAAAATAAGTCCAATTACCGGAGTGACATTAGGAAAAGTCGTCATTACTCACGAAGAAAACAACCTTTGAACAGAATAAAGATAATCATGAGTTGTATAGGAAAAACAAAGTTTACCGTAACAAAAATAGGTCCAAACCACCGAATCATTGACGCTTTATGACAAGTGAAGACAATAGCAAAGTTTAATGTTAAAAATGTAAAAAGTTAGTATAATTCAAAACAAAGCTCGATAGTTGAAATCTCTTCAAGAATTAGTTACGTTTAAAATAAAATAAATTCGAACATTTGAAGAACAAATGAAGTTTGATATTTGAAACATGGCCTTTCTAATGCTTTTTGGCATAGTCATTTCTCTATAGTCTACATTGATGCTGTTGTTATCTTCTCTGAGTCCATAGAACATGAATGGAAACATATGCATCAGTTGCTTCAGAAAGTTAGCCAAAATGGTGTAGTTGTCTCTGCCAAGAAAATGAAGTTGTTTGAAACCACTGTTAGATTTCTTGGTTTTAACATAAGCCACTCCCAAATTCATCAAATTGACAGAGTCATCCAATTTGCTGACAAATTCCCTGATGAAATCATTGATCAAATGTCCTGATCAAATCGTATAATGCTTTGTAAATGCCCCAGCGGAGGGTTAGGGATATTGTTTCGGCTAACAACCCCAAACATTTCTGTCCAGATTGGATGAAAATAATTAATATACGAAAGTAAGTATTACACCGAACCACAAAAACAAAACGGCTACAATGTGGGTGGGGCAAAAAAATTTGATATGGCTGCAAGTTCGGCCAAATGAAGGATATTTTGTTATATGCCTGTACAAAACATGTCAAGTACAGAAGGTCAATAACCGCATTGTCAGAAAGGAAACGTTTGTACAGCCCTTGTACTATGGAATACAAGTACTGGCGAATTACGTTACACAAATTAGGGAGCTTTAGTTTTAAAACACAATATAGTTTACTAATTTGGAAGATAGGAATACAATTTATCTCATTTGTATAAGGCCAAAGACCAAATGTAGTACCTAATTTTACAAAAATATCATTAAAAAATATCAAAATTACACACAATGCCACTCCTTCTAAGGCAAGCATACTATGCCACATGTCTATATCAAGCCAACCACCCATAGCCGGAATCCCGCCGCTGGCCACCACCGCCGGAATCCCGATGCTGATTCCGGTCACCACCGTCGGAATTCCGATGCCGGTTCCGGTCACCACCGCCGGCCACCTGCCCACCACCGCCCATCGCCGGCCTGCCACCGTCTGCAAGGGACCAACTCCGTTGGCCTTTATTCACCTTTAAAAAAAGATTTGTGTCATTGAATGGACTCGAACCTTTACCCTCAAAGGAAGAAGGCTCACTCACAAACCACTACACCAAACTTGATTTTGTATATATTATATCAATATACAATATAAAAAAAAATATAAACATTTTTTTATTTATTTTAAAAATAAAAAAAAAAAAAAAAAAAAAAAAAAAAAAAACAACATATTCACACAAAAACAAATAAAAACAGAAACTACAACAAACAATACAATGTAGATATCAATTATGTTAAAAAAACAAAAACAAAAACGAACATGAAAACAGCTACAAAAATAATGTAATTAAATGAAAACTGCAATGTAGTTTCCAAAACTGCAATGCAGTTTCCCGTTTCCAAAAGTCCAATTTTGAGTTCCCTTGCTCTTGGGTAGTTCTACTCTTCTCTTGGCCACCCAATTCCTCATCTGGGTAGCCTCTACTCTTCAAATTGGTGAGGTTGAAGGCCAAGGAAAGAAAATAAATCAAATTGTAATTAAATGAAAACTGCAATGCAGTTTCCAGTTTCCAAAAGTCCAATTTTGGGTTCCCTTACTCTTGGGTAGTTCTACTCTTCTCTTGCCCACCCTATTCCTCATCTGGGTAGCCTCTACTCTTTAAATTGATGAGGTTGAAGGCCAAGGACAGAGCAAAAATCCAATTATAATTTTGAAACTACAATGCAGTTTTTGAAACTGCAATGCAGTTTGTGCGAAACTGCAATGCAGTTTGTGCGAAACTGCAATGCAGTTTGTGCGAAACTGCAATGCAGTTTGTGCAAAACTGCAATGCAAAACCTGTGTAAAATTTCACTGAACTAAAGCTTAAATGGTATTGCAAGATATATATGACAATGATGGCATCAATCATTTCCAAATCAAGACAAATGCATAGTAAGTGAGCTTTATAATAAGAAGTTGCAGCTAAATTAGATCACTGCCTGACCAAATTATGTGCTATATAAAACAACGTTTGTGCTATATAAAACAAGACCAAATTATGTACAACGAACAATGAGCATAGAATAAGATATGTCAAACCTCCAGACTTGCGCGATGAGTATAGGCCCTAAACAAAAGGAGAAAATATATTTGAAACAAGCAAAGGGAAAGTGGCAATCCTTGTATTAGAGCTATATCAAATTGATTTAATAAAAAAGAATTCTAGCTACGTTCTGTCACTTGCCTGCCCAGCTGGATTACTAGTAACACTAAGCATGCTAATTGAAAAGACACTGGAACATGCAATGGAAACATATCAAGGTAACAGAAGTTCCTTCCAGATCAACTAGATGAAATTGAATTTGATTCTTCGAAGCAGCTTCTTGTTTCTCAAGTATTTTGATTTTCACAAAATTGACCAAACATAATCATTTGTATCAAAAAGAAAAAAGAGAGGCAATTATACAACAAAATGGATCCAACAACACCAGGCCATCTTTTCAAACAAACAAACAAAAAGAAAAAGAAAAAACCTTCAAATTGTTAGGATGAAAATAATTTTCAAACCCCCAATTTCAAATACAAGCAAATGCATTAAAGAGAATGAAAGAGAAAGAGGCTCTCACAGTGGAGGAGAGTCGATCTCCTTGAAATACCCAAGCATCCTATACACCCACACACAAGAAAAAACTGAACCAAGTATCAATTGACTGATTCCAGGCATCTAGAGCCAATAACCCAACTTAAGTGAACAGAACTTTCAAAAGCCACGCCAATATCTTCTTTCACCAACTTTCATGAAAAGGGATGAAATGGGAAATGCATCAGCTTATGCTACAGGATCACCATTCTCGCAATTCATCAATGAATTTACCAACAAATGATAAAAATTTGCTTAAGACGAACCATGATCTCAAATTGTTATAGGAGAGTAATCTATAGGATACTAATCCAGCATGCAACAGATCAAAATTATATCACCATATAAAGGAGAAATTTATTTGAAACAAGCAAAGGGCAAGTGGCAATCCTTACATTAGAGCTGTATCAACTCTGGAATCAACTTCAAAAGAAAAGAAAGCTCCCTCTGCGAGAACTCTGGCTTTGATTTCAATTGCATTTGCATCTTCCCGTCTCCTTCCAACAGATTCTTGCCCCCTGTCTTCAACTATTGTTGGCTTAATCATATCCGACACTGCCTCCGTGATCTCTTGCACAAGATCTACTATCACTCCCTCGATTCCCATTAGTGCTGCATCTTGCCATTGCCAACGACTCGCTGTACGAAGTCACAGCCACTTTGCCGTCACGACTCGTGGACTCAAGAGAGAGAGAGAGAGAGAGAGAGAGAGAGAGAGAGATAGAGAGAGAGAGAGAGAGAGAGAGAGAGAGAACGGAGTCCCCTGGACTCAGGAGATAGATCTGGTTTTGGCAAAGGCTCTTTAAAACAGGGCAAAATTGAATTTGAACTCTATAATTTAGATAGGCCCAAAGAATATGAGCCTCCTCTTTGGCCTAATCCAAAATAACAATTCTTTCATAGGTATTAAAACCCAAACTAAAATACACAATGTTTTCAGATACTAATTAGTAAAGTTAATTATGTCTAATACCTAATTTTTCTCACAAATTAACACCCTGCAACATAGTACCAAATCAGCACCCTTCATTGCCATCTGTACACAAAGTCAAAAATGGTGCCATGTAAGGCAAAACATCGCATTCATTTTCAGGAATGACAAAACGACGAAACAGCCTGCAACTTCTGTGACATACATGTACAGAATCTGTGATGTCAATATGGGTATGAACCTGAAAGGACCACCTGCATAGGAAGGCCAAATGTGCCGAGAGTTAGCATTCATAGAAAGGGAAACTTGAACGTCTTAATAATTGGAGCTATTTTAAGAGTATTCTATTGAGATGTCATAAACAACATGATACAAGTTTGGATGATACACAGTCAGAGTTCAGAACATATGCCATACTTAAATCAGATGCCATTTGCAAAACATGTACTTACCATCTACGTGTTGAAATCCCCAATACCCTAAACTTTGATTAACAATAGTCGCCATTCGCATTCATAACACTTGGAAAAGATGCCAACATACTGTAAGTTGTCTGAAATGAAGACTGAAAGCACAACTCTGTACGTACGACATAATTAAAAGTAGGCAAATAACTAGGCAATTCTGAAGCAGTCCTTAACAGTGAATTCATATGAGGTCAGATATGGACTTTTACCTCATACATAGGCCTCTCCCCTGAGAGCCTCGATTGCAAGCTTCAATCGGTAGTAGCCAAACTTGGCTGGGTCAATGGTATTAAAAGGAATGCCAGCACTGAGATACTCAATAAATTTGACGGTCATAATGCCACATGAGGTACTGTCCACCCGAGCAGTACAGAAGTTAGAAGTGCACATACTGACAACATGCACAAAGTGCTTTAAATGAACCCAGCTTACCCATCACTTTGCTGAGGAACATCGGAAATTCTGCAAATTGTGAATGGGTTAAACGTTGGCATGTCAATCCCCTTTTTCTTCACCGCTTCAACCTCCGATTTCTCATAAAACCTCATGTCATACAACACCTTTGCAAGCGTCTGGGTAATAGGCTCCATCTGTCGGACAAGCATTGTGTTGGAGGTAAAAACAGTATACGAGTCGTACACAGTGGCAGTATGTCTGACAAAGTCAATTTCTACAGCCACCCAATGGGACTGTCGAACATTATACGGGAGATAGACCTTGCGGACTTTCGTCCATGCTTGTGCATAACCATGTTGCCATGAACCCCAGACAAAGTGGTGTATATTTCTGAGGTAGTTAGGGGGAGGGTCAACAGTCATTGAAGCAATTTGTTTCCTCGTAACTCGTTTCGCACTTGGCGGTGTAATTGGCTGTAAAAATTGCTGCAAACAAGTGTGAAAGACACGTTACATGAACAGGATCCAATGCACCAAACACAGCCAACAACATTACTCCTACCAATGCAACAAATTGAATGACATAATATGAATACAATAATACCTGCAGACAAAACTCGGCAGTTGTCCACTCCGTTCCAAATACTTGGGATGAGAGAGTTGTCTTTTGCGTATTAGAAACATGGCCATGTCAAGGTGCTGACATTTCACACACACAACAACGACCTCAATATTTAAAAAAAATGGCCACATACTCAAAGTGATCAATTCAGAAATTTTTCGAAATAAAGCACGGTTCAAAAGTATTACCCTCGAGCTCATCCATGCAGTTTCATCTACAAGTTTGTAAAAAAAATCCGCCCCAACTACAAATGGTTCGAGCTCCAGCTCCGCACTACACAAAAATAAACTTGCAAAGGTAAATTCAACCAGAAAAAAACTAATGGACACCTTGCATAATATGACAATGACACCCACACGAACAATTAGCTACGTAGATATTGTTATTGTACATGACTGCATACATCAAAAAACATGTATATTGGTTTAGTTAAATGTTACAATTCCTAACCTGATGTCACTTTTCCAAGCCTTGCAAACTTGTATCATAGCCTTCACATCGTCCATGGCCACGGGTTGTGTTGGATCAAAACGGGCCTCAGGTGTCTGTGCATGAAAACCAGTAGTCGGCCTCTTTTTCCTGGAGGGATCAGTGAATGGACTCAACAATGTTTTCGCGCGCCGCTTCAGTCTGCATCCTTTGCCTTCCGCATCTGGTTTCTGAACCGTGGCATTAGCCTCCTTGTCCACTTCATCACCAACCAGATTTATACTAGTTTCCATGGGAGGCCTCGCCTTCCGTCCCACCCCCTTAATTTCTTTCTTATTCCAATCCTCTAACAAATTTAACATTGTTTTACAAATAACTCTGTACCCTTCCCTATCTTCCGGACTAGGAATGAGGGGTTTCTTCAAGACTAGGAACCTTCACATCTTCCGAAGTAGGAACCTTGTGAGGTTGTTGGTGCACTTGTTTGTTACAAACTGAAGTGTCAATTTCAGCGGCTTCGACTTCCATGCCTGGGAAGCCTTCCACAATATCAGCAGGGACTTCGGCTTCCCTTTTAGCCCCTTGTATATGCATGGCTAGAAAAGCTTCCACTCCATCAGCAGGGACTTCCGCTTCCCTTTCAGCCCCTTCCACTCCACCATAGACTGTTGCTTCCATTTCAGCCCGTTCTGTATGCATGCCTGGGAAGGCTTCCACTCCATCACCTGCAACTTGTGCGTCCATTTTAGGCCCTGCTGTAGTCGGAGTAGTAAGTTCATTCAAGGGTGACATTTCATTCTGCCCTCCTTCATTCATCTGAGCAGTCCACACTTCCTCATGCCCTTGTCCACCATATAATTTTTTTAACTCCTCCATCTCCAATTTAAAATAATGTTCCACTGAAGCAATTGTTAGGGTCAAATCCCCAATAGCCTTTTTATTTCTGTCACACTCCTTCTCATGCTTCAAACAGTTCTTGTCTACAATAGCTTCCAATTCACGAACTCTGTTCCTAAGGCCCCGATTTGAACTACGTAGCTTTGCTAACTCATCCTTAGTGCTTTCTAATTGATGCTTCAACCTGCCAAAGTCATTAAAAGACCCTTTGCCCTGCATAAAGTTATAATGCAACAGTTAGAAATCTTACAAAAGCTAAGAAAACTATTTCCACTTCTTTCGTATCGTATTCTCTACATGTTCACAACATTGGAAAAAGGTCGTGCTCACCTTAGAAGAGGAGGGAAGGGTAGTTGTTTCCTCAACATCCGCCTCTTTTTCTTCACTAGAAGTGCTGGTTTTGTCTTCGCCCTCATCCCCAAACAATTGAACAATTTCTTCATTGTTCTCATCATCGCCCCAACTCCAGTAAGGTTGTTGCTTCTCAATATCAGTCGGCCGGAGAAGTTGCACATCAACCTCCATTTGAAACACATCTAATAAATCAGTAAACTTTTGACTTGTTCCTAATCATAACCTGAGTAATACAAACTGAACTAACCTCAAAGTTTTCATAAACCTGACTCATAACCTCCCGAAAACGGGCCACCGTGTTGCTCCTCCAATGTAATATTCGAGGGATGTGCCTATTGTCTTCATGGACCGTGAAATGCAATCCTTCCAATGCTGGGAAGACTTCAAAAGCCCAAATCTGTTGACAACAATCAAACATCAAAATCTGTAAATGTATTTAAATGAACTAAAACATTGTTGGATATGTGTTCACCTGAAGAGCGAAGCCAAACCCCCTTATGATGTACTCTCTGGCTCTACTGCATTCCATTCTTGTCTCCGCTCTCTTCTTCCCACGTTTGTTGGGCTTTTTTCTGTTTTGGGGCACCTTCACTCGTTGGTAATCAGGAGAAACTGCCCTCAAAAGTGAAGCATTTGTCATCGCATATGACACGGCACCCCATGGATACTTGTCAAACTCTTCTAAGTCTTCGGCCAACTTCAAATAGCGCAAGTCAAAAGCACATGCTTTTCAGTACCCAATAGCACAAAAATGGCAAAATAGACCATTCCAAGCTTTAACGCATCGTCATCATCTGTGCACTCAATGAAGGCAGTGTGTAGGTCCAAAAGGGTGGGAGGTTTATTGCTACTGAAGTATTTTCGCTTCAAGGAGCAGTTTTCATTTGTCGCCTTCGGAATGAAAGGGAGCTTTCCGAACCTTAGGCCCGTGATGAGGCAAAAGTGTTGGGCTGTGAATTGTATCAACTTGTTACCCACAATGAATTTTATCCCGTTCACCTGTGTAACTGTCTTAGGATCAGCTTTCCTCATCAACAGCCCGTGGACAACTTGTGAATTCCACTTCAGGTCCTCTATCAGTAATAGATGACCAAAACAACTCCCCTCGAACCTCTGTAACTGCTGCGTATTGAACTTCGCCTTTATTGTTGTAATGGCGGTCCTTGCGTGTGAAAGGGCAAATGGCTTTCCTTCGTACTTCTCATCCTCAGGAATCATAAGCTTTGCTTTACAAGCCATTCTAGACTTCCCTGCACAACAACATCATACATATGGATCATTGGTTACCCATATGTCATACGTACAGTACTCAAACTAATACTTTCAAGTCATTTCATATATGTATATACATATGACAAAACCAGAATTGTTTTGAACCCTCTTTTCTACTCTCCAACTCTCTCCACACTCTGCTGTTATCTACATTCCCTTCTACAAAATCTATATTCGATTCCATCCAAAAACCAAATACCACCCAAGTGTGAAAACAAGTTCATGAACCATGGATCCACTTCATACAGGGTTTTGGCGAAATGGCTACAACAATTACTCCAAATGCATCAATGCGTACTAAAATCTACTCATTACCATAGTCATATACATGTCTACTCATGGAACATCAGTATTGGCAGTTATGGACTCTGTGTACAAACTAGACACGTCAAAATGTTACTGCAGCTGCAACTGCTAAACATAGCTGGATGAACATGAAATTTCTAAACAGATACTAAAGCCCAAGAAAATACCATTTTCAGACATATATGACAAGCTGCAAGCAAGGACTAACAACAACATTTAGCAGGTTTTATAGCACAGGGAAAAGAAACATCCCACGCCAACTTACATTAGTATTTCAAATTCACATAATTAACCATTGAGACTGGAAGGGTGCAAAACTATGCTACTAGGTGCTGAAACAGCAATGATACCAACAAATTTACTTATGCATTATTACTCAACATCTAATTTAGGGCCTAGTGAGGTAAACCTGTGTTATAATGGAATAGCCATTGCCACCAGAATAAATTCCCACACTAATTATGCATCATCAAATGGAAGTGAAAACACGCATCACAAACGAACCAATCCCAGATGACAAATACCAACTTAAGGCACTTCATCGTCCACAGAGCAAAATCAATACACCAATACAAGTTTCATCCAAGCATGAAATAATTCACAGTTAAATACATTATTATTGCAATCTCTGTAATTACTAAACTTCACAACATCAGTCACAGGTTACTGAAATTATCCTTCTCAAATGAAAACCATACAAATGCACAAACTAGTCAATAACAAATACATAACCAACCTTAGAATCACTCGTTTTGTGCACAGAACCGAATTGGAAATCCGAGCAACACCTACAGAAAATCGCGATTTTTGTCCCTCACAGGATTGAGCAGGAGGAGGAAGTAAGTGAACTAAATCTGAACCGAAACCAGGTTTTGGGGTTTTTTGAGGCCCTCAAGGAGCAGAGGAGAAGAGAAAGACTTCGATTCAAGACATGAAAAGAGAGGGAACTGAGAAATCGTTTAAGGGAGATACCATTTATTCGTGAAACCCTAAACGTCAATAACCGCCTCCCCAAACCCTAACATTGACGGCAGAGAGAGAACGAGAGAGTGTTGCTTAGGTTTGGGGACAGAGGGAGACAGAGAGTGGTGGTGGCCGCTGGACAGAGAAAGCGCCGCCAGAGAGGAAGAGACGAGCTGAGAAGACGGAAGTGTTAGGTCGCCAATCCATGCCCAATAACTCCCCAATAGATATGTTTTTATATGGAGGGCACTTCGGTCATTTCACGTCCCCAAGTGATTATATTAGAATACAATTTGTAGGGTGATTATTTCAGCACACTGTTTCTGAGTTGTGATTATACCAGCATATTTCCCAAATAGTAAACCACCCAAAATTCATATTTTTTACCAAAAAAAGAAAAATGGTCATTCTTTCTCTATCATAAGAAAATCTATCTTTTTTATTATACGAGAGAAAAGATTGTAGACCAAAACCAAAATGGTAATTTGAAACAAAAGAAAAAAATCTACAGCATAACTTTCAGATCATAGAAAATACAAACAAAACAACAAAAAAAAAAAAAAAAAAAAAAAAAAAAAAAATTCTAGATTCTAGATGGAACAGATCTGAAGAGATCTTCAATGAAAGGTATCAAAAGAAATCAAACCCAAAAAACTACAGCTATGAATTGGTCTTAACCTATGAATTGGTTAACCTAGCATTGGGGTGCATAGGTGTGATAACCTAGCAGAATTTCTTGAATGTACTCTTAACCTATGAATTGGTCTTCGACCTCGTTTCTAATCCCTTTGTGTCGTGCTTGATTTGGTTGCAGATGTGAAGGACGTGAAATTTGTTATTAACTTTGATTTTCCTGGATCCCTTGAGGATTATGTTCTCCAGAAGCAGATCCTCTAGTTCTTAGGATAATTGATTACAAGTATGATTGCTTTCATATGATTTTAGGACAAGTCCATAATTTCTCTTCATTTTGACTATTGCCTGTTCTTGTCTTTTATAAATGCTCAAAATGTACTTTGGCCTACCAATTATAATGGAGATATAGTTGTTAATTTCAAGTTTAGTCATGAACTACATTACTGATTCTGAAGTTTAAGTTTAGTCACATTAATATACTTTTTGCAATCATGACCTACAATTATCTTATGTCAGGCAATAACTAATTTAGCTGCAACTTCTTATTATAAAGCTCACTTACTATGCATTTGTCTTGATTTGGAAATGGTATTGCAAAACTACATTGTACAGGTTCTGTATTGTAGTTCTGCACAAACTACATTGCAGTTTTCATTTAATTACAATTGGATCTCTTTCCTTGGCTTTCAACCTCACAAATTTGAAGAGTAGAGGCTACCCAGATGAGGAATTGGGTGGGCAAGAGAAGAGTAAAACTACTCAAGAGCAAGGGAACTCAAGTTGGACTTTTGGAAACTGCATTGCAATTTTCATTTAATTACAATTGGATTTTGCTCTTTCTTGGCCTTCGACCTCATCAATTTGAAGAGTAGAGGCTACCCAGGAGAGGAATTGGGTGGCCAAGAGTAGAGTATAACTACCCAAGAGCAAGGCAACTCAAAATTGGACTTTTGGAAACTGCATTGCAGTTTTCATTTAATTACAATTGGATTTTTGCTCTTTCTTGGCCTTCAACCTCATCAATTTGAAGAGTAGAGGCTACCCAGGTGAGGAATTGGGTTGCCAAGAGAAGAGTATAACTACCCAAGAGCAAGGGAACTCAAAATTGGACTTTTGGAAACTGCATTGCAGTTTTCATTTAATTACAATTAGATTTTTGCTCTTTCCTTGGCCTTCAACCTCACCAATTTGAAGAGTAGAGACTACTCATATGAGGAATTGGGTGGGCAAGAAAAGAGTAGAACTACCCAAGAGCAAGGGACTCAAAATTGGACTTTTGGAAACTGCATTGTAGTTTTCATTTAATTACAATTGGATTTTTGCTCTTTCCTCGGCCTTCAACCTCACCACTTTGAAGAGTAGAGGCTACCCAGATGAGGAATTGGGTGGGCAAGAGAAGAGTAGAACTATCCAAGAGCAAGGGAACTCAAAATTGGACTTTTGGAAACTGCATTATAGTTTTAGAAACTGCATTGCTAGAAACAGAGTATTTTACCTACATGTCTTGAATAAAAAAAACATTGTTTTGTTTTGTTTAACTCCATAGCTGAGCATTTTTGCCCAGACTCAGCATTGCAAGTTCCATTTTTGTATTGCAGTTTCCGTTTATGCATTGCAGTTTTCACTTCTACAATGCAGTTTCCGTTTCTGCATTGAAATTTCCATTTTAGTACTTTCATCTTGGTTCCTTCATTTTGCTTCTATAAAATTAATTTTTATTTTTGTAGTTGTTTTCGTTTTTGTTTTTGTTTTTTTTAACATAATTGATATCTACATTGTATTTTTGTTACAGTTTCTGTTTTTATTTGTAGTTCTTGTGTGAATATGTTGAAATATTTTTTTTTTGTTTTAAAAAACCGTTGAATGTTTATGTAAATATTGCATAACTGAATAAATTTTTCAAAACCAAGTTTGGTGTAGTGGTTTGTGAGTGAGCCTTTCTCCTTTTGAGGGTCAAGGTTTGAGTCCATTCAATGACACAAAATCTTTTTTTTTTAAAGGTGAATCAACGGAGTTGGTCCCCTGCAGACGGCGATGGCGGTTGGCCGGTGGTGGTGCCCGGCAGGTGGCTGGGCGACAGTGGTACTCAGCTGGATATGGACATGTGGCATAGTATGCTTGCCTTAGAAGGAGTGGCATTGTGTGTAATTTTAATATTTTTTAATGATATTTTTGTAAAATTAGGTACTATATTTTGGTCTTTGGCCTTATACTAATTAGATGAAATTGTATTCCTATCTTCCCAATTAGTAAACTATATTGTGTAATAAAACTAAAGCTCCCAAGTTTAGGTGGTATTTATGCAAATTTATCTTCTTTTTTTTATATAGACACTTATTCGAGTGTCATAGTTGCAATGCAACAGCTGACGTAACATTTCCTTCGCAATCGCAACATTGGTTGTTAGACTCAAATGAATCAAAGCCTTTTTCAGCAGTATAATAATATTTGATGAAAGTCTTCAATCGTGTTTCTTGGTGCTGTGTGATTTGAATATTAGCTGTGACTTTGTTCATACACTTGACAAACTGGGACATCCAAGATTTGTTTAGAATGAATGCAAGCAAAACATTCTTGGCATTTTGACATTGATAGTTTTACAAGGATTATTCCATTCTGGGAATTTATTGAAAGAATAGAAAGAAGCAATTATAATTATGTACAGACTACCAATCAACTCGTCACGAGATCTCACATTTTTGTGTATGAAATTGCTTTCTGCTGCCCGTCTGTCATATAATGAATGAATCTCATGCCAGAGGAAGAATAATTGAATTGAATGTGCTAGAATTTGTTAGTCACTCTTCTTCTCACACCGTCAGTAATCTTCGGTATGTCTAATCAAAATCTTGTCTGCATCATGGTATTTTTTATCTTTTCTCCTCATTTTTGGTCTTGGTCAACCTACTTGCAGGAAAGTGTAATCTGGCAATTAAGGGTCGTGGTGCTCTTGTTTTCCGGTCAAATCCCCTCACACAAACATATCCTGCCAATAAATCAATCAGTCAACAAATAGATTCGGAACTGAACCAAATTCCTAACCAAGAGGAACACAAGTATCTATCGTGAGTTTGCCTAAGTTCTAAAAACGATTTACAGGTCAACAAGCATAGTACTGCCGTGGTCGGGGTTTGGTTAGATTTGTATCCATGCAGTATGTTTTTATGCAGAACAATCTTAATTGTTAGTATGTAATGCAAGTTATTAGCACTTGATTCCTGTTGGTGAAAATTTAAACGTCTTAAGGATTACTATTCTGCCAACTACAACAGTTATTACTATTAGTAATCCGCAGACTGGAAATGGTGTACCTAGCCACACTATCAAAGATTATGAAACATAATGGTAAAGTAAATGTTGCGGGGTCCAATGGTAAACTGTTTTGTGAAAGAGTGATTTATGTATGAAGAAGGCACAAGTTCGTTCTGGATAGTTGGCCTCAAACTATTCCTTTTGCTTCAGAGACATTTGTCTGCCCGTGAGCAGATTAATAAATTTCAAATTTTTGGATAAGTTTGTTCGTCATTTTGTCAGTTGTCTGCTAAGTCACAGGCATCGGTTCTTTAATAGTATTCTTTTTCTTTCTAACATTAACACCAAAAACAACAAGGTTACCAACGGGCACTGAGTTAAAGGTTATGATATACATTTATTTTAATTAAAAATCAGTCCATTTTTAGTTATAATCTAGTAGTATAACTAATCTTTAGTTTTAATAGATTCATGTATTAAACTACACTTCCAATGATTTCTACTCATGTGCATGAGTTGTGCATATGGGTAATGATCTAATGATCTAATAGCTAATAGCCCATATGCGCATTTAATGTGCATGGGAGGAAAGCCCAAACTTGTAATATCATGAAATATGCAGAGATATATGATAGCTATTGATGATTGTGATCATAAACAATGGAAAATGATTTAATTTTTCAATTGGTAGAAACATGTGAGCGTGACACAGCTGTAATCCTTGGTCTCTGGAATATCCAATGCCTATTGCTGTGCACTTCAATTTCTAAATGCTGTTTTTTAAGGGTAATTACCTTATTGTGGAAAGTAGTATTATTCATTATTCCCACTGCTGACAATATTCATGATTAGACCAGAATGTTTGCAGTAGGATTGTGTAATTAACAATCTCCTTCACCAAGTCTGAACTTCACAGGTGCTTAATCAGTTCAGTGTTATGTTGAAATGATTTAGTTACTCAAATTATCAAATCCATTGGTTATCCATTGTGACTCACTCTAGGATATTGGAATATTTTAAACGCACTTATATGATCTAGTGATCAACCTACTAGACTAAGTGCTGGAACAAGATATAATTGCAAACATTAAGTAGTTTGTGTTGGAAGTTAAATTCATGATGTTGTGTTATCTTATTTCTGTACTATGTGCCTAAAGAGTTATCATCAAACTAAGCAGACAAATTAATGTGAACGGGAAGTTTATCACATACCTCTCCAAAAGCAGTATTGAATTCCCTCTGTCGATAGACCTGGTAGACAGGTATTTCATTGTAAGTAAACTTTACATCTTTAATTATTAACATTATGTAGTAACCCTGGTATCTGGATTTCTCTTACCTTTGAAAATTGTTGATACAGAAGTTCCAAAGTATACGGTCCGTCTTGGCAAATTCCATATCCACCCCCTTGGAACATCAATTGGGCTGTGACTAGAATCATGATCTGCGAACATCTGCATCGTGATAGAAGTTTGTTTGTAAATCTGGAAATTAATGCCTCTAACATTCTGGCTTACAGAAGCTGATGAAGTAGTTAATAGCTTTTTTCATGAGGGTAGGCAGATAGGAGACTCTTTTTGACCAATTTGGTTGCATGAGTGCAGGATTGTGGCTAATCTAACTTGCACAAAGGGGTACTTTCTTGGCTGCTAATAACTTAATCCAGACTGCACGGTAGATAAACTTCATGGAGATTATTTTGAATAAGACTTACCTCATTAACTTGAAAGTATGTGCCATTGAGTGGAAAGCTCCCTCTCATTGCTGTTCTACAAGGTATCTGTTGCAAGTTGAATTATTTTACAGTAAACAACTGCAGGTAGTCTTCAAACTAAAATCACAATTAATTTTCCTCACCAAAATTGTCCCTCTGACTGTTTGTGCATTTTCTTCCCTTATGCTATTGCATGAAAAGCATGTCTTCTCATTGCACATTTTGTTTTGGTCTTGGGAGCCACACCTGCTTTCTGGTGGTTGAATTGAATTTGCAGTTTCACCTAGTATACAGTGGTGCAAAATAAATGTATTACATAGCAAAATCTATAAAATTAATTTCATATCTCTGATAGGAAATTAGCTAGCCTTAGGTCATCCCTTTATCCGTATTCTGAGTTCTAACTTGGTCAATAAAATCAAATGCATTAAAATGGCATGCCCTCAAGATTCTCAACAATGCATCTCAGTTCTCTAAGTGCTGTGAGTTCATGTATTTTAGTTACTGTTGGAGATTATTTGAAATTCTATTATAAGACAAACAATTTCAGGAAGGTTCTGTTTTGAGCGTACCTGGTGTCCATATAGCAAGAAGGTATGGGCTAGGATCATCTGGCTCTCGTTTGTCCATCTGTAAAATTTAATTGTGCATAATTGAGAATAAGAATGCTTCATGTGGGTCACAACATATTTTAGATATTAATTTAATATTTTAACCTACCCCTTCCAAGAGTGGATGTGAATCTGGTAGTTCATACCTGCATCATATCACCATGGGATGTATAAGTGTGTCATAGAGAATTTATTGCCATGTCCATGTACAAATGTTTGTGTATAGGTGTGTATGCCAAAACTCAGAACATACTGGCTCCTAGGCAATAAGTTCTTTAAATCCAATACAAGAATTCTGATGGTGGCGAATTCAATATGTAGACACCAGGATGTGTTTTTAGATTGACATGTTGTGGTTTTGTTCAAATTAATCCAATCATAGATATTCTGCGAACCTTCTTCAAAGTAGAATTTGGTCCTACTTTAGCTGAATTTGTGTCCAGCGTATAGACAAGCATATGTGGTTTTGTGACCAAGGGAAGACAACACTTACACTTGGTGCTCTGTCCGGAGTCGACTGACATTCTTTAGCTTGGGTGTAGGGATAGAAGCGGCTTCTCGATTCAAGGAAACTAAGGCCTTGGACATGTCACCTTCTTGGAGCTCCATATTTTCTTGCATATAATTTTGTAAAGTCGCTGTGAACTCTTCCATGTTGAGTTTGATGGTAGGAATCTCGTCAGGATCCTCGTAGAATAAGTCCTCAATGTCACTTTGCGAAAGCTCTGTGAACTCTTGTTCTGGCGTTGCTGGTTCTTCAATGATTGGTTCACACTTGTTAGTTTCAGTACTTGCTTTCTGGAGTGAGTTGTTTTCAGGTGGAGGCAGTGACATGGGAGTGACAGCTATAGTAGGATTTATCTCAGCAATTGAAACAGGTGGAGGCAATGACATGGGAGTGACAGCTACAGTAGGATTTATCTCGGCTTCAACTGAAACACTTGAACTCACAATGCTCTTCTCTTCTGGCCCTGGCAGGGCAAGTCGTGCACTGCAGCAAACATGGTTAGTATTAGTTTTATTGGTACTTTCTTTTTTCTGAGATTTCATTATAATATGTATTTCTTTTACTTCTCTTAATTGCTCCATGTGATTAGTGAAACATACAGTACTTAATACAACTATGGGTTCTCCATGAAACTATCTACTACTCTAAGTTCTTTATAGACTTTCTGATAGCTAATTAATTAGGCCTGGATCCCATGCTTTGAAATATCTGAAGATTATCATGACTTGCTTGTGTGTTTATCTGCCTGCAGAGTAGCAGCAGTATACATGTAATTTTGCAGAGACTACAGCTCGAACCTTGCAAAAGCACTTGCGAAGTGTCTGCATTCTCCTCTCATTGGACATGCATTGCAGTTCGGTTTACTCTTTGTGCAGAAAACCTGCATATGAATCAAAACATGAGGACTTGATTTTTTGATTAATTATAGATAATTTTTGTATCTAATAAAATGGCATGCATACCTTTCCAAATGTAATCATCTGGTAGTGCAGCTCATAGCTGTAGTTCAATAGTCAACTAATCAGTAAAACCACAAGTTGAAAGAAAAACAAAATTCTGCATGAACTTAGGACATGAAAGTAATGCTCTCAAATTAACATGAATGGTTTTAGGGAGCCATGAGGTTACAGGGTTAGTTGATCAAGTTTGCATAATCTTGGCCATAGATACTTTTGAATTGACTCCAGCATTGGGTACCTAGAAAGGAATATGGTTAGCATTTGCAAGTGCTGGAAAAGTTAAGCATTCAAATATTGAAACATAATTCTTACATTTCTAGGAGGTGTAACTGAAGAGATTCGGGTAGTGGTTGGAGAGGGACCCATCCCAGTCGTACTGCTATCCTTCCGACATTTGTGTCAACCTTTATGGTGCAAAGAAGAAACATAGTTTCATTGAATATAAGATGTCCTCAATAATAACATAGTAACTAATTAGCAGCCACAAAATTGTTACCGGGAAAGCAAGGTGGTGAAGCGTTAAAAGCCGGACACACTCCACACTTTTCAAGCCCAATCCCCGTATACTTAATAGATAATCCCTGCAGAAAAATCATTTGTGGTAACTATATACAAAATCTTGCTGATGCATTGCAGTGCATTATTCTCCAATTTGGATAGCCTTGTTACTGGCAAAACGGGACAGTTCTAACAATTTAGAAGAAAATAATTATTTGGAAAGGCTTACTTTGCTTTATCTGGGGGAACATCTCTTAACCATTCCAGATCAATGCTTCCATGTTCCCTAACCAGCCGGTTTAGAAATTCCTACAAAAATTTTGCAATAATGTTATCATGAATGACGTCTTAACCTATTCAGAGATGTAATCATGAAGCAAAAGATGATGCTCTTAACAAACATGTGATCTTTCAACTGAAAACTAATAGAAGAGAACCTGGATTCGCTCAGCTAGCATGTTGTTCATCCCTCGCTCCTTTATTGCATCTGAAATATCTTTAACATTAGCACTTATAAGTGCTTCATAGTCCAGTGAGTCCATTGTTTCCTTATTTCTTTCCTTTTTCCTATCATTGGCCTGTGCCTGTTTTCTCAACGTGTCCCAGTCAACTGCATTCTTTTTATCACTCCCAGCCCTTCCTTTTCTTCCTTTGGAAATATTTGTATTTGCCTCATTATGTGACTGCCCATAGGAATATAATTGCTCCTGTAAATTTGAATCAACTGACTGATTTTCCATGTGTATTTGCTTATTCACTGCAGAGATACTATCAACGATACTGCAAGAATTTTTTTTGAGCTCACTGACATTTTGGACATGCTGCATGCTACCACTCTTCTTTCCCAGAAGTGGTTCAGTATGTTTTACAGGCTCTCTGACTGACGTTTTTTCTAACTGGAAGTTTTGGTTCCCCTCACATTGATGACTGTAGTAGGAAGGTTGATTGCATCCATTGCTTGACCTTGGTTCAGAATTATTTTGCTGATCTGTTGACTGCTGTCTGAATGATGCATATGGGTCCATCTTTGGCGTTTCTTGAGAAGTCCACAAAATATTCTGTTGCACAGAGGAATTAACAACACTTCCTGACAGTTCTTCATTTCTGCTTTTGTTCTTTTCATCTTTTTTGACATTGAACCTGGAAGCAGTTGAAGGCCAAGAAGATATGATTTCCTCACTGAAATTTGCAAATCTCCATGGCTCTAGTTCTCCAAAATCTGGGTACGTGTGCAACTGATTGCTCTTGGAAGGAGCAACCGGTACTTGAACTGTTTCATTGTAAAGATTGAGTAGATTTGTGAACGAAGAAATGCCATTGAGATCATCGATTCTGTCTGATCTTGTCTTTAGCTGTCCACATTCTATATACCCATTCTTGGATCCATCATATAATATTGAACTTCCATTTACTTGATGGTACAAGTCCTGAAACTTGGTCACTTTCTCCATCTGTTGATTTGTTGAAATGGACATATGAATCTTGTTGGATTGGCACCCAGTGATGGGATCTTCTACTTCCGAGTTGGAAACCGAGTACGATCTGATTCCTACAGCACCTTGTGTGACTGAGGATTCGAAAGAATCTTGAGATGATACATATTCTTCCTCCAAACATTGACTATGTGCCTCCACTAAGTTCCTTTCTGTCCCTATGGTCTCACTGTCTCTCTGAATTTCTGCAGATTCATTGAGTGCCATAGACATTTGGTCATAGATTGGTTGACTTGATATTTCTTCATGCCATTTGGTGGCATCATCTGGACTTTTCATTTGAACTTCTGGTTCTTCAACCAATATTTTTGTGACAACCTTGTCATGAGCTTGGTGATTGCTTGACTTAGGTGGAAATCGAGCTGCCAAAGACATGAAGGCAGAGCTACAAAAAGCAAAAGAAGCAAAACAAATACTGTTCACTTCAAGACATTCATTCATGTGCAATCTGGTTGAATAATCATGCTAAAATTGTGAATGTACCTTGATAGATGGTCTGAAACATTCTGAGTAAGGAAAACTCCAATCACCGAGTCAACAACTGATCCTTTCCATTTTGAAAAACGTCTGTCTCCTGTGCAGAATAATATTAGATCATGGGATTTATCAGCATGTTATCTAATAACTGCCTATCCACTAACCGAAGCAAATTATAATGAATTTATGTTTTTCTGGAACATGAGCAGCAAAAGTAATATTGTTAACTGTTGTCTAATCAAGTGAGCTACAAATCATGCCAACTTTCACACTTATCCTTCTACCAAAGTAGGATTGGCCTGGTTGATATGTTTCTTATGCAGTCAAAGTGAGTTTGCTAGGCTGATTTTACATCTTTGATATTGACTATCAAGTTGAATACTCTGCGCCTTCTTGTTTGATGCTGCAGATTGCTATCAAAATCATCCTGGACATCAGGTCGGACAAATAAGTCATGGTTCACTGGTTTAACAATTTGGTCATGGCCAGACTGCAGGTCTTTTAGATAATTAACTAAACTTTTTTTTGTCGGGTGGGTTGTAAACTTTTTTTTAATATTTATTTAAAGTCTTCCTAGTTAATCATGTTTTAGGTAATGATAAGGCTCGTGTATCAATCACCTTTCCTATCAGACTATATATTAAGATGGGACTAAATGAGATCAGAAGTGAAATGCTTCTGAAGCTGATTAATTTACTCTCTATATATTTACTCAATTACAAAATAACAGCCTAATTCTATATAACTGTTTGTTAATATTGCATTGAAGAAGAAAAAAACTTGAGTGAAGCTATTGTTTCTATAATGATTAGATATCTAAATTATCAACAACAAAAAAATTTGTTTTCTGGGGCTTACACTGTAATTGGTCCAGTTCAGTTACTAGATTAGGTGGCTTAACTTGCAGTTCAGTTTCTTAGTTGGACAGGCAGGACAGGCAGGACAGGATGATCATGATAACTGCCCTCTCCAGTTTGGAGCTTCATTATTTTGTAAAAGATTGCATTTAAATTATTTAAAGAGCTCATAAAAGTGTAGATGGCCATGTCAAAGTTATAACCTATACAACATGGTAGTTCATGACAATCCAATTTAAGACTAAAATATAAGATATTGTACCTTGAACAAGGTGCATGCGTGCTATGAATGACTCAACTCGTCCTTGGAAAACCTTTCTTTCCTCTTCCCAATACTTCTCCTTTTCCTTATGATTTCCTTCAATCCCTCCACTTCCTTCCTTGCCCATCAAAAGATTCCATATCCTATTTGTTTCTGGGTCAAGCTCTACTTTAGGCAGTGGCTTACGTTTCTTAATAAACCTCTCATAGGGAACAACTGCACCATCTCCCTTGTATGGGACAAGTGCATTTCGCTCATGCTTTAGAAATTTGCTGCAGCTTCCATTGAGATTCAGACCATTAAACTGATTTATGATGACGTCTACTGGTATACTACATCTAGTTCTTCCTGGAAACCCTGCATCAAAATAAAGAGGTTGCCATCATTAAGGGAGTTCAAAGTAATTATTGAGATGATTCATTTTTCAGAGGTTTCTTAAGGTGGAAAGTACCTATCGCTTTTGCAGAAGGTTGCTGATAATCATATGAGGAATCCTGTTCTTGCGGGACTTTATCTGTACCTGATGAAACAGATTTCGATATATTGGATCCCACGGTCTTCTTCTTTGCTGACGTATTATTTTTGCGAGTTTGAAATACCTGCCCATTTCCCGGTTGAAAGGATTTTCTGGGAGGTGATGAGGTAAGCTGGTCACATGTTTCAATTGTGGAATGGGTAGAAAAGCTATGCACTAGAGCGAATCCTTGGCAGGAATGTGATTTGGATGGGGTCTGCTGATTCAGAAAATTATTCCCAGAAGCGATGGAGTGAGTGTACCTGCCACTGGTAAACTTGTTGATTCCTTTGTTCTGTCTCTCTATCATTCTGCTACTTTCAATGTAAGAACTCAATAAGGTATTGTTCTGTCTCTCTATCACTTTTCCAATTGATTTGACATTATTTTCCCCCTTTCTTTCAACTTTTCCCAGACACTCCTCAACTGGTGTAAATTTCCTAGGCATGTCACAGATACTCAAGCATCCATTCTCAAATTTCTGTTTCTTATGACTTTCTGAAAATTCTTTGCTGAGAGTGCAACTATTTCTTTGATGGCCATTAAACTGAAATATATCATGGCACAACAATGAACTAGGTGGATGATTGGTAGAAAGATGTGTGTGTTCAATAGTACGGAAGTAATCCCTCTTGGATCCCCTTCCTTCACTTGGAAGGGAGAGAGCGGTTAGTACTGATTGAGAGCCGCCCTGGTTGATATTTTCTTTAGTCTTCTGAAGGTTTTCACAGTTGGTTTTTGCTCGAATGACATCTTGGCCTATTCCTTCAGCATGGCTATGCTGCTGAATGGGAATGTATCCATCTCTACATCTTCTCTGGCATAAATCTGAAATATCATTTTCTACATGTCTCCTTGTGACATTCAAATTTTTCATATGCATGTCTTTTGTTGTAGCAAATGGGGCTGCAGATGGTTTCCTTTCTGGCAGGAATGTATAGTTATTTGGAATATGGTTCATGAAAGGGGTAGGGTTACTCATAGTTCCTGGCATCTGGTTTTCTACCATCAATTCATTCTGTAGGCCCATTGGCTCAGCTGGCTTTGTTTTAAAAACCTGGTTGGTTCCAGTGCCCATATGCGTCCCTTGAGTCTCAAAAGTCAAATCAATAATTCTCTTGTTCCCTTGTTGCAACTCCTCTTGCTGACGAACTGTGTTGCATTGGTTTTCATCCATGGTGTTTTCCAAACCAAAATCTAGAACTCTCCTGCATGATTTTGCAACTTTTCCAGAATTAGGGTCTGCTGTTTCCCTTGTAACATCTGACATTTGACTTGGGGATTCCTTTGGGACATTCTTTCTTACATATTTCCTCTTTGCTGGCTGGCTCTCCTTAGACTCTGTATTCTTTGGAGTTGCAGGCTTTGGAGTCCTTTTGGGCTTGCCTTCTCTGATTACCTTGGGCCTGTGTTTTCTTCGCTTGGGTGGTTTCTGCTGTGGTGTCTTGTTTAGATCAATCCCTCTGTCACCTTCCCAGTCAGAATCTTTGTTTTTTTTGTATGGTGTAGAAATAGCTGCAGATGATGATTCCACAATGTTCTGCAAGAGTTCGTCACCATGTTTTTGAATTGCTTCATCTCCTATAGACATAACTAATTTCACTTGCTTGTCCTTTTCCACGCTAGCACTTTCATCTGTCAAGGATTTCAGTATTGCAAAAAGCTCGTTGTTCTCCACATTGTTGGCCTGATCTGTTGTGAATGGGTGTTGGCTGGCAATACATGAGGCAGCATCTGCTTCTGTTCTTGGTGAGGAGTTTAGATCATAGCTCGGTAGGAATTGTACAGGGAAACCATCTGCACATAAAAGCAATTTTTTCTCTCAAGTAGTTTTAACAATAAAGGGATTTTTGTAATTTGTATGTTCATTAAGATATTCTGTCGCTTGGAGTTATAATGAAGTATGATTTCAAGACGATTCACAATGTAGTACGGCACACCCAAGTGATGAATATTTCACCTTCGTTAATTTATCATTTTCAAATGAATTCAATAAGATTGAAATATTTCAGACATTGCTTATTGCTATCTATGTATTGACTTTGGCCGTTGTTTGGTGCAAGGGTAAAAGTTTTAGGCTTTCAAGTGCAACTAGCCGCATTAGAAGACATATATCATAAACAAATTACAGTGCATACAGATCATTGCCTCAAACTATAGTTTTTATCAATGAAATTTTAGAAGAATAGATAATAACACTTATTCTTTCGAACATTTTTTATGGAAAATCTTAGTTGCATTTGCATATATAATAGAAATATCATAACTGAGTTAAAGTACTTACTCTGGCATATCAAGGATGAGCTGTCACCATTGCTCAATGGGTTTGAACTTGAGCAATGATTTTGGTTGCTAAATAACCAATGAACTGAGTTGGAATCAGTCTGACTTGCGTCAACTTGAGAAGGAAAATCCATAACCAAGGACCTGCTCATCACTGTACTTGAAGAATATGAACCATTGCTGCAATTTTGGTTGTTTAGCAAGGAGCAGCCTGAGTTGTTTCCTTGGTTGCCCAATTGAGGATGCAACTTAGGAATTAGAGGTGTGTTCATTGCTAAGTCCACATTTCTGCTCAGATTCCTGTCTGCAGAGGCAACAAAAGCTGCCTTATCATGCAGCAGTTGGGTAATTGGATTATTGTTCCAACTTGCGTTGTCAGGGCGGAGCAACTGTGTGAAGGAGCCTGTACTGTAGGAGCACGCAACATGATTTATCATTTGATTTTTCTCAGCCAGACTTCCATCATAACCATTATGCCCTCCATTTCTCTGTAGTTGACCATTTGGGCTAACCGTTTGAGTCACGTCATTGTAGCTAGCCCCCATTTGTACATGCTCCCTTGAAATTCCAGTTCGTTGCCAATTTTCTCCTTGCAGGTGGTTCCCAAGGGGGTTGACTGGGATCGGAATCGGATGACGCTTCAACGGAATTGGCTTCTCTGGAGTCGCCGGTACCCAAGAATCCATGAAGCGTAAATCCTCATCCTGGGGAAGCAAAAATCCCCCTCCAAACTTCATCCTTGAGCCCTTACAATTTACAAACTATCTAAGTCTCTTTTTCACTTCTCTGTTTCATTAATCTTTATTGCTGACTGTAACACTCTGGTCTCCCTGTAGCAGATCTGTTTTGCAGAAAAACTGGAATCAGAAAACCCCTCCGTTGCTTATCCCCATTGCAAGAAGTCACCGTGCCCAAACGCACAAATACTTTCCTCACAATGACAACACAGACCTAACATGTAATGCATAAATTAATGTACATGGAAGAAAAAATATTTCCTTTCAGATAAGAAAAATCAGAATAACATCTCTGTAATTAATGCTCAAAATCATCTACAGCAGATATTTCTCAACAACTAAAGGCCAGCCATATTTTGTGCTCTGGAAAACATGGAAAACATGAACGACAATAGAAGCGAAATTAAAGCAGGAATATCCACAGTAACTACTGAGGAAAAAAAACATCTTCTGAATCTGTGTAAATTGACTTATTTAACTTTTGGGTTTAATGGCAAAGATTATGGGAGAGCAAATTATAATATCTTGAGAGAATCTTCTTCTGATATGAATGAAATGTAACAACTAATAACAGGGTTTGGTCAATATGCATGAGTTAAGTGAAAGGCCAACAGAAATGGTAAAATGCATTCAACCGCAGGCAGCTCAGCTCGCCGATCCGGTTGTGACCAGAAATTGACATGAAAAAAAAAGAAGATGAAGAAGAAGAAGAAGAAACCCTCATAAATCCTAATTAAATTGTTACCCAAAACCAAGCCCTGATTGCAATTAGCTAGAGAATTGAGCTCAACTGATGATAAGGAAGGAACCTAAAACAATCAGTGAGCAGAAAGGGAGAGAGAAACAAAAATACTCTGAGTCACCCCCTACCTACCTCCATTTCAGACCCTTATCAGTACATTTGCAGACCAGTGAGCCATTGGTGAAAGCATTCAATTCCTCCATCATTTGGTAGGCGACCATTCAGAACCCCAACCCCACCAGAGGCCTTCCACAGAAAGACCCACAAGAGAATATGCAGAGCAAACAATTTCTTCTCACCATCATCAACTTGTCTTCTCCACAAGTTGAGAGCTTGAGATTGAGATTGAGATTGGTGGAGAATCTGTTAGACTCTCTCTCTCTCTCTCTCAATCACTCTCTCTCTTTCTCTCCCTCTCTCTCTCTCTCTCACTAGAGAGCTAGCTCTGCTTTGGTCGACCCCGTCCTCCCTCTCTCTCTTTGGCTCTATTTCTTTGGACAAAACTACCCTCAAACGAAAAATGAAGCAAGGCACAGAGGAAGAGCTGACAAGGGTTAGTATTGTCAAAATAGCAAAAGAAAGAAAGAATAAGCTCCAGCTAACCCACCCACACGTTCTGGAGAAGTCTTCGTCTTCGTCTTCGTCTTCGTCTTCGTCGTCGTCTTCTTCTTCACTCTCATTCATTCATCTCGCTTTCGCAAAAGTCACTGTGTGTTTCAGTTACAGGCTTACATTACAACCGGCCATTGGCTTTGGCATTGAATATACGAAAATTTCTTTTTTTTCTTTAATTTTCATTGGTTTCTCAACCTGATTTAATTCTGAAATATATATATATATATATACACGCAAATGAAATGAATACAACTGGCAGCAATTAATTATTTAATTATTTTCATCAATAATATTTGTGTGAAATTATAATTTAGGAATTCTGAAATTTTAATGTTAAGGTTGGCCTCCATTTTTGTGCATAATTGTTGGGGAACAGGTTGGAAATTAATGCTGTGTGTTTGCTTGTGGGGAAGATTTGACTGTTTCCAGATATTAATTCTATTTACTCTTAACTTCAGTTTTGAAATTCATCAATTGTTCTACTTCAACTTTAAGAAAGTGGTAGCCCCTACCCCCTACCCCCTACTTCCGGAGGTAGCTAGCTTTTGAGATCAAACGGTTTCTGATTCTTATCTTTAGAAAACCTTCTAACAGAATTTAAAACTCGAATTCGGGTTAAGTTCGATTAGGGTCATAATTCGGGTTACAACAACCGAAAATCCTTATAAAAATGGTAAAATTTATTTGAGCACATGCAGCTCAGCTCACTGGTCCAATTGTCAAACTCAGATTTGGAGTTGTATGAGTCATCATGGGTCAGTCAGTTCCCCAAAAAATAAATAAGAGTTGGTTTGGGCAGCTCTTGTATTATTGAAAGTGGGCACAGTCCCTCCCTATGGTTGATGAATTGACAAAGCTTTTGGTAGTTTGTTGCTTCAACATAGTACATTGCCTTGAATCAAGTGGGGCTAAAGTGGTGGTTGGCTGTAATGTAACCATAGTGATTATTTTAGCTTTTTGCATCATCAAGAGTACTAGACCACCTTTTCGAAATAAAAAATTCAAAACTAAATTATCCAAAAGTTTTACCAAACTTTAGTCATATTGATCGATGTTGATAAGATAAATTATATTATATTAAAATTTACAAGTGTTATAAACAAATAAAATAGTATTGTTTTTGTATATGCTTAATTTATTACAGTTATATTTTGTTCGACAATTATATTTTTTTTGGAAATAGTTTTCTAAATATACTTAATGATTTCATTTTAAAAATACTTATCTTACATGTCTTGTCAGATAATAGGAATTGATCATCTTAGAATGTGTATCGTTTTGTATCCTACACAAAAAGCAAATTACCATTATACCTTTTTTTTTTTTTTTTTTTTTTTTTTTTTTTTTTTGGGGTTTTGGGGGTCATCATGGATATTATGTTTTTTTTTGTTTGTGTGTGGTGGTCATAAAAAAATAAATAAAATAATTCATTTTATTATATATAGAATAGTTTCAAAACACAATTAATTATTGCATTTTTAAAATACTTATCTCTTATGTCTTGCCAGATAATAGGAATTGATAATCTTAGAATGTATATCGTTTTGTATCCCACACAAAAAGAACATTACCATTTATAACGTGTTTTTCTTATTTTTGGGTCTCACATGATTTGGTGGTATAAAATTCATTTTATATATAGAAATAGTTTTCAAAACACAATTAATTATTGCATTTTTAAAATACTTATCTTATATGTCTTGCCAGATAATAGAAATTGATAATCTTAGAATGTATATCATTTTGTATCCTACACAAAAAGCAAATTACCATTTATAACATGTTCTGTGATATTATCGATAAGAATAATGCTACTCTCACCACATTCTCATACTACCTTATGTGGCAGATGAGGTTGACAACGATATCAATTAAAATTAATTTAACATTTTCTTTTATTTTATGATTTATTAACACTTTTTAATTGACGTGGTTGTCTATCTCATCTGCCACATAAAGCAATAGTGAATGTGGTATACAAATATGGTAAGAGTAGCCATTACTCAAAGATCACAACAACAACAAAAAAATTAGTATGATGCTCATATCCACTATCCACTATTGTATTAAAGACTTGATAACAATAGTATTGTCTAGAAAGTAAGTTGTGTACGGACATGAAAATATTTGTTGGTTTAATATTTATTACAAAATGTGTTATTTCACATTATAAATGTTAATGCTTTATATTTAAGTTGTCTAGAAAATAAGTCCAATAGTTTAAGATTGTTGTTTATGATTTGAGAAAAGGGTGCTCGAATCCTAATTCAAATGGAGCACTTGAATAACTTGGCACAATAAATTTGGTATGCCGATCAAGTAACATCCTTTTCCTTGTCTCCCAACTTATTAAGAAGTCAGTTTTGAGAAACATATCTTCTTAAATAACCAAATAACATCTTATATATTAAGAAGTGTTTGAGAAACAATCTTTCTAAATAAGTCAAGTAAATGTGAGTTAATTATTGTGAATGAGCATTGTTATCTCCACTGCTACCTTCTTCTTCTTTTCTTTTTTCTTTTTTTTCTTTTTTTTTTATAGGAAGCGATAGTTTTCAATTCCATTCAACTGAAAAGAGTGTGTACAAAAAAGGCATAGAAAAAGTGGCTTCGTTAAAACCTTCCATTCAATCTCCATTGCTACCTTTTGATGAATAAAATAGATTATGCTTCTTATCTTAGGGATGTATTCAATTTAGATTTTAAATGATTTTAAAAGAGTTATAAAGTTGATGGAGCTTAATTAAATTTAATTGATGGCGGTGACGGTGATGATGCTGGCGGTGGTGACGATAGGGCTGATAGAAGGGTGGTAGTGGTGGTGGTGGTAGAGGTGGGTGGTGGTGGTAGTGGTGGTGGTGGTGGATGCGGAGGCAGTGGCGGTGACGGTGGTGGCGATGGCGGTGATGGTGATGGTGTTGATAGTGGCAGTGTTGATAGTCATGATAAGATGGTGATAGTAGAAGTAGTGAAATCATATTTTGAGGATAAAAATAATATATCTATCAAAATCTCTGGGGAGAAAGCAAATATTTGTCATGGCCTAAAATTAGTTTATAATCAAACGAAATCCACCACTTTTTGTATTTCCTTTAAAATCAAGGGTAAATTACTCAAATGGTTCTCAAACTTATACTCGATTTACATTTTGGTCCCTCAATTAAATTATTCGTTCAAATAGTCCATCAACTCTATATTATTCGCTCCATTGGTCCTACCATTACATTCTGTCAATATATTTGTTAAATATGAGGGCAAATTGGTCATTATTTACCCTAATTTTTACCCTAAAATTGGGTTAAATCTAACATAAAATTAGACGGTAGGACCATTGGAGCGAATACTATAGAGTTCATGGACCATTTGAATGAATAATTTAGTTGAGGGACCAAAATGTAAATCATGTATAAATTTGAGGACCATTTGAGTAATTTACCCTAAAATAAATGAGTTTTTTAATACACCAAAAACTTTTATGAAGTCTTTTAAAGTCATGATTGAATGCATCCAAATTTGAATGGAGTTTAAAAAGTCTAAATTAAATACATCCAGAATTGTATAGACTTGTATAAAATAGTGATTGAATGCACCTAAAATTTTAAACTTCTTTAAAATCTTTTAAAATCTCAATTGAATACACCCCTTAGAAAAATTCTAATAAATGTGAAACTCTTGTAAGTTTTTCTTTCTTTTCCTAGTAAATAATAAAGATTATGGAGGCTTTTTCTTTTAGGCTTAATTGCTACAATGCACCCTGAAACATTGGTCAAATCCCACTTTACTTCCTCAAAGTTCACTTTTCCCCCTTGACCAGGGTTTCATGTGTCACTTAACCACTTTCCGTCAACCCCATCCCAAGCTTCACTTAACCACTTTCCGTCAACCCCATCCTAAGCTTCATTAAAATGATGACGTGGCAGGGGTAAATTGTTCAATTCATCTGAGTTGGCATATTTCTCACCAATCTAAGTTGGTGACGTGGATTTGTGGACCCTACCTCGAACAAAAGTCATTTTGACCGCTAATGTTGCGGTGCAGACCCCACCTCGAATAAAAGATCCCTAAGAGCAACTCCACCCATTTGCCCTTAGCCATGGCAAGGGGGGGAGCTAGGGCAGCCACTATTCACATGAATAGTTGTTGCCCTTGCAAAATCCGAATTTTGTGTTTCCACCCGTTGCCCTTGCTAAGGGCAGTTACTATTCATTTTTTTGTTTTATTCACAATTTTTTTTTACCTCAATAATTAATTTGGATAATATTTTCGGATAAGATTTTCGGGTTCCTACGTGTCAATACTATTCATATCTCATAATCGGATAAAATTTTCAATTTCAAATTTAAGATAAATTATATATAAAAAAAGGCTGGTATTTATAGAAAAAAATTCATTAATTTTTGGGTATTTTTTAAAAAATTTTCCGAATTTTTTCTAGTATTTTATTGCAAAAAAATTGGCTGCCGTTGGATTGGAGGAAAAAATCAGATCGGAGAGCCCAGACGACGCCACGTGGCAACAGGAAAAAAAATCAAATCAGCGAAATACTGTAGCGGGGTTACTATAGCAGTACTGTAGCGTTACTGTAGCAGATACTGTAGCACTACAGTAACCCCCCTCGTTTTGGACCTTGGGCAGGACTTGCCTTCGGGCCAGCCCGAGGAGGTGGGTCCCACCCCCCCCCCCCCCCCCGGCCTGGGCTGCTCCGCTGGAAGGCCAATTTTTTTTTTTCCCCTACCCCCGGGCTGGGCTGCACCGGTGGAATAGCTCTAAGAGCCCATGTTATTAAACCCTAATTGAGCTCACTAGTGTCGGAAAAAAAATCCCAATTTCGCTTCCTCCCCATAAAAGACGATAAAACCATAGAAATCACAGGTTTGGTTTCCACGAAAACTGAAGATGAAGCCTGAAATAATTGAATGAGGGGCAAAGCTGAATGTGGCGGCACCGCGCTGCTTTTGTGGGAAAATATCTCACTTACAAACTTCGTGGACTGAGGCCAACCCCCTTGAAGATTCCATGTTTGTCCAAAATCTTCAAAGGTAAGTTTTGTTGTTAAAAGTCTCTAAATTTTGTTCTAATTTTTTTTTTCTTAATTGCTATTAATGGTCGATGCAGAGGAGGAAAAAAGGATGTGGTTTTTTTGTTTGGGTGGATGTTGAATTTCCACCTAGAGAGAAGGCTATGGTGGCTTGGCTACTTAGAAGATTGAAGGAACTGGAAAAGGATGCTGAGCGTCGTCAATCAAGAGAAAGAAATTTAATGGGTTGCCTTCTTCTTTTGTTTGAGGTGGGGTCCGTACCACCGCATTAGCAGTCAATGACAGGACCCGCCCCGAATTCCTCGGAATCTGTGACAAATCCTGTGGTATTTCCAACATCAAACTAATGTTGGGCCAGCTTACTAAAGAGATATGAGACTTTCTGCCGAAATTTTGGCAGAGTCTCCCTTAAAAATGGACTTTCCCAAAAATTTTAAACCTATCAAAACACAATTATAAACCCAACCAGCAGCATGCATAAAGTAGAAACATGCAATTTACATCATGGGCCTCTGGCCTTACATTCAACCCTAAAATGGGCGATAACAGAGCATATCTAAAGAAATTTAGTTTACAAGCAAAATATAAAGTTCAACGGGAATAAAAACAAGTAAAAGATTGTCCTACATAAGCTCAGGCTCTAAAGTTAAGATCTCGGCTCGACCGCTCAGTTCAAGTTTATCTACTGCTTGAGGGGCGCAAAACAGAAAATTGTGAGTGGACAAAAACAAAGTTTGTTTATATTTGAAAACAACATATAATAACCCTACCATTTGGAAAACGATGCAGAAAACATGTAATTGAAATTTGACATACTCGTATATAATCCATTAAAACTAAGTTAAAATCTGTATCCCAAAATAGTTTACTAATACTCAAACTCACTCAACACCCATCCCTTTTCCTCAAATCACTCTCATCCAAAACATGTGCCCATTGGCAATGCGAGCGAGGAAGGATCCTCACCGATAAACAAGAATGAAAGTATATGTACATATATATATATATATACCAAACTTGTACTGGGGAAACAATCCAACTAGGGGATTGTTTTACTAGACCACATGGAAGATTCCTCAATTGACCATGTGGCTAAGGAACGAGCTGTCCAACTGGTGGACTGGGCTCACCAGCACATACAATAGAATCCTCAATACTCATATGCCTGTGACAAGTCTTACGCTCACAGTCTAACCCCGCTAAGGGTCTACGAAACACCCCATCAAGGGTGTCCGGGTTTCGACATATCCAAGTATCCCATATCACCATGTATCCAATCCAATGTTCAAAAGTCGAGGAGTTACATAGGGCAGTGCTAATAACACTCCAAACTGACATAAACCACAACCCACCCTCATTCCCTAATCTCATTACCAATAACCCCATGTACCCAACACATATCCAAATATAGATAATAATTCTTGAAAATAGTTTATATCCATTCAAGATAATCACAATCCGCAAATATTCTAATATAATTCCAATACTTTCATAACATCATTATATTTCAACATCAAAATATATAATAACTCAAGAATCAAAGAACTCATTATGCATATTTTTCTATCTGTGAAAATATTGAATATTATTTAAAAACAAAGTCTACTCTAAGATAATCCAAAATTGCTTGACCTTGAGAGAGTCCCGCCTGTTAAGTAAGCTGGGCCGGAGCACATATTTAAGAATACGAGGACTAGATTAAAATAAAATACTTTGAACGAGAACTTTAAAATAAAACCCTAGTTTTCCTAGGATTCCAAGTGTGTGATCGATGAATGAGAAGTTCTAAAGGTCCAATTACGGGTTTGGAATGGTGGAATAACCTCAGAAGACACTTGGCAACTGACCGGTTAAACTTACCAAATTTGGTCAGCAGGACCCGTGGGGCTCACGACCTTCGATTTCTGATCTGAAAATTCCTACGGGTTCAACAAAGTTTACTAAACATGTCATGCAAGTTTGGTCCAGATCAAGGTGTCGGATTGCTCATGATCGAACGATCGGACAATAACCATTTTACGTAATCTTTGAGTTATTGAATCAGAGCATTCGGAACTCCAATTCTCAATTTGTGAATTCCTATACGATCCTAGAGCTACATAGATCAACATATTTGAAAATGGAGTCAATCCAACAGTTCGAACATATTGAACCCGGATAACGCCTAATATGTGTAAATCCGATCGATAGTCAAACGATAACAAAATTCAAATCTGAGCATACTGTTGTGCTCGGGAATACATGGAGAACATTTTAGGACCAAATAGGCCACCCAAACTTGGTCCACGCACCAGCAGCGTGTTGGTGTTTTGAGAAAACTTCGGCTACGGAAAAATTCTCAAAACACCCATAAATACCTATACCTATGTGATCAAGACAACAAGTGGAGCAACTTTTGTTTTTGGGCCACTACCAAAAAGTGACCGGAACTTTTCGGAAACTCGAGCCGAAAACCTGCCAAATCTTTTATTCGAAAAATGAGTTTCAAACTTCAAAATCAATCCTAACCAACCCAACCATCAGCTACATCACGTTGAAAGGATGAGAAAGCATACCTGGATCGACAAAAATAGTGGCAGGAAACAGCGCCAGAAATTTCACAGAAGTTCCGGCCAGTTTTCTCGTTTTTGACAGTGGCAGGGATGGGGGTTTCATCGAAGATGGGGTAGGGTGGGAAGAGGACGTCGGGCTGATTCGATTGGGACCTGTCCTGTCGTCAACGGTAGCCGGAGCAACTCAGATGTTGGGCATGTTAAATTACCCGCACATTAGATCTTGTTCTTTAATGTAACCAACGGCAATAGACTAAACTAGCAAATATTAGAAAACTTAGAAACACACAAGAATTATATTGGTTCGGCAGAACTTTTGCCTACGTCCAGTTGTGATTTCTCTAGGTAGAGAAATCACCGCTCCTTTGATTAATAATAGAGATTACAGAACTTTTGCGACCCTAGAACTAATCTCAAAACTCTCGGCTGTCTCTGGCTATTTTTCCTGTTGTAAAAATAAGCCCTACCGCACCCTATTTATAGATATAGAGTTGGCTTACATGTCCCAAGGCAGATTGAATTACTATTCCTAAGTGGATTAGGAAATTACACTTATCCAAATCCTAATAGACTTCTAGAAATCCAAACCTAAATTGAATAAGGAAAACTGAAATTCTTTCCTAATCCCTCTAGGACAAGAATTGATATACCTCTAATTTTCCTAAAACAATCATACACCAACTAGGACATATTTGATGAGCCAAAATCCTAACAATCTCCACCTTGGTGAGTCAAACCAAGTCTTGATCGTTGCACCCCAGAGTATCTTTGAATCTCCTTGAAGCAGCTCTGGAAATCTTCAAGAGTCTTCACCTTGGCAATCTTCTTCTTGCCTCATTGCACCTCAAGTGAGGAGGTGCTCCACTTTAATCAATCAACGAGATTGATCAAGTTCAAGCAATGCTTGAACTTCTTGGTCGACACTATCTTTGTAAGGAAATCTGCGGCATTGTCATCCGTATGAATCTTTTCAATCCAAATCTCCTTAAACTCCACCCAATTTATGATTCTGTGATATCTTGCTTCAATGTGCTTTGATCTTCCAGAAAAAACTTGATTCTTTGCCAAGTGAATGGCACTTTGACTATCACACTTCAGCTTCACACAATCTTAGGTGATTCCCATTTGACTTACCAAGCCATGAAGCCAAATTGCTTCCTTTCCAACTTCGGCCAATGCAATATACTCTGCCTCTGTGCTCGACAAAGCTATAATTGATTGCAGCAGTGCCCTTCAACTTATCGGTCCTCCTGCACATGTAAACACATAACCAAAAGTTGACCTTCTCTTGTCCAAGTCCCCTGCATAATCAGCATCCACATATCCCAACACCCTTGTATTTTATTTTTGCTTCTCAAACATAATCCTTTGTCCCCAAGAACCCTTAAAATAACGCAAAATCCACTTGACTGCATCTCAATGTTGCTTTCCTGGATTTGCCATGTATCTCGAAACGACACTGATTGCTTGAGCTATGTCGGGACGTGTGCATACCATTGCATACATAAGGCAGCCCACGACATTAGCATAAGGCACCGTCTCCATTACTTGCTACTCTTCCTCGGACTTAGGACACTGTTGCGCACTTAACTTGAAGTGAACTGCCAAAGCAGATGAAACTACCTTTGCTTCTTGCATGTTAAACTTCTCAAGAACCTTCTTAATATATTTGGCTTGTGATATCCAGATCCTTCCAGCGGTCATATCTCTCTGAATTCCCATGCCAAGAATCTTTTGTGCTGCACCTAGATCTTTCATGTCGAACTCCTCGCTCAACATCTTCTTCAAGTCTTGAATTCTAGACTTGTCTTGACAAGCGAATAGCATGTCATCCACATATAGCAATAGCAATATGACCATCCCATCTTGGAGTACATGATAGTACACGCAACAGTCATAGAAACATCTTCTAAAATTGATTTTCAGCATGAAGTAATTGAAGCTCTTGTACCATTGTCTTAGAGACTGTTTCAGGCCATACAGGGACTTCCTTAGCTGACATACTAGGTTTTCTTTCCCATATTCAACAAACCCTTCTAGTTGAGCCATGAAAATTGTCTCCTCTAGATCCTCATGAAGAAATGTTGTCTTCACATCCATCTGCTCAATTTCCATGTCATGCTGAGTTGCCATTACTAAAAGCAATCTGATAGAAGTATGCTTAACTACGAGTGAAAAGATCTCATCATAATCCACCCCTTCCTTTTGTGAGTACCCTTTAGCCACGAGCCTTGCTTTGAATCTCACGGCATCTTGTTCATGTAGTCCTTTCTTTTTCCTAAATACCCATTTGCATCCAACTAACTTTTTGTCTTTGGGCTTAGGAACCAACTCCCAAACAGAGTTCTTGTAAAGAGACTCCATTTCTTATGTCGTAGCACTTATCCAACTATCTCGTTCATCACTTGCTATAGCTTCTCGATAAGTAGTTGGATCTCCTTGACTACTGTTGAGAGCATAATTAACTTCGTATTGGTTAAACCCAAACCTAAGCATTTCTGGAATGCAGGTGGATTGTTAGTTGGAGTTTGAACCTCTTAGGATGTCCAGCAGATTAGAGTGCCTTCAATTTGCCTTATTTCTTACTCCACCTGATTCCTAACTGGTGAACGATGTTGATGCTCTTCTTCTTCCTCAAAACCATCAGATTCGGCATCTTGCTCAATTTGCTCCACCTGAGCTTCTTCTTCATCTGAACTGATTAACAGAATTTTTGTTGCTTCAATTTCAGTATCGTCTTTCTTCTCCCTACTACTCTCGACTTTATTCAGAGGCATGGTTGTCTTATCAAAGACAACATCTCGGCTGACAACCTTTTTCCTGTTGTTGATATCCCAAAGCTTGAAACCCTTCACTCCATTCTCAAAACCAAAGAATATGCGATGTGTAGACTTTGGTTTGAGCTTGGACCTTTCATCACTTGGAATATGTGCGTAAGCACTACAGCCGAATACCCTGAACTTGGAATAGTCCATCGGCTTCTCAGACCATACCTCTTCTGCACTCTTAAAACTGAGAACTGTAGATGGTGATCTGTTAATCAAATAACTTGCATGATTAACAGCCTCTGCCCAAAAACTATCAGGCAATCCTGCATGAAATCCCATGCTCCTCTCTCTCTCTCTCTCTCTCTCTCTCTCTCTCTCTCTCCATGAAAGCTCGGTTCATCCTCTCAGTAGCTCCATTTTGTTTGGGATTCTTCTTTACTGTGAAGTGCCTTATGATGCCTTCTTGCTTGCAGTAATCGGTAAACTCATTACTTGAATATTCACCTTCATTGTCACTTCTCAGGTACTTGATCTTTCTTCGAGTTTGATATTCGATTTTTGTTTTCCATTCCTTGAACTTTGCAAAAGCCTCGGATTTCTGCTTCATGAAATAAACCCAAACCTTCCTAGAAAAATCATCCATGAAAGTAACAAAATACCTAGTTCCACCATTTGATTTGGTTGGTACAGGGCCCCAAACGTCTGAGTGAATATAGCTGAGTTGCTCCTTGCTTCGGTTATCTGCACTGCTACTCGTGAATGATACATTCCTTTGCTTTCCAAGAACACAATATTCACAAAAGTCCATTTTGCAAGATGACATGCCTTCCAACAGGCCTTGCTTGTGTAATTCTTGCAACCCTTTCTGACTTATGTGCCCAAGCCTATGATGATAGAGTTCAGTCTTGTCTTCTATACCTTGATTTATAGAAACAGCTACTCCCCCGACTATGGTGGTCCCAATTAACTTATACAGCTTATTGGGTTGTAGGTCACCTCGCATTACCACCAGTGATCCTTTGGTTACCCTGAATCTTCCCTTTTTAGACTCGTACCCATAGCCGGCCTCATCTAAAGTACCCAAGGAAATCAAATTCTTTCTTAGTCTAGGGACATATCTAACGTTCCCCAAAACTCGTATCATCCCATCAAACATTTTGATTCCAACAGTGCCGATTCCTTTTACAAGACATGAAGAATCATCCCTCATTAAAACTTCCCCGCTGCTGACTTCTTTGTAAGTATAGAACCATTCTCTTACTTCACACATATGAAAAGTGCATCCGGTATCCAAAATCCAATTTGTGAAAGCCTTGGAGCCTGATGTTACTAAAAGAAGCTCCCCGTCACTCTCATGCTCGGTGACTGTACTAGTTGAACCTGAGCTTCTTTCCCTCTTTGCTTTCTTCTCTTTCCAAATCTTGCAGTTCCTCTTCCAATGATCGGTTGAACCACATTCGAAGCAACCTTCCTTCTTTTCCTTTTTCTTCTTGGATTTTGACCTATCTCTGTTGCCTGTTTTCTCTTCCTTTGTCTTTTCCCACCCTTTCTCCTTTCCTTTGGCATAAAGGCCTTGAGAGCTTTCAGTTATATCATCTAGCTTAACATATGACTGAAGAGCTTGAATTACATCTTCAAGCTTCAAGGACTCTTTTCCAAACATTAGAGTTGTTCGAAAGTGCTTGAAAGACGAAGGTAGAGACCTCATAGCCATATCATCATCTTTGTTAGTTCGACCTTTTGAAGATTAGATATGCAATTCTGGAACCTGCACAAGTGAGCTTCAATATCACCTCCTTCCAGTCGAAGTCCGAATAGTTCATCCTTTAGAAAAAGTTTATTGGACACGGTTTTGCCCATATAAACATTCTCCAACTTTTCCCATGCTTCTTGGGTAGTCATCTTTTTGGTGATGCGTGTCCGAACGAATCTTGTGAGATGGATCTCGATGGAACTCTTGGCTTTCTTGAGAACCTTAGTCCATGTTGTGTCTGTCATGCTTGCTGGCTTCTCACCGCTGAGTGCATCATCCAAATCTTGTTGTATTAGTACGTTCTTCATCATCCTTTGCCAGTCTGTGAAGTCATCCTTGCTGTCAAAGGGCTTTAACGCAGGTCCTAGATCCGCATTCATCTTCCCTTTAGACATCTTAGAACCCTTTGACCTAGGCTCTGATAACAATTGTTAAATTACCCGCACACTAGATCTTGTTCTTTAATGTAACCAACGGCAATAGACTAAACTAACAATAGCCATATCATCATCTTTGTTAGTTCGACCTTTTGAAGATTAGATATGCAATTCTGGAACCTGCACAAGTGAGCTTCAATATCACCTCCTTCCAGTCGAAGTCCGAATAGTTCATCCTTTAGAAAAAGTTTATTGGACACGGTTTTGCCCATATAAACATTCTCCAACTTTTCCCATGCTTCTTGGGTAGTCATCTTTTTGGTGATGCGTATCCGAACGAATCTTGTGAGATGGATCTCGATAGAACTCTTGGCTTTCTTGAGAACCTTAGTCCATGTTGTGTCTGTCATGCTTGCTGGCTTTTCACCGCTGAGTGCATCATCCAAATCTTGTTGTATCAGTACGTTCTTCATCATCCTTTGTCAGTCTGTGAAGTCATCCTTGCTGTCAAAGGGCTTTAACGCAGGTCCTAGATCCGCATTCATCTTCCCTTTAGACATCTTAGAACCCTTTGACCTAGGCTCTGATAACAATTGTTAAATTACCCGCACACTAGATCTTGTTCTTTAATGTAACCAACGGCAATAGACTAAACTAGCAAATATTAGAAAACTTAGAAACACATAAGAATTATACTGGTTCGGCAGAACTTTTGCCTACGTCCAGTTGTGATTTCTCTAGGTGGAGAAATCACCGCTCCTTTGATTAATAATAGAGATTACAGAACTTTTGCGACCCTAGAACTAATCTCAAAACTCTCGGTTGTCTCTGGCTGTTTTTCCTGCTGTAAAAATAAGCCCTGCTACACCCTATTTATAGATATAGAGTTGGCTTACATGTCCCAAGGCAGATTGAATTCCTATTCCTAAGTGGATTAGGAAATTGCACTTATCCAAATCCTAATAGACTTCTAGAAATCAAAACCTAAATTGAATAAGGAAAACTGAAATTCTTTCCTAATCCCTCTAGGACAAGAATTGATATACCTCTAATTTTCCTAAAACAATCCTACACCAACTAGGACATATTTGACGAGCCAAAATCCTAACAGGGGAAAGGTGGCTAGCCTGTTCGTGCGAGGGAGGGAGTCGGGGGAGAGAAGAGAGAGAGAGAGAGAGAGAGAGAGAGAGAGAGGAATCTGATTGGGTTTTTAAAATCCGACTTTGAAATATTTACAATTGTGCCACTGCACTTCCGTTGATCGTAACTTCTTCTTTACAATTCTGATTTAAGCCCACTACGTGTCTACGAACTCATATCTACGCGCTCTACACAACGGTGCCATTCATTTCCCAAAATCCTACCGTTTTAAAAAGTGACCAAAATAAACCTACCCTTAAGGGCAAAATTGTAATTTCATAATTAAATAATTTAAATGGATAATTAAAGTTGGGTCGAGGTATCACAATCAAAGCAACTTTTGTTCAAGGTCGGGTTCACAAATCCACGTCACCAACTCAGATTGGTGAGAAATACGTCAAGTCAGATGAATGGACCAATATACTCGTGCCACGTCATCACTTTAATTAAGCTTGGGATGGAGTTGACGGAAAGTCGTTAAGTGGCACATGAAACCCTGGTCAAGGAGACAAAGTGGGTCACTTTAAGTTTAAGGGGTAAAGTGGGATTTGACCTACGTTTTAGGGTGCACTGTAGTAATTAAGCCTTTCTTTTATGCTAAAGAAAAGTCTCCAACTAAAAATAGGAGTGTCTAGGAACTCCACTGCCTATCAAATCTATCTGGATTACTGACATAGAATGCAAAGGAATACAATGCACTCAAAATGTTGTTGCTCAAGATGATGATTCATATTTGCAAGAGTCTGAACTATGAAGTTAGCCTCTCATGGAATGTGTTGAAATATGATATCCTCCAAATTGCTGCTTCAAATGACTAATGTGAGACAAATATTTCCTGGTCGTTTGAAAAGACTATTATGCCTTGAAACTAAGAGGAGAACAACATGTTCAATTCTTTATACACACTGGTGTAGTGTGATCCAAAGCGTCTGTGAAGCATAAGTTAGACTTAGGGAAGAGATTTAATCTGAATATAGTTCTTAGTTCTATGGTTTATGTGGCTGGGGTTATTCTTCTCAAGTAAAATCTATCTGTCAAAAAAATCAATATTATTTAATCTAACTCAGATCCAACCCCGAAACTCATCACACAATCTATCAATACCCATTCAGTTTTGTCCAATAATCTACACGACTTCAATTTCTCCCTTTCTAACTAACAAAGTTACTTCACTGTTGTTGTACTCGTTTTTATTTTATATTCTTGGCATTTAAATATTTTTAGGTTAAATGTTCGTAAAAATAAATTACGATGGTGTAAACAAAAATCAACTAAAAAAGTTACCAACAAAAGATTGAGGTTTAAACCATTGTTGAACAATTAATAAAGTAGGAAACTCAAATTTTGAGTTTGCAGTGTTGAGGGAAAAAGTGTTTGATATTTTTGTATACATGAATAGTTCAATTTTAGGAGGGGGAAAAACTGTTTAATATTGTTGCATACATGAATAATTAATAGGGAGTTTCACTAAAACACCCAAAATGGGGGCTGAAATTATAAAAAAAACCCAATACCCAAAACACTTTATAAACACACCCAAAACCCATCATTACACACACTCAAAACCCATTTATAAACACACCCAAAAAATATACAATTGTTGATTTTGGCTGTGTTTCTATGTTTAAATAGTGCTTGGGTTTTTTTTTATAAATACATGTCTAGGATTGGGTTTATTTATAAATTTGTATAATTTTAATATGTTTTGTTGATGTTGCAACCAGCAAGCCTCATTTTATTGAAAATAAATATAGTTTCAACAATATTAAGAATTTGTTTTGCCTCTTAAAATCTTCCACAATTTACAATTTGAAAACACAATAATTCATCATACATTAATTAAGCAATATTGTGTAAAAGGCATTGATCTCAAAAAAAATAATCTACAAGCATATAATGCAATATCCGAATTACTTTTCGTATTGACAACTCTTCACATCGTTCATTCTACCACAATTTCCATAACCTAAAATTAGTCCACTCAGAAACAATAGTCATCTCACATATGGTTCTTTTATCATATTCAAAATGTAACTTGGATGCACTATCCAATCCCTAAATTTACCCTATAAATAACTACCCCTTTACCCAATAGGGTTTGGTAATGTCTAGGCTCTAAATTTTGGGGCTTCAGTCAAGCCATTTTAGACATAGACATTATTTTGGATGAGTTGTTCTATGGTGAAGGTGCAATATATGGACCATAGATGTGGACTTCTATATTAGCCATATGGTTCATCTTAATGATAACTTCACTTAAGTTTAATGAAATGATCATGTGGTTGATATGAAGGTCCACATGACTGGTCCATATATGGTACCCTCACTATACAATTTCGCTATTTTGGATTAGGTTGGGGTGATTGGGCCAAACCGGGATCACACAATGAAAATGTATTTTATTTATGGAAAATTTGCCTATATAACATTAACTTTTAGGCTCGCGCATAATTACCACATAAACTTTTTAAAGTGATGCAATTTACCACCAACATCTAACTCCGTTAAGGTTTCTATTAACTCAAAGGGCACTTTCGTTAACACAAAGTTCAAGTGGTATTTATGCAAATTTCCTTTTATTTATTGAATGATGAAATTATATTCAACTATATTTGTTCTTAATTTATTAATATTCAACTAGGGAAATATGCACAAATACCACCTAGACTACTAGGAGTGTTCATTTACGTTCCAATTAAAAAAAAGTTAGGTAATTACTACCCAAACTTTACATTTAGTGCTAATCTACCACCTCCAACTTTGTTAAATTTTCTGTTAAACATAAGCTTGTTTTTAATATTTTAATATTTAACCTATTTAAAATTTAAATAAGTATGAAAAATCCTAAAATAATGAAAATTTGGAAAAAATACAAATCAACTCATCACTAATTTTTCCCCCTCCACTAGGGGTGGGCATTTGAACAGGTATACCGAGGGGAAAAAACCCGTGTTGACCAAAAAGTCAACCTTTGCTCAAAAACCGAACCAGATTTTTTTGAATATGTTCCCATCTCGGTTCTTGTCTTAGAAAAACCGCTTTTGACTGGTTATGTTAAGTTTACTTATTCATTTATATCCACAATTATTAGTCAACCTAATCAATGTTAAAATCAAATTAGTAACTCCAAGTAATATCTAGATATTTTAGCCAAATTAACAACCGAAATGCCTTAGTCCCAATGTATAACTAACTAAATAACAACTCTAACCCAACTTCTTTTTCTTTTCGTTAAACCATAACTGTTCTTGTTGCACTTCTGTGGATCCCGAGCCTCTGCATTTACCTGCATATGAGAGAATCTTGAACATCCATTAAATCTAATGGGTAAAAGTAAGCCACGTCACATGTTATTTTTTCTCCCCAAAACACAGAATTTAAAGCTTACTCATGCGTCAGTTTTCTGGATCAAGGTTTCATTCCTCAGCTAATGAAAGGACATTCCTTTTTTTTTTTCTCTCAATTTATAGATCCATGAAAGGACATTCCAAATTTCTTCATAACATATTTTCTAATTCTGTATCTAGGTTTCACCATTGGTGTTTCGTGTGGGGGCGTAAAAAAGGGTGTCTCAGTCGCTAAATCAAGGACACCTCATAAAACGAAGGACCAAAACCATTTTTCCATCAACATGCTCACCGCAACCTGATACTCAACCAAAATTAATTTGGTTCAAATACCTAATCTTCCTGTAAAACTCACATTTTCTTTCATCAACTATACTTTGATGCCCAACTCACTGGAGGTTTGTTCTTTCATATTGAATAACTCATAAATATGGGTAACAATTGTGCCAATGCTTCTCTGTGGTTGAAGAAAAATTGTTCTCTAAATTTATTGTAAATGCTGCTATAAAAATAAATAAATAAATAATTATCGTAAATAAACAAAGGAACAAAGATTTTATTTATTTATTTATTTTTTTATTTTTTAAAAAGGGAAAAGTTAGGGAAAGTTAGAAATGGTGTGTTACGAGAGGGAAGAATAAGAAACAAAATCCAGTGTTGATGCCAATTGGTGAACAATGTTGGATTACTTGGTTGTCTAAGATTGATCCGAATGCATATAAATGTACAATATTTTACAATACAGACTCGATTTTGTTCATCAGAGGACGAATAGAAATTTATCCAAAAAAGAAGATGGAAAACTGACGCCGTCACTTAACTGCAACAGTGTGTTTTGCAAGAAATATATATATATATATATATATATATGACGTGGCTTGCTTTTACCCATTAGATTTAAGGGAGATTCACTATTATACCCAATATGAGGGCCCAAATTATAAAAATACCCCATGTGAAATGGACTTTAGAAACACACCCAAAGCCCATTTACAACATGACAAAAAAGCTTTTAACTTGTTATAAATAACAAAACTGCCATCCATTTCTTAAAACAAGCCCAACCCCAAAATTTCATAAAAATACCTAAAACACTCAATAGGACATCAAAGTAATTTAATAATCAATATTAAATTCAATAAGGTCAGCTGTCATTTTTTGGGTTTTGTTTGGGTTTGTTTATATAAATTCAATTGTGTAGGATTTATTTATAATATTAGTGCTAGAAATGGGTATATCACTAAATATCTCTAGATTTAATGAATGCTCAAAATTCTCTCAAATGCGGGTAAATGCACAGTCCCTAAATGCAGAGGATCGGGATCCCACTTCTATCTTTCTTTCTTTTCCACCTATTTTTTTTTCTTATTTCTCTTCCTCTTTTTCTCTTCACCTTTCTTCTTTTATCTCTTCTACCTCTTTCTCTTTCTTCCTATTTCTCTTTTTATCACATCTTCATATGTTTCTTTCCAAACTGGAAGCCAACAAAACCAAACCGGAACCGTATAGGTCTGGTTTAGTTTGATTCTTCTAGAATCTAGATACTTTTTATGAGAATTAAATCAAATTGAACCGTGTTAAAATTTCGATTTTGATTTCAATTTGAGGGGACAATCAGACTATACCACTTTTACCCTCCACCCGCGATAGCCCTTCCTCCTTCGCCAGGGTAGGCATGTGCCCCTTCTCAATTTTCCCTTTTTCCAAAAGTTTTTTTGTTTTTTTGTTTTTTTTGTTTTTGTTGCTATTACTTTAATTAAAAAATTTAGATGAATTAAAAATAAAAAAAATAGGCCCACATTTAATACAAAACTTAATAGAAGTGGACGGAGATGGTAGATTACCACCGAAAGTGAAATTTAGGTGGTAACTAGTTATTTTTTTAATTAAATGGTAGACGTGCACACGTCCAATAGTTTATATTGGTATTTGTGCAAATTTGCGTTATATATTTATTGCATATGATAGACTAGAGGTCCAAAAACTATAGGCAACTTTGGGTTTAATCCATCTCTATTTTCCTTGTATGTTGAGGTCCATTGACTATTTACCACATGGATTTTCCTAACTTTTTGGGATGATGAGTCAACATGATTTAATGAGAATTGCTACAATTTAATTCTGATTCCAAACAATTAGTAAAGAATTCAATGAAAATACTTGGGAGTGGGAGTGGCTCATACTCACTTCGATGCATGTTCACCCTCATTCCAAGTTAGCAAACATGCCATAAGTATATTTTGTGAAGGAGTATCAAACACGTTATGCATGGATAACCTATTTTCATGTACTTGAACACATAAATTATTTTGCGTCACACACACACACACATAAACTAACATCCAAACTCCATTTTAAGTAGTGAGGACATAAAATAAACCAACAACATACTTTAAAGACTAGCAACATCTAGCAAGGTAAGGAAATGAGCAAGGATTATAGAGAAGAGTTAACTGATGTTGGAGTAGGATTTCTCACAAGAAGAAATGCTTTCACACATTCCTGACTAGAGTATTAATGTAATATTCCATGTTTGCAAGAATTGCTTTAGCCAGTGAATGGAAATGATTGCATACCTCCCCACAAGCCAATGTTGAGTTTATATAAATTATAATGACAGGTTTCTTAGGGATCAAGCTCCACTCCCCTAAACCAAATCTAGTTTCAACATTTTGTTTGGCTCAGCAAAATTAACCACGCTACTATAGCTGCCCTTAACATATGCTATCGTTTTCGTTTTATTCTTTTATTTTTTTTGCTTGAATAGGTTGATCATGGACCTTAAAATGCTATTTCAGGTAAAGACTGTCCTTACTGCCACAGGTTCTCCAACTGGGTGAAAGGTGAAATCGCGAATCGGCAGTGAAGGATCAATCCTCGGAGTTTCTTATTTTTAGCTGTTAGAGGAAGGGTGCATTTTGTTTCTTAATTGTTACCTGTAACATATCAACTATATCTATTTTTCTCCCCAAGGAAGATAGTTGATTTGGACAATAGGGGACATGGGTATATTTAAATCAACATATGATTGCTGGGATTCTGGGAAAGAAAGACATTTTATGATTGAGGAAAGCTTTAAATAACATTAAGTGTAACTTCTCCATATATGTATGTTCTGCAGACATCTTTAAATCAGCAAGAATAAGTTATACAAATAAGTATCCATCTTTATCTCTAACAGTTTCTCAGTTATTATAATCCGGTCGTATACCATGAACCCCTTTTGAGAGTTTAAAGCGAAAGAAAAAAAGAAAGATGACAAGAATGAAAGAGAGATGAAAATTCCTTGATCGCTAAAGAAAACCTTCATATTCAGCAGAACAAAGGACATATTGGTGGAAGATCCCAAGAGGGTTCGTTAGGATCATAAACTGTATCCATATACTCTTGCACTCCATTCATTGCATAGAGGGAAGCTGATATCTGTCTTTCAACTTTCATCCTTTCGAATTCCAGAAACTCCGAATCAGCTTCAGCTGCTGTGGTAGTGGCAGTAGTACTAGTAGTACTAGTAGTAGAAGAAGAAGAAGCAGCAGCAGCTGCCTGATGTTTCGGCAAATCAAACACTTGTTGGGCAAATGAGAACCCGTCAACCCCGGGTTCAAATCCACCCCATGAAAGATAAGATTGAGATTCAGAAGAGCTCAACTCAAATTCCTCATTGCAGTGTCTCAAATCTGGTCTGTAGACATCATCAAACAGCTGAGAATCTTGAAACACCTCACTAGAAAGTGTATCACTGCCACTGCTGGTGGAATTACAAGTGCTTGTACTAGCAGTGCTAATATTACTAGTCATGTACTTGTCATTACTAGTAGTAGAAGATGTGGGAGGATGTGAGGCATTCATATCATCATGATCAGCAATACTAGAACTAGTTTGCTCTATTACTTGTTTGCTTGATCCTCCTCTTTTGGTGTTAAGTAGATTTCGGATTCGAGAAGCAAGAGGAGAATCCAAAGAGACATGTGTAATGAAGTTGGTTCGAGTATTTGAGCCGCGAAGAAGGCAGGCAGCTTCATCGTAAGCTCGAGCAGCCTCTTCGGCAGTCTCAAAGGTTCCAAGCCACATTCTTATCTTCTGTGTGGTGTCTTTGATCTCAGCTACCCATCTCCCTGAAGGCCTTTGCCTCACACCAACAAACTTGTTTGTGTTGTTGCTTCTAGTTCTTCCCTTCGACTTTCCCACTTTGCTCATTGGAATGCCTACAGCTTTGTTAGCTACTGCTGCTGGGAAGCAAATTTGGTTCTGCTGTTGGAACCGAAATTCCATTGCAAATTAAATGTGCAAGAAAATAATTAAGATGGTTGGAGATGAGAGAGAGAGAGAGATGGGTTTGATTTAAGGAAGGTTGATCAGAGAATGAATTGGAAGAAGGCACTCTGTCTCTGTATAAGGTAGCCAGCTCTCAATGGTAGTGGAGAGCTCGTCTTCATCTCCTTGTTTGGTTGTGGTAGGGGTTTTATATATTCAAAGGTTTTCTGAGTTTTCTATAAGCAACTGGATGGTTTAGGAGCTCTCTGTCCTTTTCTGTTTGTTATCTTATGGAACGTATATTTAATGTTCAATGTTGAAAAATAATCTGTCAGAGGAGACTTGTATTCTTTTTCCATAAATACCCTTTTGGCATTTGACAAAATAACCGATTATAGTTCCCCATCTCATGCGTCACTTGCCATTGTTACTATTTTCTCAACAAGCCATCAATTCAATTCAAGTTAGAATAATATATAGTGTGTTTTTTAAGTACAAGCAGTTGGAGGAGTGAGGTTTACACACAAATATTCATAGGAGTTTCTACATTAATGAAGTGGAAGAATTCAACCAATTAAACTATACACCACTGGTCTAATTAGAGTAATACACACAAACCAAATGAAGTTCTATATTTTCTAAACAAGCAGTAGTTAAGTAGGGGTAATCGATCATAAGATCTCGAGTACAACGATAAACACTCTTAATCACTTAAACTATAAATTCTTTATAAGTTCTAATATTTTATATCCCAATTAAATTCTAACTTTTTTAACCCAAAAAAAAAATGTCACCCTATTTACAAACAAACAAGAGAAAACAAGTCTTAGTTGTGGAGGGACATTAAGGACATAACACAAAAACGGGCGTTACCATTTAAGGCCTTGTAGGGGCAAGGGGCTCAAACGTTGTCCCCTCTTTTCTCTCCAAGTCAGCATTTGACAAAAAAAAAGTCGTGAAGGCGCGAAAGGCTGCCACTTGGAGGCACCAAAATGCTCTTCTAGATAAGAACAGAATCATAGGGACCAAAAAAGCACAAATGGATCTTTTGAATTTCGGTGAAGACCAAGTCATATATGTTCATGGACAGAATACACAAATATAATATCTTATTATGCAACAAGCTGCGTTTGTTTTACTCCTCCTTGCGTCACCAGACAAACCTTGTTATTTCATCATTATATTATTACTAGATTCTTTTTCTTTTTTTTTAAATCTTTATTATAATATTGTTTCTATTTAAAATTTGTCATCTATGTGCTGCTCATGATCCATAGGAATATTGCCCCAATTCTTTAGACGACATGCACAATGTAATAGAGCCAACTAACAAATGTAGCAATACCAGTCACACGCACGAAACACATCTATTTCGTAATTTCTTATTTATAAATCAATCATTCATGAAATTAGTAAAATTGAAAATTGCTTAGGCATTTGATTTCCATTGTGTTTGTTTGCACAGTTTAGGTGATCAAACAATTTCTACTCTAACCCATCATTTGCCTAGATTATCCTCGAAAAAAAATGAGCGGTTCTCGGAGTATGAAAATATATTGTGAAGTTGTAAAAATAAATGACAAGTGTCATATTAACTTATTAATTAGTTAGCACTTGAGTTATGTGTATTTGTTAGAAATTATGGGTTTACTACTGTCCATCATTAGATAACCAGTAATCTCTATCAACGGATAGAAAATGACATTGACTTAAAGACTAGTAGTAATTACATTGACTTGAAGACTAGTAGTGTTAAGTTCGAACCCTCGTAACACGTTTTGAGATGAAAGACACGCCTAAACTAGACAGGTCGTTACAGCTTTGACCCAACCATATTCTGAATCTAGGCAGGCAGTTAAGTTGGACCATATCATTACAACCCCGAAAAGGGGCTAAAGGGCATGACCCCAAAAGAGTAATAAAATATTATAGCCTAGTTTGGCCGAGTACACTTAGAAACATTACCATCATTCAAGGTGAAGTTGAGCAGACATAGTAAGATGACAACTCAACTGCACAATAAGTGGAGTAACTCAGTTCTTTAGAACACGTTAGAGTAAGCTAAAGAAGATTTTGACAGGGGTTAACTTCAAATGGGGTTGTAACTTGTAAGTAGTAGGAGATCTCAAATTACACTGAGAGGGCTACCATTGTGATAAAACAAGACCAAACCAACTCCTTTGTTTCACTACTCTAAATATTAAGATCAAATTAAGCTTGAGAAAACTGTAATCGAGCTTAAAATAGAGTCGGAATTAGGACATCTCAAATTACACTTACACCGAGTTCTTTTGTGATAAAATCCTTACATTGAGCCCTTTCGTGATAAAACCTGCCACGTAGATAACAAACAATGACGAAGAAGGCCAAACAAACTACGTCTCCATCATCAATTTGCCACTCTAAATATAACGAGCCAAACTTCCTTGGAATGAAAACCCCAAACTAAATCATTTAGGCCTCCGGTAGTTGTGACTCACGTAACTGCTAACTAATTCCAAAGGAGGACTAGGAGATTCCCAACAATTGTATGTATTGTACAAAGTAACATAAGAATCATTGATGCTACGTACAGGGCCCAGCAACGTAAATGTAGTTGAGGTGCAGTGCAGATGCAAAATTAGATGTTCAAGGGTGATAAGGATATGTGCTTAAAAATGAAACCAAATGCAAAACAAACTTATATTAAACTGTTTTACATTTCAAAAATATAAAGCACCAAAACTGATACAAGATGTCTTCATCACACCTTGACCTTTAACATACAAAACTAAAAGCCACAATTCTTTTGTTGACTTCAATCTTTTGAAGCTTAGGAGTACTGGATCGTCTATAATATGCACACTGTATTGCAAAACTTTCACTATCCCTAACTTTTTCATCCTCCGCTGACTAAAAAATGCAACAAGGCATTAGCGCCAAACCACGAGAAATAATTTTCGAACACAAAATCAAAAGAATGCACTATCAAAACGCAGACCAGACATCTGCTTCCAAACAATCATGTGCCCACCCCACGAGCTTTCCTGATAAATGAAATTGCATATCCCACCAATGCAAAGGGAAATATAATGACCAGAAGCTGCAGTTTCCACAAACATAAGGCAATGCCAAGGCTAAAGAATTATGATGAGAGTATAAATTGCAATGCAAGCTGTTGCTGGGGCTGCAAGGATGACCAGGTGGATTCTAGGGTAGCGGGTGGTAAAGTTTGTTGAAGCTGCCTTAATAGATTAACCATACGACTAGCAGTTTGCTCAGTTGCCAAATCTTTACCAGCGCATAAAACCTACAGCACATTGGCCCAATTGAGAGAGAGAGAGAGAGAGAGAGAGAGAGAGAGAGAGAGAGAGAGAGACCTAATAGTTCACAAGAATGAGTGAGATTAGTACGTGCATCAGAAAACCACTACATACCTCAGCAAAAACCGCAACTATTTTGGGAAGATATTGATTATTGGGCCCTAAAAGCTCTCTATCTGACCTGTAAACAATGCAATTACTTTTCATTATACAATCACCTTGGACAATTAAATAGGCATTGAAGAGTGGAAAATAATACTGACCAAAAAAGGACATGCAAACATTTATCTATTAACAATTCAACATTCTCCAAATTCCAGTTTTTTTACCTTTCAACCATTGAACATAGCTGGTCATGGACACCTTGGCCTCAATCAAATCACCTTTTATAGGTAAACAGCTTAACCAGGCTGGGACAAGCTGCCAAACAAAATGGATATGTGAAACAACAGAAAGGCCAATATTAAATATCCACAACCAGACTTGAGATGGTAATAGCTAGATCGGGAAAAAAATCATTGTGTATGACAAAAAATGTAAAGAAAAGCACTGAGGAAGTATAATGCTAGTAAACGGTTGAACAAATAGCAGTAGCGCATATACAGAACTTCTGACACAAAATTGTTTGACTTCATTTCAGAATTCAAATGGCCCCAAGGGTAACAATTCGACATCTCAGTTATTTTTCATTCACATCAGTAAATCAGCAAAGCACTAGCCGACTAATCAAATGCAGCTATCTATTTACAAGTGTGCTGATTTGGGATGGGGTAAAAATATTGGGCCAAATCACCATCACCATCACCATCACAACCACATTCCTAACACCTAATGGATACCAATTACCCACCCTAGTGTCAGTCCCCTGAAAGGCTTCACCTAGCAATCAACTATGTTTATTCTACAAACCCTGCAGCACCGCCATCAACCAACTTTGAGTTGACTCTAACCCAGCACTGAAAGATGATGTGTGTGATTCAATGGATGACAAAGTTTATCTTATCACAACACGGCTTCTAATGAAAGCAAATCAATTTAATAGGGACATTTGATCATACTGAGAGCATCGGATTGAGCATGCTGGAATTCCTCCAAAGAGATCAAAACCCAGAATACAAATCAATTTAGTTGATGGAGGTCCTGTTTAGGATTGCTCTTGTAGGAAACACTTCTGCTCATAAATTTGTTTACTAGAAGCGCGTCGGGTGCTTCAAGAAGAAGCACTTGAGTGTTTCTCCAGTAAGCGCTTTTATGACCCTGAAGCACTTTTTAGTTTTTTCTGCCAAACATTGTCAGAAGCACTATCGGTTTTAGCCCTCCCAGAAGCAGTCCCAAACAGGCCTTAAGTCGGCCGCATTAAGGGATTGTTGGGCTTGAGTAGGCTGCATTAAGGAATTGTTGGGTTTGAACATGACACAATATAAAAAAGATGCATTCATCACTCTGAGTGGTTATGGTAAAGAACAAGCAGTAAGTTAATGGTACACCATTTATGCCTCAAACAATCAATTTTTTAGCATGAGGCCGAGTATAGACACATCGACAGAAGTAAAAACAAGGAAATGAGCATAGAGAAGTACGAAAGATCAGAGTTTGAAGCAAAAGAATATCATCTACCTGTGTTGCATCTATACTGTCACGATGGAACTGGCAAATTTTCCCAAAAGCTGAAACAGCATTGTCATATGCCATCACATTGTCAGAATGCTGTGCATT